ATCGCGACCTTTTTTTTTTTTCCCATTTCATGCGTTTCCCCGAGGGAACATCGGTTTCGATAAGTCAAAAGGGATGTAATGCGAGAGTTGATGATTTCTTTTTCCTCTTGAAAAAGGGCTTATCATTAGTGGCTCTTACATAACACCATCCCCACATTTCGCCCAATGCGCACGCCTATATTAGCCAAACTGATGTGTTGTATGCCTCACTGTCTTGCGATATCGGTAGCTTTTTTCGGAAAGTTCGTCTGGTGCAAACGATTGATGAATTCTTCTTTTATGCACGACCCATCGGTGATATGTGCGCATGGAATGTGTTGCTACGGCTAACTTGTTGCGCTATGAGTTTGACCCGATCCTCATCCTCACGGTATCGAGCGACAATTGGGTCTTAATTGCTAAACAATGTGTTGAGAATCTTGAGATACACGTGCGAGTTGTGTTAGATAAGTCCCACATTTGAGAATTGGTGTGATGTGTATCAGTTGGCCTTTAACTTATTGATTTAAGCTTTTAAGTGAAGCTAGGTCCAACCGGATATGTTGACGGGTTCGGACTTGAGTTCGGCCTTGGCGATCTTCCCGGGTGAAAGTATCGGGTTTCTGTTGCGCGCTCCCAACAAATGGTATTAGAGGCAATGATTGATTGGTGCTCCCTAATCTGTTCCGGTGTTTGGTGAATATCTCAAGAAAAAAAATCTCATGATTGTAGAAATTGTCATTGCGGTTGGTTTGGCAAGAACAGACCATGGATAGTCGTTGTGCGCTCCTAAGAAATGATATTAAAGCTGATAGTTGATTGGTACTCCCCAATCTGTTCCCGTGTTTGGTGAACATCTCGAGAAAAAAAAATCTCATGATTGACCCTTGTTTCGGGTGGAAATTGCTATCACGGTTAGTCCGGCGAGAAGAGACCATGGGCAATTGGTATGGTAACTCCTAACAAATGGTATTAGAGCGGATGATTGATTGATGCTCTCCAATCTGTTCCGGTATTTGGTGAATATCTCAAGAAAAGAATCTCATAATCAACCCTTGTTTTGGGTGGAAATTGATATCACTGTTGGTATGGAGAGAAGAGACCATGGACAGTAAAAATAATCTCATGTTCAACCCTTGTTTCAGGGGGAAATTGCCATCACGGTTGGTCCGGTAAGAAGAGACCATGGACAGTAAAAAAAATCTCATGGTCGACGCTTGTTTCGAGTGGAAGTTGCCATCACGGTTGGTCTAGCGAGAAGAGACCATGGACAGTAAAAAAAATCTCATGATCGACGCTTGTTTCGGGGAGATTCAACTTGAGATAAGTTAATGCAGAAGAATACCTAAATTTAGGGGGAGCAAACCTGCTACTGTGTGGTATTGAGCAATTAATATATCGAAGTTGGCTCACAACTCATTGGCTTAAGTTTTTGCATGAAGGTAGGTTCAAATAGATATGTTAACGGGCTCGGACTTGAGCTCTCTTTGGCAATCTCTCGGGATGAAGGTATTGGGTTTCTGCTGCACGCTCCCAACACAATGGTTAGTGGTCTGCCCTAGGAATCAATCAAGGTTGATACTCTAATATTAGTTGTGGATTAGGTTGTGTCGGAAATCGACCTTCACTATACTTAGGTAGTCATAATGTCTTGCTAGAGACCGCTTATGACTTGTGGGCCAAAAAGAGTTTTGGGCACATTGTTAATGTTTAGTGAACCTATAGGGTCGCACACAATAGCGAACGGACTTAATATTGTACGTGCGCCTTGATTTACTTAAGAAGTAGATTTTAATTTATTCTCCTATTTAAATTATCTATGCGGTCGTGCGCGTTATGAAATAACGATTAAACGTACGATTGAAGGTGGACGGTTTGGCGAGCCCAAATAGCCCGGCCCACTTCTTTTAATTCCGTTAGATAATAAGGCTGTATAAATAGATAGAGAATCGTTCTCATGTCTAGGGTTTTTCGATAGAGTATCGAAAATCAAAAGGCGTTCAAGAAAAAGGAACTTCAAGATCTTTCGCTAGCACGTGGATCGTTGGAGAATTCCGTTCGTGTGTGTGGATACCGGTAGATGCGCAACACTTGGAGCGCTCATCCGGACACAATCGATGCTTGATTTATCTTCGATCCGCAAAAGGTACGTATCAAAATTCCTTTTCGATTTCAATATACACATGGATCCTGTCTAGGTTCTATATTCCGCTGCGTTGTTTTTTGTTGATGAACCCTTCAAACCGACCATTTCGACACGAACAAAACTGAGGTCTTACTCGAAGGAGCACGTGTCGTCTTTCCAGGATCGGATCATTTCTCAAATCGCGGCTTTAAGGTATCCGGTTCATTTAGTCGTTCAAATCAATTTCGTGTTACCGGATCATCTGTTGGGCTTTCCTCATTCTTGTCAAGCTCAAGATATACTCCCACGTCATGAACAATATCGAACCAAAGTAGGGAATATTATTGGTTAGAGAATGGAAAAACTCGACTGGTTGACCCATCGCAAGGGCGAAGTTCTATTGCATGTTGACGTCCGGGAATGTCTTCTTTTTGCAAAAAATTGGATTCCGTTTTCTTTCATCGTATGATGTATCCAACAGAGTAAGAGAGAGAGAGAGAGAGAGAGAGAGAGAGAGAGAGAGAGAGAGAGAGTATTCGTCCATTGCTTTGAATAGAATCCATACTTTGGATTCCTTGGCTTATCTTGAAAGGACTTTTTCTGGGAATCCCAGAAAAGTCGCACACGTTAACAATTTTTGCATAAAAGTTAGAATAAAACCCTACCAATGTCTCATTCCTCAGGGCAAGTGGGCTTTTTCGGACGATGTACATTTATCAGATTTTCGAAATATTTAGTACATTTATCGCAAGAAAAGTCGGTGCGTGAAAACTCAACGATATTTTCCTATTTTATATCTTAACGAGCGCGTGCGAGACACTCTCTAACAAAGTTCTACCATGTAATGCGATGGGAAGAGATATATCACTAGGGTTTGCATGAATCAACCCAAAAAGTTGATTTATGATCTTGAGCATCCTCTTATTTGATTCACGTGTTTAAATGACGTGGCTAAATGTGAATTAACATGGAGTGAATAGGCTAATATTTAACTGTCAATAAGACTTGTGTTGACACCAAAAATAATCTAATCATCAATAAGCACATGCCTCCTAGCACATGAGTGTGAACAAACACGCGCATGGCACATGAGTGTCACTTCACGTACGCCAGCTTATTGACAAACACAAAAATATGGTAATTGGCATTCGTATTCATCAATGACACATATTCAATTATCGAAATACAATGATGGACGGTCGGTAGCCATTGATGTGAGCATCATCAATGAATGATTTGAAACTTGTAATCAGCAAAACAGTTGAGGTCAAGGGCACACATTTTTGGAGGGAGTAGTTATTACTTGAAAGCAGGATCGTGGGACAACCATTATTACGAGAAAAGACGATCATGAAGCAATTCACATACAACAATAGCAACCGCTTGAAAACATGGGTGCGAGACTTGTTGAGATATAAAAACATGGAGGTGATCGACAGGAGTTACTCAAGGGAATGCAATCGTCGGAAACCGTCAGAAGGCAGTTATTTCAGAATCATTATAAATATCATCAATCGTTCATAAAAGATCTCCTTGCACAAATCAAACACAATCTTTTAATTATCTTTAGCTTTTCTGCACTGTACTTTAAATTTCCTTAGTTGTAGTTTTCCATTTCGTGTTGTCGATTAAATTTCAACGTGTTTTTCTATCTCGGGTGCTGCCTCGTCCATTAAATTTCTGGCGTAGTGTATTTACGTTTTTAGGTTATGTCGTCGATTAAATATCAATAGAATCTAGTTACGTCGGGTTTACTTAATCGAGTCTATATTTTCCGGACCTTATTGTTGATTAAATTCCGGCATGGTTTCAATTTGTACGATTCAGTTTGGATCCGACAATATTTTTCACTTGTGCCCGTGATATTTTCTGTCCAGAGTTAGAACCTTGGTCTCCTAAATTAAGAGCCAAAGAACGACTTTCAGTAGAAGATATTTCGTCATGGGAACAAACTAGATGCGCATTTTCGGGAGCGGATTATTCCTATGTGAATAATAATTTTTGAGTTTCCATTTTCAGAAAGAGCAGCGTCCGACGCGTCCACCGAACACTACTGACACGAACATGGAAGGATATGTGCTGGTTGGGTCAGGGTGGAATTGACCGGAGGCCGTTCAAAAGCGATTCCATGTCCAATCTTGGACACGACCGAAGAAAGTGAGTTCGACTTCATGCTCCGTTGTCCGACCAAAACAAGGAAAAGAACCTCGCTCTTTCGCAGCAGAATCTTATTCTTTTCCTCGTCAATATTACCTTGAATGGGATTTGCTCGTCGGGGACGAGGATATTCGTGGGTCGGGTCCAATATTCGAAAAAGACGGGTATTCCCTCGACCCGGTTTTGTTCGATTCAGATTTTTACAAAGCAATTTCCATTATCAAACTTCTTGTCTTCCGTTGCTACTGAGAGGGCAGTGTTCGTGCCAAGAGCGATTCAGATTTGTGTTAAGGTGCACCATGAATTCGTATTTTAGATGGTGAAACTTTTCAATTTCTTCTTGTCTCATGTCTCTTCCGAAGGTCTCTGCAAGGCCTAGATTATGGAACGATCTTGACTGTGTATCGTATCTCCTTAAAATTGAATTAATCTTCGAGTGAACTTAATTTAACGAAACTAAGCATACGAGAGGTCAAGCTCTTTCGGAGTGCTGGCCCTTGCTATAAACTCAACGTAGCTAACGTTTCGCATGATCCGAATTACTATCCAGACAAGATCGTTTCATGGTCTTTCTCGATCATTTAAGTTACAACAACTCTTGCGGGCGACCATTCAAGTCTCGGGAAGTGAAGAAAAGTATTTTGTCCGTTTTCCTTCCAATTTTTTTTTTTTGGGTGTGAGGGAGAAAGCACAGTGATGCTGCCAACAGTTTTTCTTTATTCTCTGTTTTTTTTTTTGGGTGCTCTTGTAAGGGCAAAGGAGGAAGATAGGTCGAGGGAGATAGAGGCAAATAAGGTAAAAAAATGAGAAGTGACATGGTTGTTTCACGTCCCTGTACAGCACTCGTTCATATAGCCAAGCAAAGATGGTCCCTCCATGCATCCATCTTTATCTTCCTCCCACCACCATCACCCCACCTTATCCCCTCTCTTTAAGGAGAAAAGGCGACACCGTGCGAGGTATATACACTCTTTTTATCATATTCAAAACAACAGAAAACAAGAAAGCATCTCTCTCTCTCTCTGTGCCTGAGGACCTGTCAGAACCAGCAGGCCCCCGGCTAGTCTGAATCGTGTTGGATTTCTCTTGTTCTCTTTTATTGTCCAACGCGCGGTTAGGCTTTTTGCTTGTGCTTACTAAAATGGGGATGTGAGCGTTCTTCGGAGAGATTGCTTTTTGGGAAGCTGAGCAGCTGCTGCTGCTGCCAAGAACTGCAATACCAAAAAGGACAAACCCCCAACGTTTTAATATTACTGCTTGCGAAAAAGAAAGCAGGATAATACAGTAGATAATGTTGATGGGACACGTTTTCTAATATCTTTTACGATGTTGAACGGCCGAACATCATCGAAAGCACTCGTCTTATCATCAGGTGCACAATATACGGCGGTCCTCCTCCTGTCTCAGAGCAACCGGAGGATTATATGACAATTCGAGGCTCATGTCTGATGTATCAACTAACTTAACTAACGCTTGTTTGGAAAAGAGACCTACTTGAAACAGGAAACTTACAGTTTTAGAGCATACTAGACGGGTCTTATCTATTAAAAAGAACAATTATGATTTTTGCTCTCAGCCATAACGGCAAAAAAGAAAAGAAGGAAAAAGGAACGCTCAACTTGGAAGGTCATCATGAAGTGAAGAACTGGGAGTTACCTGATTTTGTTCTCTTCTGAGTCTATCATTCTCTTCATGCAAACGCTCAACTTCAATCTCCAACTCCATCATGTAAGCCTGCAATCTCCTCCCCAAAAAAGAACAATGGAGAGTATTGGAAATCCACGCGTTAAAAGAAAGGTTTTCCTACATCAAAGTCAGCATTAAAAATGACCTAACTTTTGTATGAGACACATATATTAGTAGAATCATCGTCCATAATGTTCAACACCTTTTGACTATCACAACTGGCCTTTACCCGAATACATTGTCTACCCTCATTTCGCTACGAATAAACTTATCGCTACCCAATGGAAGAAAGAAGCGATTCATCATGATAGGGAACATTTGGAAAATGTTATTAAGTTCTCATCAATGCTTAGCTGTAGAGTTTATCTAATTGATTGTCTGCTCATCCCAAATCTCACGACGAACTGAGTGTACTTGATCCGAGGGCCAAGATCAGGTGCATCGGGCACCTGATAACTGTCTGCTTACAATAATAGTCGGACACATACGGTGACAAGGTGTCTGGTGCACCTGATAAGTTGGGAAGTAATGTAATCAGTGAGAGCGAGAGAGAGAGAGAGAGAGAAATAGAGGACCTGTTTTCTGGCTCGGGAACGTTCTGCCGACTCGCGGTTCTTCATCAACCGCTGGAATCGCCGGTCACTCGATTCGCCGTTGTTCTCCATCGAACTCTTCCTCTTTAATGGTGGAGGGACTGTCGCCGGCGCAGGGGGCTTGACATGCGCGTCGGACGGCGTCTTCGTGGTACAGACATTACACGCTGGAGATACTCCCCCGCTGGCACGATGACTACGGGCCCGAGAAGTGGCCCCGACCCGAGCCCCCTTTTCCCTGTTCTGAAGACCCGACCCGGGGGCCAATCGCCAGCTGGACGATGAAGGGTCAGGGTCATACGCATTTTTTCTCGAACTTGGTGTTGGGTCCTCGTTGAAGGGTCCACCACCACCCCGACCACCACCCAAGAAGTCCTGGAGGTTTGCGTCGCCGTGGACGGCAGAGGAGGAGGTGGCGGCTGGCGGGCAGAGGGAGGACAAGTTGATGTCTTGCCAGAGGTCGTCCATGGATCTTAAGGAAGACGGAGGACCGGTAGAAGTTGGGGATGATGACGAGAGCAACAGTGAAGAAGAAGAAGACGAGCGTGTGGAGGAGGAGGAGGAGCTCGATTTGAGGGAAGATGAGCAAGATGATCTCTTGCTCTTGCTGCTGCTGCTGCTGTGTTTTTCGTCAGCAAGACCAGGAATTGATCCCATTTTCGCAATGTTTTAGGCTTGAGCGAGAGAGAGGGAGAGAGAGAGAGATTGGTGCACGGGAGATGGAGGACATGGATGGATATTCTTTTAAAAGCCCGAATGTGTGGCCAAAGCATTGCATGGACTTTGCTAAGTGGACGGTACCGTTGTCTTATAATATAAATAACGGTGCAATTCTGACCATGTATTTGATTCACAAGTTCATGGCGACCGGTTGGACTTGTGGAGGAATTTAAATATCAATTTCATAAGATACACATACCTCATTAACTCCTAGGTGGGAGCTGAAGAAAAAAAGGGGCAATGGCACCCTAAATTTTTTTGTTCAACTTGGCCATTACGTTAAAGAAGTAAATGAAAAATACTAATGCGGTCGACTAGTCACTAGTAAATAGTGACGTGGTGCTGAAGTGGTGCCTCACGTCGCTTTCGAAACTTTTTAACAAAGTGTAGGACAGAACAAATGCAGAAGAAAACAACACCAAATCACTAGACCCACGGTGGCATTCGAGAGAATTTTAATGATTTTCACTCGCTTGGGAAATTGGATCAGACCGGTCACTGTAGCTATTCTCAAAATATGATTTGCAATCACGGAATTAGTGGGTGTTTTCAGTCGTTACTAGTACTTATTATTATTATTATTGTTATTCTATTTTGAAGAAAAATACTTTACTATAAATCAGGGTCGGAAGTCACGTGATCATGTGAATTTTCTCAACGAACCAAACAAGGAAATTATATCAGGTAAAATTTGTATAGTATTTTATTGAAATATTTTTTTAACTTTAGCCTTGATTTTTTAGGTCCTTACACATATTCATCTATGAGATTCGAACGAATAGAGTAATTTTTTCGATTACTAATTTATTATTCATATATTTTGATCTTTTCTTTATTTCATTTGTTATTATACATAACAGATATCACCGGTCTTAATTTTAGTTAATGGAGAGTCCTTCCAAATCAACTTGATTTGAGTAAATAGAATGAGGAGCCGTTTGAATGCATAATGATTTCTTTATTAGTCTCAAAGCCAATATTTCTTGTGCTTTTTCATCTTGCAACTTGATTGATCTTTCTAATGACATTAACTATTCTTTTTTGTTAGAGATAATATTGTTCTATTTGTGATTATTTATATTTTGGAATCTAATTTATTCTAAAAATTGTCGGTTTCCTTATGTTATTTTTTCTTTTCTCATATTATGGAATCTCATGGGATTTATAGGAAACCCCCAAGTGAGATTTTCCAATTTTAAATTTTTCAAGGAAACCTGTTATGAAAAAATTTGAGGTGGAGAACCTACCATTTGGATTTGGAATCTAACAGAACCGTTACCTACTTTTTTGCCCTTATTCCGCCACCCAACTTCATTTTATTAGGTTAGATGGAGAGATATATGACCGTGATATGGGTGGATCGAGCTAGTTTTGTGTAGGGGTGAGCATGATATCGGGGTAGAATCGAGATATGGGTAGATCCAACTAGTTTGTGTAGGGGTGAGCATGATATCAGGGTAGAATCGAAAACATGAGAACCGGACAGGTGGGAACGGGTTCGGTTCCTTCCACCGGTCCGGTTCTAAAAATTGGGAGACCTGTTCCGGTGGGTAGATTTCAGGTTTTAGAACCTAGATCAAGTCTTTGTGTTTTTCTTGTTTTATGTTTTCGCGTGATCTTGTGGCATTCTATAGTGTCCAATGATTATGGTGTGATATGAAATCATTAGTATGAGCTTTCATTTTCGGCAATATCCATGACTGAGACTTATACGTTGTTAATGTTTGATATTATTTGTGTGTCTAAGTATGAGTTATGATCAGTAGATTAAATCAAATGATTGTCATTAGAGGTGATGATTCACTGCAATTGTTCAATTTAGAGTACAAGTGAAACCTGAGTAGACCCCGGAACCTGTGATAGGGTGGGTTTCGAGTTCTTAGGTATGCAGGGTAGGTTTCAGCTTCCAAAAATTAGGGAAATTGTTCTGACGGGTAAGTTCCATGTGGAACCTAGAACCGCTCACCCCTAGTTTTGGACTGGCTAAAAAACGGTCCTACTTAAATTGACCCATTTATATGTAATTCAAATTTAGTAACTCATACCTGACCCAATACATAATATTAAGAAACATCAATATTTAACCCAACTTAAGAAAACCAGTACCCACTTATTTAAAGCCCATTAAAACCCATATTTACGATACATATACGTTCTCAGCTAAGTGGGAACGTACTGAACTGAACACTGAACATAAACAGTAAGGTAAAATATGGGTTATCTAAGGGTGTGAATAATAACCATTATGTTTCTCTGTTTTTTTATTTTTTTGTTCTCGAGAACAGGTTTGGGACAAAAATCCATTTGGTAAAATAATTTCATTTTTTTTTAATTTCCGGGACAAATTTTGGCCTAGAAATAGATTTAGAATAGAAATGAGAAGTTAAAATTTTCTATTTTTCTATTTTTCAAACAGAAACAGAAATAGCATCTCTCTTTTATTGCTCACCCTTACCGCCCACCGCCGCCCACTCGTCGTTGGCCGCCCCTAGCCAACCGCCCACCGCCCGCTATCGCCGCTCACCGGCCAGCGGAAACAGAAATTTTATGCCGTTATGAAACGAATTTCTATTCCAGGAAATACATTTTGTGTCATTATCAAACACTAATTTTTGCTTAGAAACTCATCCAGGAAAGAGAAATAAATTTTTCTATTTCTAGCCAGAAATAGGACCAAATAAGAGAAATGTTGTCATTCGCGCTATAAATAATCCATTTAACCATGCCTTGTTTTTAGTGTTAACCCATTTTGACCAACTTTGTTGCCAAATGAGTGACCCACTATGTAAGGGCCATTAAATATGAGTTGCAATTTGAGATTGTGACCCATTTTGTCAACTCTAGAGAGATGTAAATAGCGAAATACTTTTTTCTCCAGTCCGTTAGATTTGGGGTTTGATCCGAGCTCGCATGAGTTGATAATTCACGTTTTGTCATGCCATATTCTTGTCACGTGGAAGTTTTGTGTCTTCCATCTAAACACAATAGACTTGTTGATGGTGTCACGACAAGCATATTATATGAAATAAAACGAAATGAGGTATTAAGTGCATTTAAGAATGACTTCTAATATACATACATAAAAAATACGTATTTGGAGGGTTATAAATTTGTTCAAACAAGCGTCTACTCATCTCATAAAACAGATTAAAAGAATCGACCGCACCCGATTAATATTCACATACAGTTCAAATCGGCCGTTCATGGCGCGAATTAAACTTGACTCGAACACCTTCTGTGATGTTCCTTGCTAGTGATTCTGTCAAATTGTCAGCCTAACTCAAAATAACTTCTTGACAAATCCGATCACGAGGGATTTCTTGTTGGTACCTCCAAAGTATTAACGAATGGCCTACCCATAGAATTGGAACGTGAGGCAGGAGAAGTTTGAGTCAGAGGTGCTGCCTCTTTCACTCAATGCTGTAGCTGTTTGTTCACATAAGCTGACAGTGAAAAGCCAGAGCATGGTTTTGAATGAAATTATTTACTTTACTACCTGTGCCTATTGCATTATAGATGTGGGGAAAATTACCAAAACAATCCTAAACCTATTGCAATTGTGCAAATTCAGTCCTAAACATTTTTTTGTGCCAATTCAGTCCTAAACCTTTTGCATTTGTGCCAATACAGTCTATCCGGCCAATTTTGGCCAGCTGGCACTGAAGTGGATGCTGGCTGGCCGGCCGACGTTAACGTGGCAATTTTTAAATATTTTGTCGAAATTTTTAATTAATTTTTTTATTTTTTCTTTTCTTTTCTTTATCCTTTCCTTTTCTTTTTTTTTTTTCCTTCATCTTCATCTTCAACCATGACCAACCGTAGGCGGGGCGGGGCGAGGGTCACTCACGGCCATGCGAGGCTCGATCTCGTTCCGCGATGAGGCCGACCTCGCCCGTCTTGCCGGCGAGTTCAAGCCTCGCCGGATCTCAGTGAGGGGTCGTTCTCGCCGTCACTTTGGCGAGGGCTCCAACTTGCCGGCACTGGTGAGGTCGGCCTCGCCCAGCAACGGCGAGGTCGAGCCTCACTAGGGGTGGGCGAGGTCGAGCCTCGCTAGCCCAGCAACGGCCGACCTCGCCCGGTTCTTGGCGAGGCTCGAGCCTCGCCGGCGAGCCCGGCGGGTGGCCTCGCCCGGCTCGGGGAGGGCCTCGTCCTCACCGGGGGGGTGGGGGCCGAGCCTCGCCCGGTTGCCGGCGAGGATGAGCCCTGCCAAATCTGCGGCGAGGCTCGAACTCTCCGATAAATTGGCGAGGTCGGCCCCGCCGGCCGTTGGCGAGGCTCGACCTCGCTAGCCAGAGGTTGAAGATGGAGATGAAGGAAAAAAACAAAAGGAAATAAAATAAAAAAATTAATAAAAAATTCGAAAAAATAAAAAATAATATTAAAAAATTACCATATCAGCATTTGCTAGCTGGCCGGTGTCCACATTAGTGCCGGCTGGCCAAAATTGGGCGGATAGACTGAGTTTACACAAATGCAAAAGGTTTCGGACTGAATTGGCACAAAAAAAAAGGTTTATGACTGAATTGACACAATCGTAATAAGTTTAAAACTGTTTTGGTAATTTTCCCCATAGATGTGCTATCTAATGGTCCCGGAATCATGGAATTGTCCTTATTGTTGCTTTGTGCGTGCACCCCGAACGTAGCCTAGGTTAAGGCAATCGAACTCCTCACTGCCCACATGCCCAAAACATGCGTAACCATTAGGGCACGAGCCTAGCGATTGTCCCGTAAACTCAGGATCGTCACTCAAGCTCGAATTGAGCGATAACGCATGAATATTCGGTTCAGCTTAAGTGCAAGGAGCAACTGCATCGACTAGACTCGGTCCGTTTGCACCCCTTTGTTCGTGCCCTGACTAAATCAGATCAGTGCAAACTTTATATTCTGGTGAAGAAGTAAGAGCTAATTCTTCTGTTCTCTGCGATTCCTTGACAGACATTTTCCATTTCTAGGTCCGTGCCACTTTCCTCATTCATGTATAGTTCTCCTGATTTTTGTGAATGATGATTTCCCCATTTTTTTTACCTAACGAACCAGTAAACATAGACTCAGCGTCAATAGGCGTGTACCATTCGCTGTTTTCAGTTTCTTCTACTAGTCACTGTGCAAACTCCACTGCTTTTGCTCTCATGTCATTTCTCTTGATCTCTCTCTAAGTAGGGCGAGAGAAAGTCAATATGATGTTTACATCCGTTTGCTCATCTAAGTGCACCCACTCTCTTTCCCCAGGAAGAAGTAACTGTGACCTGCCTCCACCATAACAAGTACAGAGTCGAACACAATTTGAAGCAAGGGGGTATCGAAAGGAGAAAAACAATGAAACTGGACAACTCATATGAACTGACTCGATGATCAAAAGGAGAAGGTATTTCTACAATAAAAGAATCGCGTATTGTTAACGGTGTGCCAAAAGATGAGTACAGAAAAAGACCCACTCCTGCTCAAGTAACAGCAGAACTCAATGACATTGATCCCACAGCAACCCTGAAAAGGATACACTTCGATCTGAACCAACGAAACTTAAGAATCTCAAAAAAGGTAAAAATACTCCCCAAGAAAACACCTTAAAACAGGTCCTCCACCGTACCATAAAACCATAGGTAATACAAAGAAGCATCCAAAACAATCTAAATACCAAAACAAGCTGTACAACCTAGTCACCTATAGTTCTTTTAAGCTCTTCTTTCCATTTCATTCAAAGTTTCTTAAGCCTCAGTGGAGAAAACCTGTAGATGTTTGTTATGCTTCCTCCAGCCACCTCATAAAACTGTCATTCAGCCTCTGACGGAAAAGATTAATATAAATAAAAGGAAGATGATGTCCACCTGGCATTCCAGAACCCTCGACGAGGCACCTTTCCAATAGCATTATGCCTACTTTTTGTGGTTCTGTAAGCATCAATTCTTGCTTGAAGACGAATGCTCAGTAACCTCCCCATTTGGGAGTTTCAATGCGCCTGTCAGTTCAGAAGAATTTCTTCCAGACACGTCCTCAGAGTGCAGATCTGCCCTACCAGCGACGTTATTGTTTGTTTCTACAACTGCTTCCTCCATCGTAAATTTCTCCAAAGCAGTTGTCAGCTTGTTGTGACCATATCCGCTAGGGGAAGGTGAATCAGTCTCAATGGCAACCTGCTTATTTGGCTCGTCAATTCGGAAGAATTTCTTCCAATCACCACGTCTCCTGACTTTCCGATCCTGCACAAATTTCATGGTGGGAGACACCTTTCAGTAATAAATTGTCTGTCAACTATATCCAAGCAGAACCAACATCTCTAACTCATAACACATACTGCAAAAGTAATGCTGAATCTAAGTAGATAGGTTACTTTAACCACGGCTCATCGTGCTTATCGCTGTGCCAAGTTGGTAGATGCACAATGGAACCCACATATGAAAAACTTACCCTCACTTCAACAATTCTTGAAGCTTTCAATGAATCCAGTATCAACTTTACGTCTCTGGTCCTTTCCTGAACCTGCAAAATACAGTGTTTAACAATAGACTTGTCTGTATAGTTGAAAGATGACATTCCGAGAAAAAATAAAGGGCGAAAAACAAACTCCTAAGAGCTGAATCTGTACCAGAAGATGACATTTCACAGAAGTATCTAGAACATGAACAAATCATAACCTACCAACAGAAACTTTCATACCCAAGGTCACCAGGCTCAAAAAAGATCCTGCACTAGCTGAGCAGATAAAGCAGATACAGACCAAAGGTATACTAAGAATGGAATTGCCAAGAAAATCATGAGAGCATACTTAATATGGAGAGTACAAAAGAAAATGTATAATTTCACATGCTGCTTAAGAAAAACTCGGTTCCCAACATCTGGAAAAATCCAATGACAAGACTATCTGCCATAGCTATAACAGCGCCTCCTCCCTATGTTTTGAGGACACTAACTAAAAGCACTGATAAAGCCCAACTCAATAAGATCATGAAATCACAACAACCATTGGATAGCACAATGGGAGCTGGCAACTTACTGATTTTACAAAGCACCCCCCCCCCCCCCCAAAAAAAAAAAAAAACGAAAGAAAAAGATGCACCATGACCACTAACGAAAGAAACAAGGAAGCTCCCATCGCTTTGTCACAAACAGATTCCAAAAGCCATGAAGGCTCACAAAAAGGAAATTACACCTCTCAGAAAACTCAGACAGCTTCAAACAAGTTCCAGAGTCGCTTAAGTTGAAAACCTACCTCAGGTACCAGCTAGTCAGGGCCACATTCACAACCTTTCTGAAGCTAGATGTATGGGACTAAGAAATTTCAGCTTATTTAATCTAAACCCCCTTGGGAAATGGCTCCAGGATATACTTATGCGGAATAGCCTTTGGAAAGGAAGTACTGTTTCCAAATATGGCAACTAAGAGCAAGGATGGCACACCGAGTTAAAGAGCTGTATGGTATAGAATCATGGGAACCTATGATCAAGTGTTTGGGATAAGTTCTCTGAGTTCACCAGATACAAAGTCGAAAATTTTGCATAGATTTGAGGAGCAGTGACAGACTTTTGTCAAATTCCAGAATCTCTTCATCACAGCAGCAAACAGGAACCTTAAAGTTTCTTCTCATTTGCAGAGCAAGAAAGATCTCATCCACTAGAAACCTGTTGCTTGACAAGAGATTTGATGATTGAGGAGAATCTGAAGTCTTCTCTCTTTCAAATGTCTTTATTTTTAAAATTTTTTTAATAACAGTGAAGACAAGATGTTCTGGAGGATGTTCAAGTGGCAAAAAATCCAGAATCAACAAATTTGCTTGATCAGGACAAAGGAAGCATCGTTATCAGTATAGCGTATTATCCAAACTAAGACATTACCCGTGCGGTGATTTGTAATTATGCAAGTCCAGCTACTCAAATTACTTATGATAAAACCAGTTATGCTCAAGCCAAACTAGCTCAACGAGCACTTCAGTATGTGGCTTCAACCATTTACCAGTCCCAACTAATACTAAACTCTGACACTGTTTCAAAGCACTTGACAACACATATATCCAAATAACAGCATCCAACTTTGGGTCACAAGCTACGAAGGCTTGCACAGTACCACATCAAAGTCGATGAAGTACATTAACTACTTAATATATGTTGTAGAGCCCATATGAAATCTGCATCGAATTTAACTCAATTCAAGTTGTATACATTAGTACTCAATTAAGTCAACTACTCATTGATCAATACATCACTGGTTCAGCTCATTACCCGTTAGTACTGTACAAGAAGCATAACATTGGTTTTCTGAAGTATTGAAGGAAAAGAGTGATAGCTGCTACCGATGAGCCAGTTGGCCTTGAAAGCCCTGCATAGCTGACCCAAACTCATGCAAACTAACCCGTGTGAAGAAAAATTACATTTCTAGCACTGGAAGCCAACACACATGCACATGCACACACACAGAGGACTGTGATGGCTAAATGCGAACGGCTAACTTTCTAGACTCTGTAGATTAGGGCCTAATGTCTCACTTGCTCATGGACATTTATTTATGTCAGAACATAGCATAACTTTCCCATGTAACCTAAGCTGCTTGAGGTGATAGAGGTGAAGGATATTTTACAGTTTTGCCACACCACAACATATCGATCCACGGAAACAATAAACTATCATAAGTTAGCCCATAAAAGTGGTCAAAGCAACTATAATGAAGTGTCATTAGAAGATATGCATTTGAACGATATAGAAAATAATTGACAAGGATGTACTTATCAACGAAAGCAATGAAATCATCGATAAATGAGCAAATTATAATTGAAATAGAAATGAAAGCGGCATCGATCAATTAACATGGACTTCTAGCCTTTTCATTTACAAACTAAGTAAAATAGGCTTCTGGACTGATGGATACTGGAAATCAAATATGCAGGGGTAAATGAGCAGAACCCATATGTGAACAGATATATATATGTTTGATTAAAAATGTCAGTATGCCTCCCTGCTATTAAGAACTGTCTGTATCCAACTATGTAATTGAGGCAATGAGAGAATTATTTTAATTGATACATCACGCCCAATCTTCTATTTGTGCTAAACGGTTAAATCAATCCCCAAGTAAGTCAAGAGTTGTAAACTGCAAAATTTTATATAGGCAATCCAATTATGCTGGAACAGTGAATATTACATACCCGTCTGAACTTTGCTATTATTTCAATAGAAACCCAGCCTTCCTCGTCCATATTTCTTCTCAGAAAAACGTCTTTAACCAAGTTATCGTCACTGAGATTCAAAAATAGGCATGACAAGTATTTTTCCACAAACTGAAAAAAAAAAGGCACAAACCAAACCAGTAGCCAACTACGATACCTGAAATAGTACTCTATTTGATCAACCAAAGATGCAGGCAAAGTGTTCTCATGCCCGGCTACAGGCACATTGCTCTCAGGGGCAGACACAGGCAGAGTGTTCTCTGGTACAGCCATGGGCGTAAACATGGGTGTGGTTGGCGTATGAACCACATATTGCCAACCCGTGTACGGATCCACATGCAATGCAGGAGGATAATATTGAGACGGCATCTCTGAAAACAAAAGCCCCAATAGTCAAGAAGAAGCAATCCCATAAAGGCTTACTTAACATACCTAAAGCTCGACTTACCAGCATAACCCATTGGCATTCCAAAAGGTCTCATAGGCTGTGGCGGCATATACACCATAGAGTTTACTGGTGGAGGTGAAAGCCTCCCGAAGCCCCTTGGAGCACCACCATGTGGCTGAGAGCGAACGCCTCTTGCGTCTGGGTAATTTCCACGGTCATGATCACGCCTATTCCCATAATTATTACGAGAGGAATGAACCCTTTGAGAAGATTCAGGGTGACCATTCATGGCCTGTGGCCGAGATGGAAGACCTCCAGTTGGTCTGCTGTCCCAATTATTCCCCCGATAAGGAGGCTCTCCATTGGAAAAATCTGGCGGTGCAGGACGAACAAAGTTTACGTAAGGATTTGGAGACATTTGAAACATAGGGACTGGTCGCGGTAATGGTTGTGAAGGAGGAGGAGGAGGAGGAGGAGCGAAGCCACTTTGTGGTCGCCAACTCCCACTGCCGTTGCTTGCTCCAGTGCCATCACCTCGTCTATTCGGCCTTCTACGAACCTGCTGCGTGCGGTTCGGTGCTGTTCTCGGGCTTCCATTGCCGCTGCTACCACCTTGTCTCTCAGGTAAGTTAGGAATAATTGGCCCCTATTCGAATCATATAGGCAGCATTCACAAATCAACCAATATAACGTGTGAGTGAGACAAACCTTCATCTTTTGCATCAGTAACAACTCAAATTCAATCTAATGGCACGCAATACTTAATAAGCGTGACGATATTCATTAACATGATAAGGTACACGTTCAAAATTCCAACTGGCCTAGTGATAGGTAAAGGGGTAAGAGTATTAAATAATGTGGATCCAACAGCTTTAGTTGATTACGACGTTCACAACACTGACGAGTGCCAAACTTAGGACCCTGCAAGTTTCTTTTGCATATCGTAAACGCTATAATCACAGAACGATCGAGAGCTACCAAGACAAACCTGAGAACTGGAGTCCGATCCATTAGGGACGGCTTTGGGAGTCGATTCGACGGATAACGATTTGACCGGAGCTCTAGCAGACTCGGACAGAGCAGGCCAAGCCACGGAATCCCCCATCACGGGACCAGCCTCCACGACGTCGCTCGCCGCCGCCGCCGGCTTCTTCCAAGCCGGCTTGCTCGGCCTCGACGGACCTGCATTGCCCTCGTTCGCATCGCAGCCCTCCGCCTCGGCCGCGGGATCGTCGGGAGCCGCCGCCGGGGCCGCCTTCGGCGGCGGGGAGGGGCGGCTGCGGCTGCGGCTGCTGCTCCGCCGCGCGGCGGCGGCGGCCGGGGAGGGGGCGGCGACTGATCGGCGGGCGCGGGCGGCGGATGCTCGCCGCGGACGACCTGGGCCCACGGGGAAGGGAGGCAGCCGTGGCGGAAGCGGGGGCTGCCGGCGCCGCCGACGCCGCCGCCGCCGCGAGGGGAGTGGTGGTTGGAGGGAGAATCGGGTGCCGTAGGCATTCGAGAAGCGGAAGAGTGAAGGAATCGACGGGAGGGGATTGATCGCCGGTTCTTCGATTTCGACGACGGGCGTTTGCGCGTTGCGGCGGCGAGAGAGAGGAGACGGAGGCTTCTTGTTGCGGGAGGTTGAAGTCAGGTACACACACGCACGCAGATAGAGAGAGAGAGAGAGAGAGAGAGAGAGAGAGAGAGTCTTGAGTATGTTTAGGTTTTCATTAAATGATGGTACTCAGTGTCGTTATTTCTCGGGGAGATTAATTGTAAATTAAATTATGCTTAAATACGTCTTTCAATTCGCGCTTAATATATACTTTCGCCTGTAATTGTTGTCCTTTTTTTTCCCCCCTATTAAATTGCTTCGTAGAGGTCTTGTGGCACGACATCTCTCGGACATTAAACACAAAGGGGGTATTCTTCTCCTCCCGGGGAAGAAAAAGATTCGAGGAAAAAATGCGGATATTGGCATGTTAAAATAAAGGGCACATCCGTAAAACCCGCAGTCTTTGCACCCACCCTGCATGTCAAACGGGACAGGGCGCGAAGGCCCTTGTAGAGAGCTCGCTCGCCTTTTGCGGTGAGGAAACTCCTTAAGCATTCCAAGGATATGTAGGATCCCTTGATTTCGTTATTGGTGTTGATAATTCGTTTGTGTGAATATATATTATTGGGATTGTGACCAATACAGCACAATGTGTGAGTTGGACATATGAAATGCGGCTTAACGGTTTTAAATTCAAAATTTTTGCGGAACAGATGTATGGCGAAAAGAACGAATGTATGCGTCTTATTGATGTATATCAGCAGTTCGACGTGTTATTTTCGTTTTTGTTGGCGCATAACTGGTTTCACTTATGGTCTCGACACTTGCGCGTTTCTCGTGAATGAATTAGACTTGTATGGATGCATAGATAATAAAAAATGAAAAAAAATTATAAAGTTGATCATACAAAGTCCGGAAAATGCTTGAAGTTGATTCATGTAGATTTTTAAGATTATGGTTTAGTTAATTTGGATATATGGTGGAAAAATTAGAAAGAAGAGTTTACTAACTATTAGCATAGTTGCAAGTTAAGTTTTTATTGTTATTTTAGAATATTTATATCCCGATCCAGTGTGGTAATCTTCACATGAAAGTTATGTTTAACTAAAATATCTAATTACAATGTCTAATGGTATCGATACAAGTGATTTTTTTTTAAGAACATTTTTTTAACTCACAGCGTAGGCCCGTCTAGTTCAGGTCGGCCCAGTCTGGCCCATATGAATTGGCATCGGTTAAAGGAGGTTCGTTGCCATTACTAGCGACGAGGAGGAAACCACGTATCAGAAAGCAAAGCATCAAAACCCGAATGTCCTCTATTAAGGCAAATGCTCAAAGACGCCCGATCTGAGCCCAATCTGGCGTCCCGAAATTGAGTTTGGCCACGTTTTTTGGTTTCGGAGGACGAGCCAACCGAGAGATACGCACGCCGGATTGTTCCTCGGACAGTCGGACCGGTCCATTCACGGTCATTAAATCGATGACGGATGTCTTAGAACAATAACTTAAGTCTGGCGACTGGCTCAGCTGATCACGCACATTATACCGTGACGTAAAATCCCTTTGTCGCTAGAATTCATTTGTACGTACGGACTGCACGGTTATTCGATCCCGAGAGAGATTGTCGAAGGACGGCATCAATTGCTTAGTCTGGCGATTCGATGAACTTGCAAAGCCAAGTTGATCTGTCGTATCTTTTTCCCGACCTCGTTTGAATATCAGTCACGGGGCTGTGTATGGTGCAGGTTTTGGCTCCTTTGCCAAATTTGGTTCGCAGCGTTGATGCTGCATTTTGGCCATGATTCCCATCACCGGCACCGGGATAAACCCCCGCTCGAAGCGTCGGGGCGACCGTCATGTACAACCATGTGGAGGCTTGGGATGATCAGGTTGGTGTTTACTGGTCTACTTTGCGTAGAGGGCGAAATTCACCAACTTAGATTGAAACGCAGTTTTTAGGATGTAGAGTTATTGAATGGCAGGCTAGGGTTATACGAATCAAATGCCATGCAATGTAGCTCGTCATTTTATTTATCGTTTCCAGACCTAGGCATTGTCTTCGAATCTGAATTTTTTTTTTTTTTTAACTTTTATGGCCCGGGTTGTGTGGCTGCTTGAACATTGGATCTTCTGGGTCGGGCCGTTGCTGCTGCTGTCTACCATCAATACATTTCGTGGGCGACTGCGGGAAAGGCTTTGCATATCAGCGGGCTGGATTATTTCTGGAACTGTGACTGGGCCGGTTTATGGGAATTGGTTTAGACAGTTCATAGAAGTTCATTCATAGTCGTGTCTGCAAGAAAGGCCGGTGCTGTGTACAAAGTTTTCGTTCATCTTTAGTTTCTGCTGAAAACCATTCCTGGGTACCGAAGTCTTGTTGAGCATTGCCCGTTTTCGCGGTTACTTCGACAGTTTCTCTATGTGCCGATGATTATGGATTCATGCGTCTAATGTTAGCAAGACTCACTGCAAGATATCTTGTATAAGAATTGTGCGCTTGTATATGCATGATCGATGCAATACATGACAAACTCAAACTTTCAAAACTAACTGATCGCAAGAAAAAGATAATCGAAAACGTAAACGATAACCTATACCAGCTTGAGGAACTCATCATCTATCGCACTCCACCGATTGTTTGTTGCCAATATTTATGGTCTTGAACGATCTAACTCCTTGAATTAGGAAGCCGATGATGACTTGTACCATAACGTGTGATCCCTCTTACTATGTCTGGTCTGTATCTGGAGTTGGACCTAACTCCAATCTTGTGCATGACTTAGCTAAATTTCTCTAACGGTATATACTTCATCTTTTCTATCAAAAAACGGAGAAATGTGAACCTATTTCAAGCGCCATACGAACAAAAAAAAACAAGGATACCTGGTCGTAAGAGGAATATAACGCCAAACTGAACCTTAAGAACAGGTCCCACACCTTTACGTTGAACCGGTCTAAATCAGGCAAGGATGGACCCCTTTGCAAACATGCGGAGGAGGAGGTGACCATCTCTGCAAACTAGTTGATCGAGTCAAGAACATGCACACTCAGATCCCAGAATATTGTTCTATATCAAGAGAAAATTTCAATCTTTCATGAGTCTGTTTTCTTTTCCATTGCTTTTGCTCACGCCTCGCGCTTCCCAATCTATTTGTAGAAGGATATTTCCATTCTGCTGGGGCAGAGAACATATATTTCTGGGACAAATGTAGAAAAAGAAAAAGGCCAAAAAGATGTAATTCTTGGGTTGTGGGTTCAATTTTGTCGACAGCCAGACGAATGGGTCAGCAGTCAACTCGTTACGACCACTCATTATGAACACGGGAGTCACGGACGTTTAATAATTTGCCGTATGCTTTCCAATTTGATTTTTCGGACGGCCCACTTCGTCATCGATCGAATCGATGAACCAGTAGTGAAAAAATCTTTTGCGGGTTGCTTTTGGTTTCGATGGATTATCACTTCACGTCGAGTGACCGAAGAGGGACCAAGAGCGCTCCACAGACGAAGATGGCCTACGCGATCCTCTGGTTCGTCATCTTGCCGCTCTTTCTCGTCCGCATCCATGTAGCCACCTTGTACGATTGCCGGTGCCGCTGCGGTTGCTATGATGACATGATATATGATTGTTATAGCCTGGCTGTCAAATCTGGTGAGCACCCTTCTCGTGTCGACGCCGAGCTCGCTAACGCCGAAGCTACGGTGCATCGTCGCCTAATTTATTCACTAGCGGTGTTAAGATCCCTCACGTTCTTCCAATTTAGCTAAAAAGATCTAAAATGATTCCTAATTCCTAGGTTTTACGAGGAAACAAGTGGTAAATGAAGCAAATAGGGTAAAGGTTGAAGTGGATCAGGACAAGGGAGTCTGGTTATGGTATGGGGAGACTGCAGTGCCGTCGTCGTCTAGCTCCTTTTTCATCATAGATGATGAACACTCTTCAAGTACGACCACCGCACCGACAGATATTTCACCAGGTGGGACTTACAGACGAATCACCACAAATTTGTATAAGGGTCCGCTTCTGGGCCGTGGGTCATTTGGATCAGTCTACGAAGGAATGACTGAGTAAGTGCAAAATGCTCTTCAGGCCTCATGCTACCCATTTAGTTCTGTTAGAATAACTCTCGAACCATTTCATTGGTCTTTACTTAATGCAGCTCTAAGGTTATGTTCCGAATTTCTTGTATAAATCACGTTAGCTGAATGTCAATTAGGAGGTGCTTGGATATCGAACGAGGAACACATTTCAGCTGTCTCACCGCCTTATCAATTTTTGCCAATAGCCCACTCTAAAATCATCGTGCAGAAGTTTCGATTTGCAAAAGGCATCGTCGCACCATTTGTTTCTTCGTGGAATACTATTGACTTCCTTTCTGTTTTTCATTTCTTTTGTGATGGCAAGTTGCTATTAGCGAAGCCAAAGGAGCATATGGATCTTAGTGTTGTTAGCTCTGATTGGGGGAGAGAAATTTTTGCGGTTACATCAATGTGCTGGGGTGATAGGTGAGGGTTGGTCCATTAAGGTTTACGAACTGGCAAATTACTGAAAAAAGATGACACAAATGTATGTGAGTGCTCTTCTTATATAGGACTCCTACATTAAGAAAGCCTTTACTTGTCAATCTTTTTGCTGGTGTCATCGAAAGTCGTGTACTGCACTTGGCATTATTATTGTTGCAGTTCCTACGTCTGCAGCATTATCTCATGCCCCTTCACTGAGAGAGTTTGTTATACCGGAAATACTTTGATTTCTCGGTACGCTATGCAGTCATCATGTTCTAACTTATACGTTAGGATCTTCTCATCAATGTCCTTCTTCCTCTCTATTTCACTGTAGTGATGGATTCTTTATTGCTATAAAGGAAGTCTCGTTACTCGATCAAGGAGATTTGGGAAGGCAAATTGTCTTGTATTTGGAACAGGTAATCATTATTTCTCCTTTGCTTGATCTAGAACACTAGCGAAATTATGAGAGGCTGAAAATGTCACAACTGTAATTTGTATTATTATTTGCTCGATCTCATCCGGTGCTTGCTTTTCAGGAGATTGCTCTGCTAAGTCAGTTTGAACATGAGAACATAGTCCGTTTTTTCGGCACAGCAAAGGTACAACTTTCTTTCTTATTACGTCATTGACGCACCTTTTAGCAAGTGACTCTCCGCACTCTTAAAAATCAATAAATGCATTAACAGGATGATTCCAATCTCTATATTTTTCTGGAGCTCATGACGAAAGGTTCCCTTGCAAATCTCAATCAAACATATCATCTCGGAGATTCTCAAGTTTCTTCATACACAGGACAGATCTTAAGCGGTCTAAAGTATCTTCATGATCGCAATGTGGTCCACAGGTGGGACATGCCATATGCATTTTTCCTTTATAAGCTCTTTTGATGTTACCATATCCTAATTCCTGTAGTGTTATTGGTGCCAAATCCTTGATTTTGGGTGCTCTTAGTGGCCCCTGTTGGTACGTTATATCTGCATTACCAATGTCCTACTGCCGCCTCTTTTTTTTTTTGTAGCAATATCTGTACGATCTCTACGTTCTTTGTGCAAACAGAAAGTTTTCCTGCTCCAACAGAAAACTTTTTTATTTTCTTATATGTCTTACTTGAAGAAAATTCTTTTAATAATGTTTCTATGGTGTGTATTCCGTAGTGTAATTAATAATTTTTTTTGGTCGAAATAGTGTAATTAATGTTGACTGTATCTTTAGGTGCGAGGTCTAACCTTTGGTTGGAAAAATATCTAGGGGTACTGGTGCAGTAAAACGTTCTTCCACTTAGGCTGTGTTCGTTTGCGGAAAAATATTTTTTCGGAAAATATTTTCCGCGTTTTCCGGTGTTCGGGGGCGGAAAATGTTTTCCATGGGAAAATATTTTCCTTCCCCACCCCCAAATCCTTCATTGTTTTGAGGAAAATGATTTCCTCTTTTCACAAAGAGGAAATCATTTTCCCCCAAATTGAAGGCAAAATTGCCTATGGGAAGGAAAATATTTTCCGTGGGAGAAGAAGTTGATCGCCGGTCACCACCGTTGGCCGGCCGCCCGCCGCAGCCGCCGCCCGCCGCCACCGGTCGCGCGGCCGCCGCCGCCAGCTCGGCCGCCGCCGCCGCCGCCGCCGCCCCGCCACCCGTCGCCGGTGAAAAATATTTTCGAAACTTTTTCATATTGATCGCCGAACACCGGAAAATTATGTTCCGGGAAAACATTTTCCAGGAAAATGACTTCCGGGAAAATATTTTCCAAAATAAGAATATTTTCCGCCAAACAAACGGAGAAAATATTTTCCAAAAGGAGAATATAATCCTATTGTTTCATGCGCTGATTTTACTTTTCTTTCCAGTTTTGGATTGATCTCTGCTTTTTGCTAATATGATAGAGCATTTGGTTAATGACTCTCTTTGTTGACTTAAGCTGCATAATCTGGATCACTTGACTCTGAAATGATTCACAAATCATTGTGAAGTTGTTTGATCTTACACTGCCAAATACTTGGAAAATTTGGACTTTTGTATGGCAGGACAATATGTTTCCCTTCGACTTTGTCTTCTGTATTTTGCTTTTGATATGTATTTGCTCTAGTATTATTTTGTGTCTTTAACTCGCTTGACTCTTGCTTTTATAATTGTTCAATCATTGGTAAGTCTGATTCACTTTTAGTGGTCGCCAATTGTCATTCTTCATTGCGTTATTATGTTACCTGTTTTGGCGCCTCATCTAATTCATTCTTCTGCATAAGGGACATCAAATGTGCAAACATCTTGGTCCATGCAAATGGAATTGTGAAACTTGCAGATTTTGGATTGGCAAAGGTAATTATCGCTTTATTTGTATGTAACAACACTCGGTACTATAGATGTCGAGTCAGGTAAGACCATGGGGTAATCCTCTTTCTTCTCTCACCCCAGGCAACCACATTAAATGATATCAGATCTTGCAAGGGCACTGCATTCTGGATGGCACCGGAGGTTGTCTTTAATCCTTTTCTTTTTTGATCGTTTTCTTTAACCACAATTTTGAGTTTTTGAGTTGGTGTCAGATTAGATTATTTTATACAAATGATGGCTGGTGGCTCATATGTAGAGCTGGATGAAAAATTTGATGGTGAACAAGGGCTGGACATGTCTGGGCAGGGTATTTCCTATTTGGGCATAAATTGAAATTCCTTTCTGGCCTCAGCTGCCAACTTGGAAGCACTCCATAAAATATCATATCCAGTCCCTTATCAGTCAACCAAATGCGGATTTGGAGTCTAATTGACCTACTGATACTTTTCTTGAAAACATTAAGGTCTAGGTTATCAGGTTATTGAGTTCCTGATTTTCCTTGAATTGGTTTTCCAAATTGTTCAGGCTTTTGTTTTTTGCTGTAAACATACTACCAATTGCCTTACTTGATATTTCTCGACTGTTTCGAGAAAACAAGATGATGTAGAGTGATACTTGACCATTGATTAATTTTGCCACAGAAATTGAATTGCCCCTAAACTATGATCAGAACTTGCAAGTTTTTTTATACTCGGGAGTCTTTAATATGGACTGAATATGAGTTATGCTGGGAGTTCTCATAGAATTTTTTCTAGTCAATATCCATGGATGATTTTCTCATAGATGCGAACTGCAAAAGTTGTCTACAATGACAGGTTCATCTCAAAGGATTTGTTAACGTCAAGAATAGACTTGTTTATTCTTTTTTGACTAATCTAGAGGTCCCCCTCCCCCAACAGAAAAAGAGAGAAAAAAAAACACACGAGGTCGTACTGACCTCACTAGGTCATTTAACTTCTTGTCCTCGGAGATCATAGAACACTACGACCATGCTTGTAATGTGATGAAAGGGGAAGAGAGAATTGTTTGCTTCTCCTTCATTTTCTTCTTCATCTTTCTTTTCCTTCATTTTGTTTTTTTTATCTGAATGTAGAGTTATCTATATTATTCAACTTATTTCTGAACATATAGTCTTTCTGCATTTTGGTGGGGGTTGTTATTCATTAAGAGAATTGTCATATGCCTTTGTCTTCTACACCCTGTAGTTCGGATAATTCGAAGGTTTTGGTTGGGTTTCAATGGGAAGGAGTCCCTGATAGCATAATCTCGGACATCATCTTGCAATCTACTTTGGACTTTTCTTCTTGTTACCATCGCAGGGGAATTATCCAGATAGACCTCCTCTATGTAGGTAGCTGGGTGGTGTGTAGATTCTAGTCTTTTCCTTTTCAGTTTGCTGCTTGCCGCTATCGTCTTGGCTTTAGGTGACTCTACTTTATATCCCAAGCTTAGTGGGTTTTGTCAGAGGGTGAAGTATGAAAACATATCCATGTATATGTTTGGTTGACAGTCATTGTCAATTTGGAGATTGAAGAAGCTACATACATCCTATATTTTGTTCTCCTGTCCCCATTGGGGGTGTTTGTAGTGAATTATATCACATCCTGACATGATGAAATAAGATGAATTGAGACGGTATTTGAGACAAAATGTGTTGTGAAGAACGTCGAGGAGGTAGGAATGGCAGTTGCTCAGATCTAGTATGGATTGGTACCGTCGGATATTAGAAAATGTGATTATATTTCTTATTTCACAGAATAGTGTGGTTTAATGTAAGTGCTCAAACGAAGTAATCGTTGGGTAATTTGAACTCCGAGCATTTCCTTCTTGAAAATATTGAAAAGGGCGCAGGAAAAATAAGTCGTAATCTGGTCTACAACTTTATTTTACAGGCAAATCATGGAGCCCTCATCTCTGTTTTACTTTGCAACAATTTTTTATTATGCTGTTAGCACACCCTGCAATTGCTTCCCTGTAAGAATGACAAAAGTATCCAGTGTGCAGCACCCACACTATGTGGCGTACGACTGTGTAAACTCTCCTAAGCCTCACTGCCATGGCTATTGAAAGTGTGCTTCTTGGTGGAGTGGCCTCAAATGAGGCCTTCTATAATCATTTAGGCAACAAGGTACCAGGCATGAAAAGGAATGTGATAGGATAATATCCTCATGAGTGTTCTATTTGTTTTCGTCATGATTAATAAATGCAAACAAATAGTGATTAGTTTTCCAGAAATTTATAGGGTCACAGCGGCATATTCTAGGAAAGAAGTGAAAATGCCCTTAACATCCAAGTAATATGTGAAAAGTGGACATCCCGTCCAGCTCAAATTGTTGCATCTAAAGAAAGTAATAAAGGTGAAATGGATTTTCATTCTTGCCAGTTTTCCGACCACCAAAGGGGGTGTTATGAGAGAAATCTTTTTAAAGCAGTGATATGCACTAGGTCATGGTATTCAAACTGTTAAAAAAACCTCAATGTTCTCCGAGTATTAGTAGTTCCTGTGTCTTATCAGGTAACCTGGATGGGGAGTTGTCTGTCTTGCAAGACTTGATTAGGAGGTAGATCTTGGGTCGTGTTTATTTACAAGTGATAGTGGATGAGGTTCATCCCTTTGTCTGGTGTTTGTGGCAGATTTTCAAAATGCATCTTCTGGTCGTTACTATAATTACTCTTCTTCTTCTTCTATTATTATTATTGCTGCTGCTGCTACTTTTTTTTCTTTAATAGTGCTATATTTTCCACTATAGATCCTTTAAACTTCAAATTAGTCAAATGCTTCATATGCGATCATTGTTTTTCTCTTTCTTTTTGGACATCAAGTCATCCAATCAAAGAAATTTCCTACTTATCTGACACACATTACACTAAAAGGTTGTAAATGCCAAAGACCGTGGCTATGGGCTTCCAGCTGATATATGGAGCCTTGGGTGCACTGTATTGGAGATGCTGACCCGTCGGGTCCCATATTTTCCTTTGGAACGGGTATGTTCCTCAAAACAATCTAGCTTAAATATCTCTTCCAATTGTCATGTCCCACAAAAAGAAAAATCTTTCCAACTATCTCTCTAGTGAGGCGGCTTTTCTACTTGGATAAATGAGGGTTTTCTTTTAGTAAGGGCTTTTTGATGATGTGAAATAATATGATGCCTTGTCTGTATTGCTTTTGCTTAATAGTGTACTCCCTTTACTTTTTTTGGTAGAAAACGGAATCATTCAAAACCGTTTTGTGCTCAAACCTCTGTTATTGCTTGAACTGAATTTACATTTATCCTGTAAAAAGCAAAAGATTATGTCTCTGTTTAACTAGTTGACCCAAGCAGATGCAAGCATTGTTTCGGATTGGAAGTGGTGAGCCACCACCGGTACCAGATTCTTTATCGAGAGATGCAAGGGATTTTATCTTGCAATGTATACGAGTTAAACCTGACGACCGGCCCACTGCAGCTCAGCTCTTAGATCATCCATTTGTGAAGAGACCAGTTCCCACATTGTCGGGCTCGGCATCTCCTTATCACCATCTCAGTAGATAACTGACTGCATAAACCATATCGAATTCATCCTGCTTGTCCATAGCTGTCAACTTCTCACAGCCTTGCTGCGGATCTGGCTGGAGACCTGAGATTATGGAAAGCATGTATTTGGTCCACATAATCAGGTTTATAAAATCGTGCTTTGTAAAGATGTTTCAGTTTGATGCCAAGGGTAGATAACTTTTTCTTCAGTTTTGTTTCTCTCAGTTTCTTTTTATGCCAGTGAAACTGAAGATTGCAAGGGACAGACGTCCCTCCTGTTGTTGTTGTCGTGAGAAAATAAAAGGGGAGACAAATGCATATATATCTTTCAGGATATATAACTAGTTTGTGCTAACTAGTTACCTTTATCCGGATAGTATATTTTTAGATTCACAACGCAGAAATTACTACTTAATAAATTTTAGGGATAAATTTCTGTTGTTGTTCCATAAAATAATACGGATTGTATCACGCCTAGCATAACTCGGGCGTGTAGTCCATCAAGCGAGAGACACATAATACTTTAGGCACCGCAACTGGTTTTAGCTTGCCATGGCCTCATTAGGAGAGCGGCATCAGCTCCCGACCAGTTTGTGCACGGGAGGCCAACCCTTCCTTCAGAGCTCCAAAGGGTATATTTAGAGTTCCTAGCATCGATCATTATGACACCACTCTCACAACCCAATTGTATTCATCTTTTTTGCATCATCACTCTTCACCTGATAAGATCGAGCACCTATCACAAGGGTACACAAGTACGAGAGAATTACGGTCCGTGACATTCTCTTCCACTCAATTCGGCAACGCCCTCGCTGTAGGTTGTTTTGTCGCTTCCCTGCTTCAATTCTCATTATTGATGCTGCTTTTTCGAGTCTTACATGGGTGGTGGACGCTCGCCCAATAAAACAACTTCGCTCCACTAGTGGCTTTTCTTGATCAAAGCCGTTCGGCACCCTTGGTCACTTATGCTTTCCCTGACATGTGTGGCATTTTTCGCCAACTGCACCATTTTGACAACAACATTCTTCGCCTACTTTTCGGTTTCTCATTATCTCAGTAGACCAATGGAGGTTTTTCTTCTTATTGATAACGTGGTAGCAAACCCATTTTGAGATTCGCCAAATTAATCCAGGAACGTTTTCCCTATTCAGTGAGGAATCAGTTCTTTCCTGTGTGCCCCCATTGTCAACCTGGAAGCTGGTCGAGAGCCGCATTTGTTATGAGCATTCTTTTGGCTCTGGCGATTCACTCTTCGCCCTCGTAGGACTAGGTAGACCACAAGTTTTCTTCGACTCACTCACCTACTAAAGGGATCCTGCTTTGTTACCATCTGTCACAGGCCGGCAGTTCCTTGGCCGCGGAATAGCTCGTGCGGCTCCTGACGAGTCATTTACACCAGGCCAACCCTCGTTCTGTTGTTGGAATATCTTCTTTGTATTGGATTGTACCACACCTAGCATAACTTGGACGTTTAGTCTATTGAGCGAGACACACAGAATACTTTAGGTACCACAAGTGGTTTCAGTCTACCATGGCCTCATCAGAAGAACGGCATCATCTCCCGACCAATTTGTGCATGGGAGGTCGATCCCGCCTTCAAAGTTTCTAAGGATATATTCATTGCATACTAGAACTCCTAGCACTAACCGTCCTGACACCACTCACACGACCCAGTTGTGTTCATCCTTTCTGCATCCTCACTCTTCAGCCTTTAACCCCGAGCACCACTCATAATGGTGCGTGAGTACGAGAGAACCACGGTCTGTGACACATGCATGTAGATACCCGTATATTTTATGGGGAAAATTGTCCAAAAAGTCCTAAACTTATTATACGGCGGCCAATTTAATCATAAACCTTTTAATTGTACCAATTTAGTCCTAAACCTTTTGATAACTTGTCAATTTAGTTCTAAACTTTTCGATTGTACCAATTTAGTCTTAAACATGATGATTTTCCAATTTAGTCCTAAACATTTTAACGATTTGTCAATTTAGTCATTCTAGCTAATTTTGGCCAGAAATCGCTGACGTGATGGTCTAGTCAGCACTGATCATCTTATGTGGCACGACCGGTGCTTATGTGGACAATTTTTGCAATGTTTTTAGTTTGTAAATTTTTCTTTTTTTCCTCTTCTTTTCTTTTCTTTATTATTTTTCCCTCCGTTGGCTATTGCTGAGCCTGAGGGTGACGGCAGCCCTTGCTAGTTCAAGTGTGGGCGTCCCTCACCTGAGGTCAATGACCTCTGCCGGCTATCGACAAGACCTGACGATGAATGTGCACGAACTAATTGCGAGGGCTAGAATGAGAGGTTTTCTTCTAGTCTTCCATGACACACACTTTAAAAAATTCTTAAGAAAGGCAAGTTCCTTATGTGAATACCCTTCTTTTGCACCAATGAGGAAAAAAGAAGAAGAAATCCTTGCACCCAAATTCATGGTTCTAATTTGATTTATTTTACAAAATATGAACATTTTTAGGAAATGCTAAAGATACTAAATTATTTATCGATGGTCAATTGATTTGGTAAGATATTACATTACATTAAATCATGTGCCCCATTTTATTCATGTGATATTTCCGTATCATTTAAGAAGAAGTTTTTAATCGAATGGTATATCTAGAATTAATCGTCATTATCTATACCAGGCCATTTCCTTTTCGTTATGTGAAAAGATGTAAAGTAATTGAAGAGGAAGAAGCTCTTCGATTTTTGCAGGCCCAGATGCGGAATGGATAAAAGAAAAAAGAATAAGGAGGGTGTGAATATGGTGGTTTTTCCATTTTCTTCGTCTTTCCCGGGTTATCTTCCCTCTTTTAGTTTGCCTACTCATTTCTTTTTTTTGGTACGTCTCTTTTTTATATTTTTCGGGTTCATGTGGGATCCGCTTGCTTGGCCTTTGAATATGGCATTTGTGTATGGGTTAATACTACGAAAAACCATAAAATGGTACAGCTGTGATAAATTTATCCCAAACTAATTTTTTGACCAAAAAAACCTCAAACTGGTACAACTGTGATAAATTTGCCTTCAGTTTGTTGCCGTTAAATTTTACTGTCAAATTGCTTTGTTAAATGACACGCAGTAGTTGACGGATGTACCCGTTTTATGTTTTACCCTCCGTTTGTTACAGGTGTACCAGTTTATGATTTTTTATAATATTAATCCAATTTAATGAAAACTAACGCAGGGCAAATTTATCACAAATATATCAGTTTGAGATTTTTTATGGTCAAAAAATTAATTTGAGGTAAATTTATCACAAGTGTATCAGTCTGGGATTTTTTGTGGTATTAACCCTCTGTATATTTTCTCGAGAACCCGGTTGGAGAAGAAGTGGAATGGGAATGCATGCATGCATCGGTCGACGTGGGAGGAAAATACATGCAGAAGTTTTGCTAGCTAGAAACGCATGAGCCCACAAAAAGAAATATACAGAAAACGTAGGGAGAGACGTAGACCGATAAATGGATAAGAAAACTTTCCTTTATTAGTCCTCCATGGAGAGGAATACATACATCAAAGTCAAATATTCTTTTTATGGTTTAGTTCGTGGGGGAGCTATCTCGACTCGTCCTGTTCACAATTTCATGTCAAGTTGAATACTAATCCAAATCCGGTAGACTAGCATCTGAACCAAAGAGAAAAAAGTTCTTTCGATCCTTAAAAAGTCATCAACGAATGAGGCGTGATATCGCGATGCTTGATGTTTAACAAAATAATCAGATCACATTCGAGGAAAAAGTCAGAAGCTCGTATCAAACACACCTGTAATATGCAAACCTGAAATTGCACGTAATATTATTTTCACGAAAAGGGAGCAGAAGACAAGAAATTACCCGGTCGTAAGAGGGAATAGAACACCAAACCGATCCCAAACCTTTTTTGTTGAACCGGTCTAAATCGGGGAAGGGCGTGGGCTCATTGCAAACGTGTGGATTCAAAGAATGACGGCGCAGCTGTGACAATCACGAATCGATCAATCCTATTCTCCGAAACTTCCATCTTCTGAGGAACGCGGAAAAGGAGCTGACTTCCATAAGTACCAAATTAATCCAAAAGGCAAAACACAAAAATGGGTCAGAAATGTAACTTCTGTTTTTTGTTTCTATTATTATTATTATTATTATTATTAATTAGAGTTAATATCACGAAAAATCTCAAACTGGTACATCTGTGATAATTTTACCCAAAACTAATTTTTTTACCACAAAAAACCCCAAACTGGTACACATGTGACAAATTTACCCAAATTAATATTTTGACCACTAAAAACCCCAAACTGGTACATTTGTGACAAATTTACCCTCCGTTAGTTTTCGTTAAATTGAATTAATAGCACAAAAAATCACAAATTGGTACACCTGTGACAAATGGAGGGTAAAACATAAAATTGGTACATCGGTTAACTATCGCATGTCATTTAACAAAGTAATTTGACAGTAAAATTTAACGAAAACAAACTGAGAGTAAATTTGTCACAAATGTACCAGTTTGGGATTTTTGGTGGTAAAAAAATTAGTTTTTGATAAAATTGTCATACGTATACCAGTTTGAGGTTTTTCATGGTATTAACCCTTAATATTATGGCGTCATAAACCATTTTTATTTCTTTTTTGGCAGATAAAATCCACCCAACATAGTAATCTCCCTCCCACAAAACATAGGCAGAGGAGGACCCGGACCCATTCAACGTGAGGGGGGTACATTGACGTTGTCGCATGACGAAAAGGCAAACGCTTTCTGGGATTGGCGAGTGGTGTATGATTCCGTGTTCGGGACCGAGTGTTTTTCCATGTATCTTCCTCTTCATTTCTCTCTAACATGATTCAAGAACTGCCTATATATATACGCACACGTAAACCAGAGACCATCGAAAGATTGCTAAAGCCAGATTGCTTAAACATTCCCTTTGAAGATAGATAAGCTCCAAGTCTTTCTCTCTCTCTCTCTCTCTCGCTCTCTCTGCTCTGGCGCATTTTTGCAGGCATGCTTCAGATGCCTCAGCTCAGAAAGATTAGATCTTCCCTTTCGAGTGCAGGTGAGGGTTTTCGTTCTTCTCGTGATCGTTACTCTTTATGCTTAAGGAAATTTTTCACCCCCAAACAGTTTCTTTTGTTCGAGTAAATTTGGTTGTCGAGGATAGTTGTTTCGGTTGTTTACGCCTTCTGCAAACATACCTTGCTTCGATTCTTGATCTTCAGCACGGAACTGATCTTACATCAAACTGACCAAATTTTGACATGAAACAAACGTTATGAACCCAAAGACATAGGCTTGAATGAAACTTTGCAGGTGGATATTTGTGAAAAATACAAAGGGTAAGATTAATTTTATTGAAATGCAGAAGTGGTAGGTAAAAATCCCCCTTATGGAAGGCGTCCAAAATATGAACATGTCAACATAATAATAGTCTACGAATTTTAGCTGACTTGATCACTAAGATGATATAGCTCTCTGAATCTCAGGAAGATACGCAAAGGAACGCGCGAATAGCCTGTGCAGCGATTCAAGCATCAATGAGCAATACATTAGAGCACTCAGGACAGATTCTTATGTGAGAATCTGCAAAATAGTGCAGGACCAGCTCGGAAAACAGAGTACCTTAAAGCTGCCCTCTGCCCCATCTAAGAGCCGGAGCTCCCACTTGCATCTATCCCAGAATCTACTCTCGCCTAGGCAAGAGACACTGACAGATTGGATCAAGACGTTAGATTTGCATCCTCTCATCGTTGACTACTTCGAAGACAGCCTAGAGACGTGCCGAGTGTGCGAACTACTCATCCTAAGTGTCCATCAGACCCGTGCTAATAACCGACGGATCAAAAGGGCGATCAAGCTAACCAAAAAGGTAAATGATGCAACAAGCAATACTGATCATCAATGCCGAATGATATGTGAAGAGCTATCTGCATTTTCGCAACACACGAATCCATTTTACCTAGTCAGCAAGGAAAAAATCCACATCATCTGTCAAGCATTTGCCATGCTGCGTCAGAAATTAAAAGCCAAGCACAAGAAGACGATGAGGAGGGCGAAACTGAAACGAATCGCAATTTCGATTGCAACCAGGCTGATGGGTTGCACACTGGGACTACATAAGAAGAGGACCAAGTCGGTCCAAGGATATCCTAAGATGACCAGGCAAGAGGTACTCGGTGCGCAGCTTGATGAGGCTGGGAGGAGCCTCTTTATTCTGATCAAGCACATAGATACTATGAGCGTAGCGGCAGGAAGCTTATACGACAAGGTCGAGAACATGAAAGAACTTGCCAACATGTGTGTGCAGAGTGGGAAGAGCGAGATGTTAAAGGAGGTGGTGAAGGAATTCAATGATCGCAATACCTGCTTCCTAGAGCAGTTGGAGGAACTGGAAAACCTAGCCTGCCTTTGCCTACATGACATTAATGCATCCAGGAGGTCCATCATGCAAAAAATAATGGCTCCTCAACAAGGTAGATGATAGTGAAATGGCATAAGAAATGACATTGATATTTTTGGCGCAATAAGCTTTTGCGCAAAATGCATCTTCCCTGAATCAGGCAAAATAGCTGCTATCAAGGCTTTGGCAAGGTGCCTGGCTCTGCTTCTTCTTTGAATAAACAAGCATCATTCACTCACAGGAAGTACAGCAGACGTGTATCATAAACATCGAAATACTGTAAATGTAGTAGCTGTTTTAGTTGATATTGTTTATTGTAAATTCCTCATGATTGATCACTAATACAAGCAAATACATCTTCCATATACTATTAAGCCACATTTGGCCTAACTAGTCTTTGGTTAATCTGGTCAGTTCATTGATGGTCAGCAATAAGGGATATAAAAGAACCATCAGGCATCATATTCTGGTTCTCGAGAATCACAATTTAGGCCAAGCAACTTCTTAAAATAAAAATCACTTAAGTACACATCAGTTCATGTTACTCTGCTTAACTTTCTCCTAACGAGGTTGCTCATAAAGCCATCAAGATCTCCATTTAAGCAAAGACTTTGACACCAGAAACTATAATGGGACTTAAATGTCTGCCCAAAAAAGTAAAACAAACTGACCATCCAAGAGTTCCAAAATTGGTTGTTTCCCATTTTCTTTAAAATCAAGAATAACACCGGCTTCCCTAGGAATGTGGGAATAGATGTCAAATTGGAACAACTCTGCAGACTTTCCAGTCTGAAGAATGAGTTGCTATTACTACTTCTGCCTTGATCGGAATTTAAAAAGAAAATGCAATGCCCGCCATCACTTCAACATGGCAAGAGAAACAACAGATATCAATCTCACCACCAAATCCAATGTCTAACCTGGGAGGAACCCCGGTTGTCAAGAATCACATGCTTCAGCAGGTGGAGACTCATTTCCATCTCCAATCACCAATCCCCGTCCTCAAAGTTTCAGTTCACCCATTTTGCCAAGTAACATGTCAATGAAACTTGTCCCATTCTTGATAACTTAGCATTGTTCTTTTAATCTTTTGTATTCTTCGAGCCCCAGCAATGTAGCCTTCACCTTGAGCCAGTCTGCTGGTTTTGGCATGATGATTGCAATGTATCCTTCTCTGTCTGCCTGTTCATTGTCAAAAAGCATCATGTGAATGGAAGTGAAAATCAAACGACACAGTGAAAAGTAAAACAAACAAGACACATCTGAAAGAGAACCCTTATAGATTATTTCAGGTAAAAAGAAAAGGAAGATAAGTTTATCCTTACCGATGAATTGAGCAAGTCAGGCTGCTTGATTAGTCTCTCGTTCACCTCCAGTAGAGACCCTTTAACACAACACCTGTCAAAACCAGGATGTCAACTGGGAGTCTGAACGTCGGGTGTAAATAAAACAGATAGCTTTTGAAGAAGACCGCTAGAAAAGATGTTACCTTACTACATAAGAATCACTCTTGGTGCAAACTTTACACAGCATACTGTTGGATTCCAAGTGCTGGGCGTTCTGGAGGAAAAAGAAGGAGAAAGAGAAAAGCTCAAATGCCACAATTAACAGGACATTGAATTGGCAGAGTCACGTGCAACACAAAGTATCATTTTTTTCTGTACGATGTACCTCTTCATTAGTGCCGAAATAATACAAAAAGGTAGGAAACTATGCCGGACATCTATTCACATCATTATGACCAAAAAAAAAAACTATTCACCTCATATATAACCCGATGAACCCACAAGAAAGAGAAGTGCATAGGCGATATTGCATCAAACCATTCAAAATCATCTGCGTTGCTGTTGCTTTGAAGAACCAAATGCCTATTCAAGAAAAATCTAGAGAATTACAGAATTTTTCATGCGTCTTATTTACCCTGTATTTATCCTATATTTAAAGGAATTCAAATCACAACATGCATAGTAGGCCTGCAAAGTGAAAACAAAGAAACTCCAATTGGACCAGCAGCCAGATAGGGGAGAGAGAGAGAGAGAGAGAGAGAGAGAGAGAGAGAGAGAGAGAGAGAGAGATGCTATGTTTCTCACAGGTATCAACTGCAAATTAGTTTCTTTTTCAGCAGAGCAACTCATAAATATATGATTGAGTCATCATACTCTCTTAAGGAAACAGAAGTACCAAAATTCACCTATTTCCAAGATGATTGGCCAATTTTTTTTTTCCCTCTTGGTAGATACATCAGTCAGCTTCTTCAACAGAATGATGCCATGGAATCACACGAGACCGAACTATATGCTCAAAGATTACATAACAATTAACCTATTGAGAGTCCCCAATCAAACTGTTTGGATATTGGACTATAACACTCTACACTATCAACAGCACAATTAAGTGAAATGCACAGGATCTAAAGAAAAGCACCTTCTTTCGCTTCCCAGTGACCTTAATGGCGCTGCGATCGGACTTGCCCACATTGAAGTCGACCCCCGTCACACCTCCTTCATCTCTAAACGCCACATGAGTCGGAGCCAGGCCTACCACGCACAGACTTTCATACACCAAAGCAAGAATCGCACAGAAGTTAATAAACCGCTCTCTTGAATTCACCTTTCAGCATTCAACACGTAACCAAGATACTCAAAAGATAAACAAGTTTCGGAATTTCACCCATTGGGATGTCGGTAAACGTACTGATCATGCCCCGGCTTCATAAAATCTGACACAGAACAACGGATTTCAAAACCCAAAACGTGATCGATGCTCCTAATATCTCAATCTCAAGGTAATCTCAATTTCGGAAATGGGATTTGAACCTGGAGCGAAGTAGGCGACGAAATTGGACTCGACGGCGGAGGGAGGGGCGAGAGGGAGATCACGCACGTCAGGCATTAGAAGCCCACGCAACTCCTCGTCTTCTTCGTCGCCGTCGCCGTCCACCTTGCGAGCTCCTTTGAGCTCTGCTGAACTGCCGTTGCTCTGCGCGGCATCAGAGTCCGTGCTTATGGACGACGGCGGCGCGCTCCGGTCGGTCATCGGAACCTGAAGCATCGACACGCTTCTCGTTCTCGGCCGCTGGAGAATCAGAGCGAGAGCGTTCCGATTCCGGTTCGAGCTCAACCGGAGTTTCGGTCGCGGCACGTACGTGTGACGGCGGTTCTTCGACTTTTCCGGGGGTAATCATATCATGGTACGAGTGAGTAAATGGGTCGGATCCGGGCCGAGAGGATCCGAACGCGAGGCCCACGGGTCGTACAGTAATTATTTGATTTTTTTTAGGGAGATTAAGACGTACTCCATATAAAAGCACATGACACCAGGGAAGATATTATTTTCCACGTGTCTGGGTGGGTGCGTTAGGAATATAATTTTGAAAGTGCAATTACACGATTTTCCTGTATTACCAACATGAGATCGCGGACAAACATTTAAATTCTCACCGGCGAAAAAACTCTCATTTTTAAAGGATTTAAAATTCATCACGAAAATATAATTGGGTCCTAAATCTTCAATTAAATCTTAAAACTTGACAAATTAGTGCAATCAAATTCTTCATTTAACTCCGTTTAAATTGGCTAACAAATTAGCCAAGAATATTTACTTTATGATTTTTCTCACTAATAAATTTGATCTGAATAAAAAGAGAAAGAATTGTTGCCATTCACTATCAAACCAGCCAAAGAAACAAAAAAAACCAAAGAGAGAAAAATGAAATCACGATTTCGCCACACAAACACAAATCACCCTGTCTGCAAAATCAATTGACTGCTCTGCAATTGAGCCTAATCTCTTGGCCGCCGCCGCCGCCACTCAAGCTGCTCATCTTGATCATGGAGTTCACGAACGCCTTCTCGAACTCCTCCCTGCTCTCGGCGAACTTGGAGACCAGCGCTTTCGTCTTCGGGACGGTGAGCAGCGCCTGATCCGAAGTGAAGATGCTCTTCCCTTGCAGGAGCATCTTGTAGTACACGTTGTCGAACTTTGTCGTCGTCGAGTCCAGCGTGGACCCCGCGCCCTTCGCCTTGTTGTGCGCCGGGCACACCTTCCGCAGCTGTGCCGCGAAGGACGGGTGCAACGACGGGTCGACGTCGTTCAGGGCGTTGAAGCTGTGGATTCGGTTTTGGAACGACGAGCAATGGGCGAAACCGAGGGTGTGGCCACCTATACATGGACGCCATGTATCAATACTTCATCCAAGAAAGAGTATGCAATGATGTTTCCGCTGAGTACTGACTCATGTGTTTCAAACCCTTCGAAGAATGCACGAGTTTATGCACGCATACGCACATACGAGTGATGAATACGGAGCGATCGTGTGTATACATACGAACGGTCGCGAAAAATTGTACCGGAGAGAGCCACCAAGTCTTCCATGGAAAGGCCTCTTTGAGAGAAGCTTTGTTGTAGCTGAGAGATGTTGAAAATTGGAGCTGGTAATTGCCTTGTATCAGTTGCTTTTGATATCCTCCCATCTTTTCTTCCTTTTGGCACATCCCAATGTGGTCCTCCAGACTGTAGAGATTCAGGAAAAATCGTGCTGAATTATTAGAAATGATAGCGAGATAGCATCACGAATCGAATTACGTGCGAGTTCATTTTTACGATGTATACTGCGGGGCATGTCGATAAACACGCAGGCGAATATAAATTATAGTGTACTTTCTAAAGAAGAGTGTATATGCAAAACGTAAAGCACCAGAGCAACGGCATCCCGAGCGGCCAAAGCCAAAATGTCGGCGCAAGAGACGACCCCGGGACACAGAGCTTCCGCTGCTTCCTTCGCATGGTCGATCACATAGAATGCGTGCAACGAGATGTTTGGCGGCCCGTCTTTTTCGGCCGTGTTCTTTGCCGTCGAGTTCAAGAGCACGGAACCATCACATCCCTGGAAATAATATCAGGCTTTAGTCCCATTTTATGAATGCTCTATAAATTCAAACTTGAGTTATTCTGTGTCGTTTAGTTTGAGTCATTCTGTAGAAGAAGTCATTTTTTCTTTCTCTTTCGTAGTGGAACTACCAAGAAGTGAAGATATATACAGCTAGCCCCACCTCACGAAAAACAAAACGTAGGATTAATAAGTAATTACTCTAATGAAGCAGTCGTGGAAGTGCATGCGAAGCAAAGCAGCAGGAACGGTGTTGTCATTCTTCATCGCTTTCTTCACCGCCTTCCTCACCGAATGCTCGAGCTTCGGGCACGTCTGGTCATAGTAATCCAAGCTCAGCGCGCTCACTCTACTCGCGACGAACGCCAGCAAAACAGCAGAACCGAGGGCAACCACAGTGGCTTGCATCGTTCGTTCGAAGCGTTCGAACTCTTCTGTTCTTCTGTTTGATGGTGGTGAGCTGATATAAGTGCTGATCAAAATGCTTAATGCTTTGTGTGCAGATTCAGAGAAAGTGAAGATGGGTTATTTATAATAGCGAAGAAAGACGGAGAGCTACAGGAGTCGTTACCGAAAAGACGGATAGAATGGCGGGGGTTAGTGAGATTTGGTGATTAAGAAGCCTGTCTATTCTTTGGTGGAGTTGTGGTCTCGACGCAAAGCTCGCAAGGCAGGACAACCTGTGATGTCGCACTATGTCGTATAACATATGGCCTCTTTGAGCAAGGTCGTCAACCACCCTTTTCGCTTTTCGACTAACCGGAATGTTCTCATCAACGACCTCCTCCTAACCTTAACTCTTTCTATGTTGCTTCTTTTTCGTTCCGTGGAACGTTGAAATACCCCGCATCGCCTCTCTACAATACATACGATCTCCTCCTCGTATTGCCTTAAACTTTTGCATTGAATTTCTGACATGAAGAAGTAGGAGTAAGCATTGATCCAGGATTGACTCTGGACCAACCATAGATCGGCCCAACCCGGCTGATCCTAGTCCGATTCTCAGGGGGATTGGGTCGGTCCCTAATCCTAGGGCCGCTGGAACCGGTGCTACGTGGATTGGTCCTTGGTCCTGAGGTTTTAGGGATGGTTTAACTCGGATCAACCCTGTAAATTTTTTTCTTCTAAACCCTATGAAAATAACCTAAAGTGTCGAATCCCTCCTCTTCTATCGCCCTTTTCCTCTCCCTCTCTCGGAGTCTCACTCTCTCTCTCTCTCTCTCCATCAATCTCAGATTCTTCTCGATCTCTCAGTGGCTCGATCTTTCTCTCTCTCTCACTCTAGCGATGACTCTCTCTCTCTCTCTCTCCCTGCTTGTTTATTCTTCACCAATGCCGATTATCAGCAACGAGACTCTAGGATTTCAACAATTTAGATGGATCATTGTTTGCAATCAACATCTACATCTCTAAGGTAACTACCTCCATACTCGATTCTAAGAGAACTGACCCCAAGAATCTTAACTTAAATGGCCATATGCATTTTGCATCTTTGTCGACAATCATGGTGACAATTTATTTTTGTTAATGTTACTTAAATATGAATACCATTAACTTGAACAGACATGTTATCATTTGAAAAAACAATAACAAAACGGGGCTTGTAACTTGGTCCCTGTCAGAATTTGTAATATAAGAATCTCCCTTCAAATGCTCGAAACAAATATAATAAATTTGTGAATCCAATCGTGTGGCATTATGGGTCCTCGATTCAACTCACACAAGTGATTTGACAATTTCAGCATGCAACTCTGACTTTAGCAGAGTTAAAGATTCGTTCAAGAATAAGAAATGCCACGTATTATTGATTGTTAAGTAAAACATGAACAGAAATTTTAACGAGTACGTTTATCTTTTCAAGGAATACAAAAGATGAAATAAAAAGAGAATTGATTGGTCCCTAGTTGACTTCGGAATCAAACCCACGGGATCGGTCTAGTCCTCGGTCCCAGGCTCAACAGGGTCAGTCCTTGGTCCCAAAAATTGGGTACCAGCACTTTACGAGGTGGTCCCTGGATTAAGCATTGGACCGGCCCAACCCGGACCATACTCACCCCTAACATGAAACGCGGTATGCCAATGGATCTAATTTCTAGGGTCATTGAAAATTCGATCGAGTAATTGACGGAATGCCGGTCCACTGTCCTTAGCCCATCGGAACTCGGCCAACCTTCATATATCTTCCGGTTAGAATTTAAAGAATGTCGCTTTGGATTTGCACGAGGAGAGTGGCACAACGACAAGGGCAAGTCACCTACGTGCATCACGACTCGTCGTTTGGCTTTTGTCCAAAGGAATATTAGGTAAATACGACATTCAAAAGAGGGGGAAGTTTGTTAGCAAAAGTGGTCACCCCACAAAATTCGGATGAATGATGTTTGGTCGGACAGGAATAGAGGAGTTCAACCAATGAAGTTGTCATATCCTAATCTCATAACTAATTCCCGAAGGAAAGTACAGCTATTTAGGAACGTACCACATATTGCTTCATGGACTCCAGTCCTCCTTGCACGAACGTCATCTTTTGATCGGTCCCAAGTTAGATCCATCGTCGGAAGAAAGTTATCAAAAAACTATTATATTTGTGCCGATCCAAAACTTTTTAATTTGACTAATTTAGTCTTAAGCCTTTTGATGATTTATCTATTTAGTCTTTCCGGCCAATTTTAATCGGAAATCCGGCAATGCCATGTAGAACAGTCGGGCTGACGTTGATAACTTTTATAATTTTTTTATTTTTCTTTCCATCTTTTCGTCTTTTGTTTTACGAAATCCAGCGAGGGCCTGCCGACCCTAGGCGAGGGCTGCGAAGCCCTCACTCGCAGCCAGCAAGGGCTTTGCAACCCTTGCAGGGCTTAGAAGGAAAAAAGAAAAAAAAAAAAAGAAGGAAAGAATAAATAAATAAAATTTAAAATTATGAGTTTTTTAAAAAATTTGTCCATGTGAGTGCCGGTTATGACACGTTGGATGGCTAGTGTCCGCGTCGGGATTTCCGGTCAAAATTGGATGGAATGACTAAATTGATAAATCATCAAAATCTTTAAGACTAAATTGACATAATTAAAGATTTATGATTGAATTAACACAAACGCAATAAGTTTAAGGCTTTTTCAATAATTTCCCCCAAAATTCTGGGTCTCCAAGAAAAGTTGGGCGGTAGCCTTATGAAACATCTTTCCATACCTGACGAGCTCAGCCCTATACATTGTTATCAATGGATCGGGCTGAGCCCATCAAGAAAAATGTTTGACCAGAAATTCTCCCATGAAAATTTTACAATTTCTAATTTTTTTCCTCAAGAACAATTTCTAATTTTCTTTTCGTTAATCGGAGAGATTTGGACAAGAGATAGGTCCGTCGCACCAATGACCGAGACGAGGAGTTCTGGACTTGTCACTCACTTGCTGGGAGGGCTTTTTCCGTATAATTGTGATGACACGACGATACGATACGAATCATCACATAATCATAAGATAAAGATTTCGGTAAAGGTTGACATGAGGGGTGGGAAAAACTATTGGAATTTCCCAAAAATCGAGTCGGCCGATCTTCCTTCCGTCGCAAGCAAGCTTGTACAAAGTGAACTTACATTATTCCAAACGAGCAAGCTACTATTTCATTGTGCTTTTTATTGATTTCTGCATTAATAATCCAACGAATCAGAGTAAAACTCCAGGCTGCATAAAATCGTCCCTCAGCAATTTCCATCTTCCATATGATATTGTGTGCTTTCTTTAGAGCTCAAAAAAAAAAAAAAAGAAGAAACAAGAGCAACGGCTAAATTCACTAATTTGATCTCTCAGTCTCATCTCCGCATAGATTTGAAGCTAAGCACTTCTCCTCCAAGCCATGGCGGGCTGCTTCAGCAAAGCATTGAAAGCAACAAGCACGCCTCTGCCAACAAGTGAACCCGACTTCCTGAAACTTTCAGGGTTTCCCGCTCACACGGCCACACCCTTCTTCACTGAATCAAAACTGCACAGAGCTCGAAAATGTTTGGCCGAAAGCCCAGTTCGACGGCACGATGTCTTCGAAGACCCGAGTCTCTCCGTCGGTAGTGGTGACCCTGAAAGATAGGGACTGGCCGTTTAGATAGGAATTGGACTGCCAATTGGCCCCCCAGTTCCTGGACATCGCCATCCAGCCCGCTCTCGTCCCTTTGATCGAAACAGATTGGATCGATCCACTTCCGGCGACGTTGGTGATGAGGACGAGCTCGAAGTAGTCCCGACCGTTGATGGTGAATCTCACACCCCCGTGCTTCTTGCAGGGGACCCTGCAAGATTTATAGCTCTAAAGCATGAGTTATATAGAAAAGATGAAAGTGGCAAATTCAAGTTTCATCTCGAACTACTTAAAAATCTTGAAGAATGTGGAGATGTGTGAGTTTGAGCTATTTTACATAAGCTGTCGCAATGGTTTAGTAGAATTATGACTATGCGGTGCACCAGTCAATTCCCAGAAATCATGATTTCGTTTTCATCCTTGTTAGGACTATAATTTTGTCTATTACCAAGAGAGGCTGCCTTTCAGTGGCTTTGAAGTTCATTAATTGGACTGATTAACATCTGTATTCTCTTACCATACCATACTAATTTCGTAAAGAATTAGCACTAATTCCTTATCAGATAAGTTTATATCGTGTGATTCATAAAGAGTGATCAGTCATCAGCGATTGTGTTTCCTACTGAATATGCATCACTAGTGCTTGTAATTTCATCAAGGCCAACCAGGGTTACGGTGGTTTATCTTAGATTCCGACTCGAAGACTAGAGAGCAGCAAGAAGAACATGCCTTTGGAACAAGACGGGGACGATCCCGCCCCTGTAGATGCCGATCTTTTCCCACGCGGGCTCAGCCATGTCGAAATGTTGGAGGGGAGGGTTACACCAGCCACCATTATTGCTCGGAAGAGCAAAGTTTGGAGGGCAAAAGTTGGTCGCAGTGACGGTCACGGACACTCCCTTCCTGCACCACTGGGTGTCTGCATTGTGGTCACATATGATTTTGTAGCACTGTCCACACGAAGCACCGTCATTGAACAGAGCAGTGCTCAGAGCAGCTGTTCTAGTTCCATACCCAGCCGAATACAAATCCCCATATCCACATGCTCCTCCTGCAAACCAAAACACAAATGAGAAACTGTGTACCAAGAAGCCCCAAACTACCAGCCCGCCAAGCCAACACAATATTGTCCGTGCCCACAAGGCTTTAAAGTGGGTCGCCCAAGTCTAACGCGAGACGAGGCTTATCCACCGCCGCGACAGCCCAAAAGCAAGCGACGTGAGATCAGAGACAAATCCGACGTCCAAGGGGATCTTCCGGATTATCTATGTATCCAGAGAACTACATTCTTCTAATTCTTGAAGCATGAAAGGCAAAATGAAGGGTGAATTACCCATAGTTCCTGAAGCATCACTCCCTCCATAGAAGGTGGCATGGGCTTTAGTCCACCCTGAGGGAGAGAAGGCATTGACAGCCACGGCAAGGTAAGAGCACGCGAGAAGAGTCGCTACTGCGAAAGCGGGTTTCGCCATTTCTCGATTGCCCAAGATGGGAAGAAACAGAGAAGAGGAGGGAGGTACGAGCAGAGCAAGGAAATGGGCAATGAGGGATTCCTAGGAACCAAGAGCAGCTACTATAAATAGGAAAGTCTTGCACATCAGTGGAAAAACCAAACATGTGATCCCAACATGAAGAGAGAGAGGGCATTAATAAAGACTTGCCATTAATTGAACTGTGTCTCCCTGCAGGTCTGATGATTTCTGATTGTCGTTCAATCATTCCCACGTTCTCGTTACCCATCGGCACCAAAATCCACATGCATCTTCCCCCAAGAAGAGCCGTGAACAAATCAAAAGTGCCACTGGGCCAATTGTTCTTGTTTTTTTCCGGAGTCCCTCTTGCTACTACAATGAGTTTTGTTTTTAGGTATTGAATTTTTAAAGTCTAACCACATAGTAAAGCGTTTGGTTCAAACACGATAAATTTTATATTCAAATCATGACATCTCTCGCTCGAATTAATCTTGAGAAGTCACGTTACCCAATAGTCACCCTATAGACGGAGCCTAACCTAATATATGTGGCGGGAGCTATTGTGTATATTTGCGGGATTAATCGAGCTGAAGGTTAGAACATCCGTATTATCTGAAATAAATGCATATGTTATTGTCAGGTGAAGGGATAAAGATCACATACTCGATTTTCTTTTTGAAGAATAGAATAATGTATTTGCCTAGATCACCGCTTGCTGCTTCACATGGACAGTCCTGTGATGCATATGATGCAGATTACAGACACAATTATTCTGGCCGAGTGCACATGACCCATTTTTGGCATTTAGATGATGGATGAGTTGTTTATGTGTTTTTCCAGTTGGGATTAGGCTCGTAAAGGATTCTGGTTGTTTCCACCTTGAGACTTGAGAGCATCTCTTTTCTTCTCTTTTTTCTCTTAATTCTTGCAAGTTAAATCAAACTTTTTTAGCTCATCGATCAACAAGGATTATGCCCAGCCAGACATAAACTTTGCATTCGTGATCGACCGACGGGAATTGGAATTTCTTTGAGCAGTAAAAGATTGATTTTGATCCTTCTGGCCCCAAATAAGGAAGAGATGAAATTTTATCATGCACAAATCCAATTCTCCATCCCTTTCCAAAATGCCCTTTCATTGGAGGAAGTAGCATTTAACTTCGGCTTTTTTCTTTTATCGTTGCTACTTAATGCTTTTTCGTGAATGCCGACTCTGTTTTGCAATCAAGGAAACTTTGGAAGCACAATGATAGCCTTATCTGACAGATTCACTCCTAAACATTTAGACCTCTAGCCACACAATCTTGCCCATGCTTGCACGTAAAAGATGAAACATCCAGGAGAAAAGAAAGATTAAAAAGGTTCCAATCACGTATGCCATAAAAATACAGAAACGTCTTGGTAAGTTGTCAAGAAAAGGAACCGATAAAAAAACGTAAGACGACAGAACATAAGGTTGTTAAAGTAACGCAGAGTGATGAATCCAATAAAGTGCCAATTCAAGCATTCTAGCTCCACCATCAAGCTACCTAGTTTTTCCTACCTCCTTTCCCTCCGAGTATTCGCACCATAGTTTGCTCCTGCTTTCAAGGAATGAAAGAACATAATGCGAACAATGTTTCTAGCAGAGTACAGAGAGTATTCCCAAAAGCACATCACCACATGAACTAAAGACTTCAAGAGCAGATAAATGAAGCTCGCCCCAACAGAAAAGCACCAAGAAACATCATCCTGTTCAAAAGTCATCATCTTCCTCCTCGGCAATATGCTTGGCAAGCTCCTGCTCCTGCTGCTGCCTCTCGCGCCTCTTCTCTGCACTCTCCTTCTCCTTATGTGTGTTTGGTGGAAACCGCAAGGCCCTGACAGCTTCATTGTGCATGTTGAGACAAAATGCAATCCGAGAGTTAAATGCCATCTGAGGCTCATTTGTGGAGTAAATGTCTCCAGTCTCCTTTGATACCATGCACCGATTAGTGTGGTCCAAAGTGGCATCAATCGCTCCATCGCGGATGGCCTTGGACACAATGCTCTCTGCATCTGCCACAGGGTTTGCTGAATCCAGACGCAGCTTTTTGGCTACATCCTCAAGAGAGATTCGAGAATAAGAGATGCTAATATTGCGTAGACCAGTCCTGATGACATTATGCCTCAGTCGTACAATCAGATTGTGGGTTCGGTCTGTGTTAAAAGTTGCAGCAAACTTCTCTGCAACTGCCCTAAAGAGCTCCAGATCACCAATCCGAACAGCCTGAATAAGTGAGGAAGGAGGCTACTTTTAGTAATTGTTGTAAAAGAGAACGTAGTTAAAAAATTCATCGGGCAAACTGTATAAAAAGTTAGTTCAAACAGTTTTGACAGAAGTCTCTTTTGGGGAGTAAACAAGACAAAAATGACAATTTTCTGCCAAACTTCGTTACTTTCAGAAATTGGAACCTGAAAGACTGATACTATTCAATTGTTTCAAACTTCCAATAATGATAATAGACACTCATTCTGTCTAGTGACAAGTAGCTTACAGTAGCAAACTAAAAATTGAAAAAATTCAGTCCATTGATGGCAAGCACTCTCCATATATCATAACAACTGAAAACAGTTCTCATCATGTTCTTTCTATCATGCTTTCAAGAACAAATCCTAGAAAACAAGGAGAGCAAGAAACAGTGACATTATTGCGACTTGCTAATAGGCCATACTGCCCAGAGGTGGCATGTGGTTCTGAGCTAGCATACTCTTAGCTCTCTACTCAAATATTTCTGTATTTCACAACCAAGGAAAAAGACCGAAACATGCCATACGACTATATCAATAACATAAGTTCAGTCAAAAAAGCAGATGAATGTGATCATTGGTACGATTCCAGATATGCCAAACTCATACTTACATTGGTCAGTTCAAAGTACGGCCTCAAAGCCTTTTCCATCCCTTTCTGCATAAAGATAGTCCTCTCTGGTATTTCACCAAGCAACAAACGGACTAAAACAGACCACTTGTTACACTGGATTCGAAATCCTCGAGCTGAAATTGGCGCTTTCCGAGCAGCCTGTTGGAGAGCCTCTTTTGCATCGGTGTACTCCAACTGAATTGTACGTATTTTCCCAAGGTAAAAAAGATAGCGACAAAACTGCAGAAGGAAACAACTCTATCATAAACAATAGTCGCCACATGCATTTTTAGTCAACACCACTACCTAAAATAAGGACCAAAGTAAGTAGACAGTATGCAAAAACAAGAATAGATAGGTCACATAAGACGACCGGTAAAAACAGAATCAAAACGACTCCCTTGTTAAAAAATAGGCACCTAGACAGGATTCTCTGATCAAATGAATGGAAAGAAAAGTTCACGAAAAATCTCCATAAAACATGCAACAGACAGAGAAAGATAAATAAATTCTCATCATGGCTGGATATCTCTCTGTACCTGCTGGTTTGAATGCGCTTCAAACCTTGGTGCCTTAGAACGCAGCTTCTCTGCCTGATCGTAAAGATTGTAATGGAGATAGTTACGAAGTAATAGGTTGAGAAGAGTTTCCTGTACCATGACATAAATCATATGTAAGTCTCCACATCCCAAACATCGCATCCTTATTTACAAAGTCAGCGACAAACCTGCCCCAGCTCATCATGGCGCAATGTTGCAATTCGATGCAAAGCAAGAAGGTTCCTGAAAACATAAGACGCACCGGATAAATCTCATTAACATACCCACTCCTCGATATTTCCTGCTGTCGGTATCAGACAAACCCCTAGTCATCTGATAAAATCTATCATTGATCAAGATGCCCATCAGCCTATATATATGATGCCATAACAATGCATGCAAATAGAAAATACAGTCTGTATAGCTAATAAGAGAAGGCATATACTGCTTGTATCTCATGTGAACATAATTAATCTACTTTGAGTTTTGGTATAGTCAGATATCTACTTTTATTCATGCAAACTTCATGTAAATTAGACTTTCCCAAAATATAATGAATCTCCCAAAAAATCGAAATACCCGATTATTATGTCCAAGCAGGATGACGAGACAAGGATGCATAAAATATACACACACAGGTCAGTGCGGTGAGCACAGAAGTCCACCCAGAGAGGAGGGCAGGATTCCAGATAATTAAAAATATTGAGCTGACATACCCCCGAATTTCTGCAAGATCACCAGTAATCTCATAGCAGTACGAGTAGTAAAAGTACAATCTGGAAGCTAACACATCAATGGTTCTCCTGTTTAAATTCTTCAGCCGAACGATGCTAGCAGAGGAACAAGCTTTAGCCTGAAAGTATAAATGGTAAGGGACTTTTACAGGTACAAGGAAATGAGGCCAGTGAAGAAGCTATTGCTACCTCGTTGTAGCGTTTCTGATCAATTAGAAAAAGCAGCACAAGCAAGTAGCAGTAGATCTCAAGCTCAGGCAACACATGCTTCACAGGAGCCTGATTAGCCGATGACGCGGTATCGACTTCCATGTCATGTTCATCTTCCTACAAAACCAATATCAGGAGGAAACTTATTCTGTGTCACCTTTTCAAGACCTACTATACATACTACAACGCTGCTCCTTCGAAACAGGATTTCCACAATCTGACAACTAATTGATTTTGGAAAAACAAGTGAGTAATTAATCATGGGTTTCAAAAGACAGCTCAGTGCATTATTCTGTTGACAGCTCCCGCTACCAAAAGAAAAGCAGATCAACTGCTGAGGACATTCAAAGGTGCTCTCACAAAGAAAATACAACAACTTTCATATCAATACTATGGTACTTCCAATCTCAATCCTAAGGTACTTCAGTTTATCACACTCACAACTCACACAAACTAAATCGCTAGATTTAATTCGTGCAAACATTACTCAGAATAATAACATCAGAAGCGAAATCAACATTAGAACTTGTACAGCTTTTCAATTTATTGTCTATAACATTTTTCTTCAATCAAAATGGACTAGAGCCTCAACTTTCTCCGAATTAACATACTTCATTTTCTTGAAACAATCTCTAATCATCCAAATCAGCACTCTGATGGAATTAAGTAATGCTTTACGTCTTTCGACAGATTATGTGCAAGTGTTGTGTGAGATTTGCTTTAGGAGCAAAAACCCATTCACTCCCTCTTAAAATGCACAGACCAGGAATAAAGATCATCCTAAGACTCAATGTAAGCGCCTACTGTAAACTTCTATTTGTTGTTAAAGAAAAGGATAATTCTCTCAAGCACATAACAACTTAACCATTCACCGTCATCTGAGTACCATGTAATAATCAGAGTCTTCTGAAAGCTCTGGAAAATCGACTAGCCATTTTTTACCCTTGTGAACTACTTGATAAAGGATAACCAATTTTCTGCAACTTTTGCACAGATGTGTTTTTAATAACATCAACTGCTCCAGCTAAGAGATCCAGTGGACCTTATAAGTAATATCTGGTATCAGGACTACTTCTTACGTACTGCATTTGGTCAAAATAAGATCTATGAGTCACAGTAACAATTGACCGAAGCACCTTATAATGCAATTCCTGATAAACCTTCTTCTTTTGGTTTTGAATTCGTCGTTATCCTAGTCCAACTACCTCCGCAACACAGCAATCTTCGCTAAAGTAATGAGCATTATAGGTTAACCAAATGCAAGATTAAGAATCCAGAAACATCTTAGATTTTGAGCCAAATCATTCACCTTCTTCATGGCGCAAAAAAGACAACACTTTCCCATACCTAACCCGCCTACCTCATGGAACAGCAACCCGAGCAAATATTTCAAAATCAAACAAAACTCCAGAAAAGCTAAGCTTTAAGCTAAAGTGGCATGAGTTCAGGACAGTTCAATAAAACCGAGAATCCACCAAAATCGTACCTTGGGGAGATAGACAGACAACCGGGACCGTGCTTCAGAACCCGGCCCCAGGGCATAATCGAGGAACGCGGTGAGCACCGGCGCGGTCAGCTTCTTGCGGAAAGCGATCGTGAGGCGCACGGCGCGAGCGATTCGGCGGACCTCCTTGGCGTAGGAGCCAGTCTCGATCAGCGAAGCGATCTCCTTCAAATCTGTTCCCCCCGCAAGTTAAGGACACGAAGGAAAAAGCCCCTCCCAATCGAACACCAAACTAAAAAAGGGGGGACCTTACGCTGCAGGGTCGAGGGCACGGCCGAAGAGACGGAGTGCGACGGCGTCGGGTGGTCCTTCATTTCGACGTCCTGCGTCATCTCGGCGGAGCTCGCGACGGCCGCAAAGACAAATTCGATCCGCCCCTGAAAGAGGAAGAGAGAGGGGAGAGAAATCAATCGAGATCGATCGAATCGAAGAACAGACGAAGGCCTTCGCGCTTACGAATCTGGCGAGGGAGATGGGGGGAGAGCGGAAATCTAGGGTTCCAAGCTTCGGTTTTTGGCCTCTCGGGAGCAGCAATGTTATCAGTCTCGCTCGCACTTCCTTTCTTTCTCTGCAAGTCAGTTTTCTCCTCCCTTTTTTTCGTTCTTTTTGATAATTTAATATATATAAAAAATGGCTTGGCTTGGCTTGGGTCGGACGGAGCGGACCGAAAAATAAAAGAATAAATGGAGAGAATTTAAGGGTTAATGAGACTTGAATTTTTTTTTTCTGATTTCGTTTTGCTGGATTTGGAGGAAATTGTGCGAGAAAATGAAAGCGATCTTTGGTTTTTTGCTCCTCTGTTTTCCTCGTGCGGATTGAAGTTAATACTTGTTAATGTTGAATATCTACGGCCTTTCAAATTAGCTATGGAATAATTTAGAACTCTTTCGCAATTTTTTAAACCTAAAATGCGGTTTTTTTTTTAATTCGAAAAAAAGTATTGAATTACTTTTCCATCCATGTTCCGCGGCATTTTAGTACTGCTTCTGCCTTCAACGCTCGGATTAATTCTGTTAAGAAAAATTAAATTTAGAACTTTTGTGGTGTGTGCATTTAGGTGGGTGGGTTGTGACCGTCATGGGTGGCTATGGCTAAAGGTCACCACGGATCTAACGGTTCAATAAGCCTGCCTATGACATTTGAAGGACAAATGGCTAGCTTTTGTAAGCACGTTCTAAGGCAGGACCAACCCCAATGCTTCACCTATTTGGCTCGTGCCGGCCAAAAACATTCCGAGGTGTTTTTTCAAGTTATTAATGAGTCTAGACAATGGTGAGAAATTAGATTCAATCTTTTGGGCTCAATGCAACCTCAATTCACCTATTGCTCACCCTATCGTGGCAAAGGCGTGATTTTTAGCACAAGGATAATCTAATATATAATACTAAAAGCGACTTTTGCACGTTAAATGCATCACATGTTAATGAATGGAGTTTTTTGTCTTTTTCAAGTGAAAATTTAAGAGCTTTTCCAGAAAAAAAGTGAAAGTTTAGAGAAAATTGATAAAATGTAGTAAATTGACCAATAAGGATGAAGAGAAATTCTCAAATCTTTAACATAGTTATAGATATCACTAATAGTAAAATTAGCTCTACGAGACTTATATATAGTTCACGTAAGATTGACTCTCTTATGCATGATAGGTAATACGATACTTACAAGGAAATATACATTCACGTATCTATTGAACCATACGAAGAGGACATTTGACTTTATCACTTACGGTATAATACAAAGTAGAAAGTAAAATTACCTCAATGCCATCCATGTATAAAATAGAGTTAATATTACTTGGATAATAATTACTTAAAAAAAATAAATGATCGAACGATCGAGTAAAATTAAATAGAAATTGTTCCAGATAAATTCAATTCGAAAACTACATGTAACGCAACTGATCTCGTTGTATTTAATAATCTTCCAAATGATATATATTTTTTGAATGATATTTCTCTTACAATTTTATGATTATTGTCAGTTGTCACTAACATAAATCTGAGAATACTGTTTGCATATAAGCTGAATGTACAAGAGGAGAGAAGCAATCTTGATAAACATAAATTTTAAAAAATAAAAAAAGAGCTTCCTATCAAAACCAATGCGAAACGCGGGCGAATATACTGAAGATGCCACGAATTCCCCAAGCACTTTCCTCCAATGTCAATTAATTCAATTATGTTTCCCAATGTACGATTACATCCCCAAAAATTTTTATTCAGTTGCGGAGCTATTGAAACATTCAATTTCACTCAATAGCATAGTTGATTGGAACACATGGATTTCCTACATATAAAAATGAAGAAAATCCTGCACGTCAATTCCTCACCTATATTCAACCAAAGAAAATTTACTTACCTATAAAAGAAAATACTCACTTTCAATCGCAAAAGCAGTGCATGCTAATTTTCTGCACATTGTCACTCAAACACTTCAAACATGCACTACATCGAGTTTCATGAGCAAGGGCACATCGCCCAATGAACATGCCCTCTCATCAAGTTTCAAGAACACAAATTTCAGATTGAGTGCAGGCCCGACTGCTCTGTAATATGTCAGTTTCCACCAATGTGATCGAAACTTAAAATGACATCCAAGCATATCGAGCACTCCACCAAGTCATATTCCAATCCCAAAATATAGGGCCCCATTGAGCTCAAGTTGCCTATTCACTCTAGTAACTCACGCTTTGAAAAAATCAAATCAGAGTGCAGCTAACTTACTTGGCTTCTGCTCATTTCAAATTTGGAAAGGAAAACAGAAACAACCCCATGATCAGATTGTAAAAGATGACTCAACATTCACCACCCGCATTCCATGTGCTTCACAGGAAATTAAAGATACCAAAACATGCAGGTACGAAGGAAGAAGGAACTCCCAATGCTCCCAACACTTCCTTGTAACAAATTTTCTTCTTAAAAAAAGCAAGAATCAATTAAAAGAATGTGCCACTGATAAATAAAGATGGGAAAAAACAATAATGCTCACCATATAACCTAACACTTCGGCGGAAAAAAGGGGGTAAAAACAAAGGAAGCTTGGGTGAGTTCTAAGTTACGAGTGTGTCCGAAACAGTTACACAGCGACATCCTACATTTGTTGATGGGAAAAAAAAACCCTAGAAGATGATAAACATAGAGATAGAGTAGGCATCCACCCTTGCTCCTAACTTCCAAGAGAGACATCGAACACCTTTAGGCAGCTGCTTGGATTGGTCGATTTGATCTGAAGCCACGCCCCCTTCCACGAGTCCCCCTGCCACGACCACGACCTATCACAAAGCATAATGCAGGAGTGTCAAGACTCACATCCATAATAGACAGAATATAGATCTCCCACTTAACCTTAACTTGCGCGTGTTAAAAATTTCACAGGAGGCCTTGCAAAAGAAACAGCGTGACAATCAATTAAACAACCCAATGGAACCAGTAAACCCCAACAGAACTGAGTAACAGTGCATCTTTCTGCAGTCTTCATTTTTTCCAAATTTTGAGGACTGTGATGAGGAAAAAGGAATATATGGAAAGATATGTCTCAATATGAAACAATTTACACGAAACATATCATATTCCCAAAGTTATAAGTTTGAATCTTTTATAATTTAGAATATGCAAGATATCTAATGCCAACCAACTCCAGCAACCAAACAAAGTCACTAACAACCGCTTATCACAGTATGTTCCTAAGAAACACAATTTACAGTGCAATGAAACAAGTCTTCACACAATGTCAACTGATGAAGAGCACTTAAGGGAGCAAATAAATTAAAATTATACCGCGGCCTCGAGCAGGCTGCTCCTGATAATATCCGCCATCTTGCTGTATATCAGCCGGAGGTCCATTATATCCTCCTCTTCCACGTCCACGGAAACCACGGCCTCTTCCTCGACCCCTGCCTCTAGCATATCCTCGGTTGTGTTCCCAACCCCCATCATCATAATCAGCATTCATGAAACCATTACCTAAAAATGACAGCACAACTATTCACATCATAGATTTCCAACCACACAGAGTGAAAACACCTTCAAGAATACCAGATATTTAGGTAGATTTCAGTAAATAACGAGAAGAGATTGCTTCAAAAACTAGTCAAAATCTGCTAAGAGGTACACGATCACAGAAAAACTATATTTACCTCTACCCCTTGGCCTTCCTCTACCACTGATGACCCTTTCTCGACCATTTGGATAGCCCTCTGCAGTTGAGAAAAATAATTTTTAAATGATTGTAATGAGCAAAAAAGTATCGACAATCTACATCATTAAGTATCAAATAACCTCCTTCATTTTCAAATTCACCCAAGGCCTTCACTTGTTCTGCAGGTAATGGAGGCTGATACCTGAATTAAACAGCATCCGGGGGCTAATGAGATATGGCAGATACAGCAGATGAAAATTCCATTTCAAGGAGTAAATTCTCTGACTAAGCAAAGACCTTTCAAGAAATTGCTAACAGCATGCTTTTAATGAAATAAGTAGCCAAGACATATAGTGTAACACTAGAAGGGGAAAAGCTCCTTTCAGCTATATCCAAAGAGAACGAGAGCATCTTCATCATAAAGAAATTATGAGCTGAGGTTACTTCAAAGAGATTATCCATCGTATTCCAAAATGTCACAGTAACTTCTTTAGACACAATGACAATCCAATCCCTCGACGGAAAGGGAAAATTACATTCATGAAGCAGAACTCGCCGTCAAAGTGAAAATTAACTTTGTATACCAACTAAGTAACAATTATAATATCTTGAAATACGGAAACTCCGTAATCAAACAAATAAGTTCTATTAGAGCGCTGGGCTTAACCATTAATTCTCAAACATTCCTACACAGAGCGTTTGAACTATTTAATGCATCCTCAAACCTCAGATATCTCTCTCGCATGATATAACGAGATCAGGGGGGAAAAACAGAACAAGAAAACCCACAAAAGATGTTGATCAGATCACAGTCCTGTGCTTGCATTTCAGAAATTACCAATGCTCACATAGGCTTTAATAGAATGAACTTTACAAGAGTAGTAGCCTTAGTAAATATTGTACAAGAAAGTTCACAAAAAAGAACAAACCAATATGCACACTTATAGAGTTTCATTACTGACAGTAATGCGATAAAATCAATCAAAGCACAATGGATTCAGACTCACCCAACAGATGAAGTATCCAATTCGTTCTTTGACAGGGTTATTGTAATCATCGACACATGCCTTGTAGTCTCCAATCTACACAAACAACCAAGAACACCCATAGATAAAATGTGAACACGCAGGTCATAACCGGTGTAAAAACTAAAAAATACGACTCTCTCATTTTCAAATCGATAGTGATCTTACGGGAGGAGTCCTTCCTCGAGGGGTTCCCAGGTATCCGTTATATCTGTGGATCCAATAGTGGTTATTTGATGAAGACCCACAATTCTCCTCTGCACACAAATTGTCACAAGGAACAATCTTATCTCAATAATAGAATAAGAGAGGTACATTTAAGGGAACACCTAGCCAAACACATACCTTGATAAGCTCCACTATAGTAACAGTCTTGTTAATAGCTCTTCCCATTGCCTTAAAGACAATTTCATTTGAACCTTTCTCCTAGACAACACAATGCAAAAGATAAACCAATTGAAATAAAATATATCGCACGATGGCCTATAAAATGATAGTTTGAATTCGTATTACCAACAGTGACGTTAGAACATGAACTTAATGGTCACACAGAAAAATGATTTCAATGCCTGGCCATTACAAAAGGATGCCCATACGAAATCGCGCTAACATAACTACACAGATTTTTTCCTCAGCATAACTTACACAGATCTTCATAGACAGTGAAGAACGTTAAACTATCAGCGAAGCCTCCATCAACACATCGAAACACGACGTTAACAGCTAGCTTAGAAATATAATTCTTGTACTGATGCTTTTAACTAGAACAAAATGTTCCCCCTACTTCCTCCCTTGCGCTCGTACTTCATAAATAGTGCACAACAACATCTTTGGACATCCTAAACGTTATTGTCGCATGCAACTTCAGAAACTAACCTAATACATTATCAGAATACCCACATGCATCACATTCACCTAAGCGCATATTACCTAATCAGCGCACACGGAACATAATCTCACACAAGCACATTAAGCGCCAGCGCCAACACGTCAAAATGCCGCTAATACCGCAAATCTCGAAGCAGGAACCCCAAGAAATGGTTTCAAACAGGGAGAACCCATCACCTTCAAAGCTCACAAAAAAAAGAAGAAAAAAAGAGCAGGAAAAAAACCACAAGTTACCTGGAGCAGGCCCATGGCGTAGGTGATGTAGCTCCGCATCCTGCCCTGGCTGGTGATACGAATCTCATTCTCGTCAATCGGCGTGTCCGCCTTTGGTTTCTCCACTCTCTGGTAACGATCCATCTTTCTTCTGTCACCATCCCCCCCCCCCCCCCAAAAAAAAAAACACATCAAAAAAAAAAACACGAAAACGAGAACGAGAACGAAAACGAAAACGAAACCTCAATAAAACCAAACATCCCGAAATCGCAGCCGAGAAACCCTCGATCTGCGCACGAAACCGAGCTCGACGGAGCACCGCCGCCTCTCAAAAGCCGTCGGCCGCCGATTTCGAAGCCGCGACGGCCCCCCGGAAGAACATCGCGACGACGGCGACGACTACGACGGAGGAGGAGGAGGAGGAGGAAGAAGCTAGGGATCGAGACAGCAAATCGAGGGAGGCGCGACGGAGATCGAAGCCATACCTCTCGCACGGATAGAGGTTTGTTTTTGGTGCACGGATAGAGAGAGAGAGCCCTCTTCAACGGCTTGTTTCTTCTCTTTACGCCCTAAGCCGCTCGCGGAGGGAGTGCCCGAGCTTTATATAGGAGGCGACCGAAGTTACCTACACGTATGCACACGGGACTCGGCGATATCTGCCCTCGAAGAAAAATGCTATTTTTCCACCCACCCCACCCTCAAAAATCGCTTAAATCCGGGGATCGAAATGGCTATTTTTAATTTCGGGGGAGCTGAGTAAAATAGTTATCCTCGATCTCTTCGATTTTTGTGGAAAACAAAAATTTGTCATGCGCTGTTTATTTTCCATTTCCACAATTTGTGTTGAAGCATTATGAATTTCTCATGGGGTTTCTAATGTTTTTCTTCTTCTTCTTTTTTATTGATCTGATTTGAACACGAATGAGACGAATATTTTGGTATTTTATAATTTTCGCGGTATAAAAAAATCGAAAATAGTTTATCGACGAATTTCCTAGCCGATTTTTCTTAAGGTAGAAAATCGGAGACACGGTTCGTTCTCTCTTCTTTTCGTAATTTAATTGAATCGGTGGGTCGACTTTCAAAAGAGTAAATTGAGTTTGTCTTTTCGATGCGAATAAATTAGGTTACCATTTTTTAGATTAGAGTTTGTGCTCGCTTTGAACAAGTTATTGAAAGAGTTGTAGATGGGGATGCAACGGAGAAATGCGACTATGATAACTCGTTTCAAACTTGAAACATCGAAGGTGTAGTAGTGTAAGATCGAAAGGCGACAAATAATAATAGTGGATAAGGCTCCGTATAGTTTGCGTAGCTTAAAACTATTTATCAATAACTATTTCTGTCTAAATATTTTCGTTGACAAAAAAAATATTTTTCGTTCATTTATCTTTATAAGAAATATAAGCATCATTTTAAAGAAAATATTTTCTTAATCATTAAAATGCGAATCGATAAACTATCTGCTTCAAACAAACATTGCCATAAATCGATATTTATCGTCTTGGACGTAGCTTTCTCGTTAAAAACACGCTATCAACGACACAAAATTTCTGTTCCCAAAACAAAAATTTGTTTGATAACGGCACAAAATTTCTCTCTCTCGAATGACCATTGAGTGGACGGTGGGCGGATAGCGGCCGGCGGTGACAGCGGCAGCGAGATGGTGGCGACGAATGACGAGCGACGGACGGCGAGGGGAGGTGGCGGCCAGTGCAGAGGACGGCGGCTGGAGGCAGTCGATGGCGGGAGGGGGGCGGCAGCAGCAGGAGGGCGGACGGTGGTAGCGAACGATGGGCAACGAACGGTTGGGGGAGGCGACGGTGGACGAAGACGCGGCCAGTGTGGAGGACAGTGGCTAGAGGTTGTCAGCGTCAGGCAGCAACGGGAGGCGGGCGACGGTGGCAGGAGAAGGGCGGACGGTGGCAGTGAACGGTGAGCGGCGAACGATGGAGGGAGGCAACGCTGGACGAAGACGCGGTCGGTGAGGAGGATGGCGGCAGGAGGAGGGTGGACAGTGGCAACAAACAGCAGGCGGCGAACGATGGGGGGAGGCGATGGTGGACGAAGACATGGCCAGTGTAGAGGACGACGGCTGGAAGTGGCCGACATCAAGCAGCAGCGAAAGGGGGGCGGCGGCAAGAGGAGGGCGAACGGTGGCAGCGAACAACAAGCGGCGAATGGTGGGGGAGGCGACGGTGGACAAAGATGCGGCCACTGCGGAGGACGGTGGCTGAAGTCAATCAACATCAGGCAGCGACAAGAGGCGGGCAATGACCGGCAACGGGAGGGGGGCGGCGACGAGAGGAGGGCAGCCGGCGACAGGAGACGATGGCCGTTGGCCAGAGACGACGGGAAGCGGCGGCTGACAAGTGGGCGGCAATGGATGATAGGTGGGCAACCGGCTAATAGCGAGAGCGAACGATGAGAAGAATTTCTCATTTTTGTTCCAGAAATTAAAAAAAAAAAAGAAAATTTGTGCTTCTCATTTCTGTTCCAAACCAATTTCTGAAATCAAAATTTGTTCCAGAAATTGAAAAATGAAATTGCGTTACCAAACGAATTTCTGTTCTAAACTTATTTCTATAGTAGAAAAATAGAAACATAATGGTTATTATTCGCAGCCTTAATTTCCTCGCGGAAAATGTGGCATTTATGAAAAATATTTTTCAAGAAACCATTTTCCAGGAAAATGGCACAATTTTCCAGTATTCGATTGAAATTTGAAAAAATCTCGAAAAATATTTTCCTCCATTTGGTATGGAAAATTTGATTTGATTTTCCTCCATGCACTACTTTTAATAATTTTTTATTTTTTAAAATCGATTTTAATTATTTATTCTTTTTCTTTTTCTTTTATTTCTTTTTTCCCCTCTTCTCCGGCGCCGCCGTGGTTGACGACCGGCCTAGAAAGAAGAAAAAGGAAAAAGAAAGAAAATAAAAAATAATTAAAAACTTGATTTTAAAAAATAAAAAAATGAAAGAAAAAAAGGGAAATTCCAATCAAGGACCCCAAGTAGGGTCTTTTTCTCAAAAAAAAATCCCAAGTTGACATAGTGTCAAATAAGGGTCTAAAGAGTCCAACCAGTCTCAAATAAAGATCCGAAGTGCTCAATTAGTCTTAAGTAAGGGCATAGCGTCGCCGGCCGGTCAAATGCTCACCGGTCGGTGATCACGTTTTTTGTTCCGGCGACCGGAACAAAGTCAGTTTCGTTTTTTTCTTTTTAAATTTTTTCTTTTTTTTCCTTTTTCTGTTTTTTTCTTTTCCTTTTCCTTTTATGTTTTTTTTCCTCTCTTTCCTCTACCGCCATAGCCGGGGCCGACGGAGGTTGCCCTCACCGGATCTGGCGATGGTCGCCTCGCCCGCCCAACCTAGTCGAGGGTAGCCCTCGCTGGCGTCGGGCGAGGGCGAGGGCAAGGGCAAGGGCGGCCCTCGACTGGGCTGGGCGAGCAAGGGCGACCCTTGCCAGATCTGGTGAGGGCCGCCCTCGCCCTCGCCCTCGCCCAACGCCGATGAGGTCGGCCCTCCACTGGGCTAGGCGACCCTCGCCCGACGCCGACGAGGGCAGCCTCCGTCGGCCTCGACTATGGCCGGCGGAGGGAACAGAAAAAAAAAATAGAAAAGGAAAAGGAAAAGGAAAAGGAAAAGGAAAAGAAAAAAACAGAAAAAGAAAAAAAAAAGAAAAAGACGAAACTATTCTTGTTCCGATCGCCAGAACAGTAACGTGATCGCTGGACGGTGAGCATTTGACCGACCGGCGAACCCATGTCTTTACTTGAGACTAATTGGGCACTTTGAGCCCTTATTAAAACTGATTGGGCACTTCGGGCCCTTATTTGACACTATGTTCACTTTGAACCCTTTTTTGAGAAAATGATCCCACTTTTGATACTGATTTGAAATTTTCCCAAGAAAAAATGAAAATAAAAATAAAAGGAAAATGTGTTTGGTGAAAGAAAATGAGGTGAAATAAGATATGGATTCTGAAAAGCGAAAAATATTTTCCCCACTTTTGAAGGTGTTTTATCAATTGATGGAAAATATTTTCCTTGACTAATTTATTTTCTATAAATCAAACGTCAAAAAATCCAAAAAATATTTTTTTTTAAATTATTTTTCGTAAAACTAACCGAGTCTAACGCTTTGAAAAAAAAAAACACTAAGACCGCCGCAACAATTGAATTTTGAATCTAGAACCCCATCTTTGGGACACACGCTATGATTACTTTCACTTAAAAAATATCAACTTGATTCAAGAGAACTCATTTTCTCTTGGTAATACGAAGGAGAGGAACCAGCTTCCGGATTTGATTCATATTCTGTGCAATCTCTCAATTGTAAGGAGGTCAATTTTTGGTGATACTTCGTAATCTACAATTGAGTCTGTTTATTTCACTAAAAACTTGATGATAAAAGAAAATATGTTACACGAAAATATTTTCATTTGTTTGATACTTTAAAAAAAGTGATTTCTTTTTTACTAAAAGCGAAAGTCGTTCTCCCCTAAATTAAACTTATTGTTTTCAGAATGTTTTTGGTAAATCGGTTAGCTTTTCTTTATTCAAATACCAGATAATTAAAAAATAATTTTCCGAAAACAGGTGTACAAAAGCTGGCTCATGGTGTTCCTATCTACCCAATCCTGACACAAAGCAGCAGTGACCTTGCTTTCTTGCGCGAATATGACTGGGCCAATTTAGATACCACAAGTGGTCACGTTTCCGTTCAAATAGGATCGACTCTTTTTCAAAGAACCTTTTGTCCACGGGACCCAAACAAACTCCAGCTTTTTGCTCCATCGTCCATGTGGAACTCACATGTACAGTTTGCACACGCATGCGATTTCAACACCCTTTCTGATACATGGGCCCTTCTACACTTTAGAGACGAAAATTGGAAGGCATTGAAATGATAAGTCCCACAATAAATTTACCCATCAAAACATGAAGTCCATCATCCTAAATTCTTCGACAGATTTTCATGCAATGTTCTACCTTTTCTGCCTCCCAAATCGGTGCTCGTAGTCCATCTATGCGCAGTTGCACAGAGCCAAAGACCAGCATTGGCTCCAAGGTGCAAAACAGTCCGCTTATAAAGACATGAGCTTGTTTTTTTGGTCGAAGCTTATAAGATATGATTGGAAATGTGACTTTTTCACTACTTGAATTAGCTTTCTTATCAATGCCTAAGGACACTTGTTATCTAGTAATACGACACTTGTTACTAAGGACCTGTCTATGTTAGTAAGATATCTCGCAAGTCGGAGTGTGATAACCAGAATTTTACCCGGCGATTTATTCACTTAGTCAGATAGATGGACTGCATACAGCAGAGAGATACCGGAAGCTCTGCTTCTCTGCAGAAACAGAACTCAATGCACATCGAGGAATGTAAGACGTAGTGTGTAATACTTTTTTCACTCCGAAAAGGGAATGGTTTCCTATTTCCTTTGTCCCTGTGCAGCAATCAGTGGATCGATAAAGCTCCTCCATCCCTCGTAATCTATAGGGGAGCCACCATCGGGCAGTAAGAATCCGTTTAGGAAGAATGACGGAGTTGCATACACTCCTTTTGAAGTACTATACTGCACGGCCAAAGCATCAATGGAAACATATCAGGAAATGATGAACCCAAGATAATAAACACGAATCTTTCAAAGATAACGCGAGTTGTCTTGTTAGGCTAAAATTTTGGTTATTAACAGCAAAAGAAAAGGTGGTTGGTCTGTTCTTACCTTGAAAGATACCCTTGTTTTGAGATCAGTTTGCCGGTCGTTGAAGCCTGCTGCAATGCTAGAGTAGTAGGAGTTCCCAACCGCTTGTGCGGCAAATTTCACAATAGAATTCACAATAGCAGCCCTTGACATGTCCTTTGTCTGGTCATTGTAGAATCTTCCCTGTTTGATTGTATGGACGAAATTCAGTCAATGTCATGTTATGTAGGGAAGCACTCTTTGTGCTTACTGCATCGAAGCATGATGCATTTATCGGCAGCAACATCATCAACTACTGCTTTTTGACTTCTCTCACGCACGTGATTCAATCAGGCTCACGACAAAGATAGTGAGTGCAGAACAGGTGTATTTGAAGAGGCAGAACTGAAGAAGGAATTATGCACCATTAGATCTGCCAGATGAACACATGATGGAAAATGAATCATAAAAGTCATGTGGTGGGTAGAACTTGCTAGATGCCATAGTTATGCATCTAATGATCTTCTCCTCTTCAGTTCTTGTTGACTTACATGTACACCATGAGACTTCCGCAGTAACATCGTTCTCTAATCTAACCTCAACTCTCGTCAAAGGAACCATTCGATCAGCATAATAGGAACTCACTAAATCTCTGCAGAAACCCAGAATTGTAGCAAGATAGGTTTAGGGAAACAAAGTCCAAGAGTCCAACAGCACCATAAGGATCTTGAAGCCTGACTTTAGAGTTTTGACAGCGGTACGTCCAACGCATACAACGGGAATAAGTTGTTCTACTAAAGCTACTTCAAGGAGCGAAGTCCATAAATTGCAAATAGTGTCAATCAAACTCAATGCATTGATCGTGGAATAAGTGCAATAAGAATGACTAGACGATGATGCACAGTTAAATAACTAAAAAATGGGGTTTCTCGTCCCCGCAAAGCAAAGGAAGAGCAGAGCTTCCCCTAATGGATAGCCAAGGCAATAGTGTGAGTAATACCAACCTGCTGCATGAAAAACATCTCCAGCAAATGGAATGTAGCAGAAGTATTCAACGCGTTTACGATGTGCAAAGCACGAGATGCTACATATGCATTGTCGTGGTAACTGCAAGCACAAAAAATAAAACCAAATGTCATCAAGCATTTTAATATATCAATTATTCAACCGCTATCAAATCACTGTTGTATATCATACTTGGTCCATAAATGCATAACAGGGAGAAACAGGTGAACTTATAGATTCCCACCTAATATCGCTATTACTGATTAATGGTAAGACATTACAGATTCCAGTCGGTTTTCCTGAATCGGAGGCATGATCAAGGTCAATTCCTCCGGAATTCATGAACACAGAACGGATGGTGCAGACCACAAACTTCTGCTATCTTTCTTTATTTTTATTTGTTCGTTTATATTTTTTGCTCGAGAACTTTCGCTTTCATGACAGACTGGTGGCCAGTAACAAGACTGCGATTGGAGGCTTCTAAGCCTGGCCAATCTTGGTACTTCCTTTGGTTTTACTGGAACGATGCATGCACTGCGAATTCACTGACCCCATTAATGAAGGCAATGTGTCAGAAAACTTCCCTTCATTCTGGGCCACCCAAACACAAAATGTAAAGCACAGATTCAAATTGAACGCCCCTCCCGGGTAGAATTTAAGAACCTCGACATGAATTTGCTTTTTGGCTTTCAGTGCGAGAGACCAGTAAAATCCAAATGTCAGAGCAGTTCCCAAAACAAAGTAAACACCCAAAAAAAAAAAAAAAACTAAGGACAACGAAACAACCAGCCATTTTTAGAGATGATGCAAGTTGTGATCCGATCAGGTTGAAACACAGTAATTCTCGGTGCTTGCGCGATATTCAAAGTCATCGGTCAATCAAGATCGACCTTCTCGAGCACGACGAGACTAGAACTAGCGACGAATGAGGTAGAGCCAAACGTAAAGCGGAAGCTAAAGAGGAGCGACGCTCACGCACGGTAAGGGGAGCAAGTGAACGACGAGCCAGACGCGAGGGCCGTAGTACCGGAGCGCCTGCTTGAGCGGAGGCCAGGCGTCTCTGCTGTCGGGGCAGACCGGGTCCAGGAACGCCTCGACGACGACGGTGTCCGAGTCGACCCGGCCGTCGGTGTACACGAAGCCGTCTCGCCTCGGCGGCGGCAGGGACTGCGCGGCCACGCCCGACGCCGCGAAGGCGAAGGCGACGGCGACGGCGACGGCGAAGAGGAAGGAACAGAGAGCGCTCGGCGTCGTCGCCATGGCTTTTTTCTGGGATCGTTTTCTGGTGCGAGTGGAGACAGTGGCGTTTTCTGTGGAATCTATGCTTATTCCACTGCCACCAACTTTGTCTTCTATTATATGGTTTTTTGCAACTTCTTCTGATTGGATCCCGTGATTCCGACGTAGGTACGCTCGGATGGACGTGCATTTGCTCTCGGTAAATCCGAGCCGCTGGATCGCTGGTTTTAATTTCATCGTACGGATCACGACGGTCTGATGTGCACAGAGAGCACTGTGTCCACAGCATATAGTAATCGATCCGTTGAGACGAGATGCCTTAGATTGGAAAACAACCGCGAGAGAAAGCGAGACTTAGAAAACGAAACGAGGAATTCAAAAGTCTTGTCTGATTTTGACCGTGGAAAAATAACGTGGGGACGAAAAATCGTGTGGTTCTACAAGAATCCTCGAAGTAAATTACGAGGAAGGTCGGTCGAAGGGATTGGAACGGATGAGTAACGAATGATCTTCGAATTGAGCTGTGAAGACCCGGGCGATTGTGTCGATTCCGAACTTACGATCCATACCATGCATGCTCGTATCGCAAAAAGGGAAAGCTAGTGAAAAGAATTAACAAGATAAGAAAATCTTTCGAGGGAAAAGAACTATTGAATCAAATTAGGTTAACACTTCGACAATGATAGGAATAAGATCGTGAAAAATAAGGACGAAATAGATTGTGATGGAAAATTGCGCAAATTAGCGGATCCTCAATTTGCTACCGAAGCCTCCTAACATCTACCTCCTCCCCGTAAATAGTAAATCTTCTAATCCCGACCGGTTAGGAAATCGAGAATACTTCGATACTTAAGTCGGTAATTTTTTTTTTGGTTCAAAAAGTCGGAAAATATATGAAGAGCATAGAATTTAAAGGAGGAGAGAGAGACGATATTCTATGCCTTGGCAAGTGGCCTTAAAAAAGTATTTAGGTGGGCTTGCCTACTAAGCTTCGGGCCATATTCCCGCAATCTACAGGTGACTTGCCCCTAATAAGTAATATTTGTATTATTGGCCCACACAATTGTTTTGTATCGAGAAAATGATACAAACAGTCTCTAAACTTTGATCCAATATGCAATGCAGTCCCTAAACTTTTAATTTGTTCAACATAGTCCCTGAACTTTAACTTAATGTGCAATGTGGTTTATAAACTTTTAATTTATTTAATGTCATCGCTGAACTTTTTGTACTTGTTCAATTTAGTCCTTGAACTATATGAAAATATTTAATATAGTCCTACCATTAATTAAAATTCAAAGAGTACAATGAACATTTTCATATAGGTTAGGGATTACATTGAACATGTACCGAAAGTCATGAGACCATATTGAACATTAAGTTAAAGGTCATGGACTACATTGAACAAATTAAAAATTCAGGGATCAAATTGCACATTGAACCAAAATTCAAGAACCGTTTGTGTCATTATCCCTTTTGTATTCATTTGGTTTGCCGTCATAGAATTAATAAATGGAATCCCATTCTAAGATCGCATTAATCGCCTCGCGCGGTTCTATCGATATTCAAAACCACGGCAACGAATCACGTGTCCATGCAGATTATGATCACTTGTCAATTTTCATTCATTATTGTGTCCACATCCCTTTCGAATTCCCTTAAGATAAAAGCCTTTCGCCGTCTGGAACATCAACTTAAAGACGGAAGACTTTGGCAGTAAATTAAATGATTTGAGGTGAAGAGCACAGGTCTGGATTAGAACGTCGTTTAAACCCCATTTAAGTAACCGGCAACTACAGCGGTGTCTCTACTTATGAAAAAGCTACGCATGCATCGGTCCACATAACGATTTGATTGTGGTGGAGCACTACATAATGTCGAAGCGCCAAATATTCTCAATAGAGCACATTAGTCCATTGATCAATTGTCACCGAGCATTGTCATCTGTCAGTCACGACCCGATGGCCCATTAAGGAAAATGTCTATACGGGGTAAAGAGTCCGTAGAGATAACGGGTCGGACTCTTGAGAATCCTAGTTTGAATACTTTGCATCGGGGCCAATTTGAACCCTAAGCCCGGACGCATTGACCCGGTTAACTCTCGGTAAGATGGCTGTCGAAAGTTCAGCACTAACACGCATATTCCTGAATGAAAGGTCATGTCGCTTTTAAGTCTTTGGGATGATTAAAATTTAAAATGGGATATTCCTCCAGCCGAAACAGCATCATCCTCGATCGTTTTCTTTTGTCTGCCTCGCCAATTGCATAATCATTCCACATGTTTTCGCCCCTCTTGAATCGCTGTCGTGGACCCATCGATGAAGTTGCCGATTCATCCACGTGCCGATCGATGTTCGACACAATAATTTTTTTAGGCAATCGATCATCTCCACTTTGTCGGTTGTGGAAGCATGACAATGATGGAAGCGGTCTTTTGTCAATTACCCCTTTATTTTCACTTAGCCAGGACTGATCCTAGCGGTAGAATGAGGTTCTGAATTGAATTGAACACACGCTCTTGTTTGTTCTTATGTGATTGGGACGATGGCATAAATAATCCTTGAGCTTTGATTTTGTACAATGTAATTCATAAATTTTTAATTTGTTCAATATGATTCATAAATTTTGGTCCAACGTTCACTATGATCCCAAAACTTTTAAATATTTGTATATAGTTTATGGACTATTTTGATATTTATCAATAATTCAAGAATCATATTGAACAAATTAAAAGTTAAGGAATGACGTATCAAATAAGTAAAAGTTCAGGTTCCCTATTACACCAATTAAAAGTGTAGGGACGATATATCGTTTGTGCTATTATTGTTATGTAATTCGTTTTTTAGGAGTCTCACATGAAAGATGCAAATATCAAGTATTACGGAGTTGCGATTGAATAGTACTATAAGCCAATTAAGGGCACATTTCCCTCGAAAGGAAATGATCAAGGGCACCTTTCCAATCAACCAAAATAGGTTATATTCGTATTGTGACTCGAGAGCAAGAGATTCTAAACAATTTACTTTAAAAAAAACCCCCTTCCGTGGATAAAGTATTTATTATTTCTACACGTCGATATTTGAAGCTTGAAAAATTACATATCCAATGCGATGCTAATATCAATTTTTATGTACATTTTTTTTTGGTCGAACAATTTTTATGTACTTTAGAAGCTTCCAAACAATTCGTACCGAATAAAATCAAACGCGAAAACTCCAAAATTCAGAAAATTTTAAGTCTTTTCCATGCTTGTCGTATAATAAATTACGTTGATTATTGTTTTTGAGAAATTCGATTTTATCTGTAAGTACTTTAATGTGAACAACCAACTGTTTTTGCTTTCAAAAAATGAAAGAAAAACTTTATATGAAGGTAATCAAATAGTCTCTTATTTACCGTCCAAATTTAACTAAGATTTTATTAGCTCAATTTTTACTGTCGAGTTTAGGAAGTACATGGAATGGGACTCTTACCTTTTTAATTTGGAATAATGACATGAATGGTTTATGAACTTTGACCCAATGCGCAATGTGATCCCTGAACTTTAGTCTAATGTGTGATGTTTGGAATTTTAATTTGTTCAATTGATACTTGTTCAAGTTAGTTGCTGAACCATATGAAAATATTTAATGTTATCATTCCATTAATTTGAGTGTAGCGACAACATTGAACATTTTCATAATGTAAGGACTATATCGAACATGTTTCGAAAGTTGGACATCATTAAACAAAATGAAAAATCTTATGAACATTTAAATAAATTAAAAAATATTGTACGTATCATTTCCTTCTAGTTCTACTTAATACCACAAAAACTCATAAACTGGTACGCTTGTGACAAACGTAGGGTAAAACATAAAATTGGTACATCCGTCAATTGCCGCGTGTCATTTAACAAAACAATTTGACTATAAAATTTAACGGAAATAAACTAAGGGTAAATTTATCACAAGTGTACCATTTTGAGATTTTTGGTGGTCAAAAAATTAGTTTAAAGTAAACTTATCATAGGCGTACTAGTTTGAAGTTTTTCGCGATATTAACTTTTTACTATTTCTACTTTCTTTTTCAAACTTTGCCGGTAATAAAACCTTTCGTAAAACCGCTCATCACCACCTCCGGAGAAAAAGGCGAGAGAGAGTACGTGACCGGGGGAACACTCCCCGTTCCGCGACAAAGCGGGGACTGAAGCAGCCATTCAAACTACCAAACAAAGCTTGGTCGGGCGACGAAGCTACCTGATCTCCTCCATTAACGACGACATTTGTACCCTCGTCGGATCTCTCCACCTCCATCTCGACGCTTCCCACCCAGTGAGTTCCGAGTCTCTCCATCACCATCACCTCCTCGGTGCCTACTGCCCTCGAACTGAGTTGGTCGCATTCCACCTGCTTTTCTGCGCGAGTCTCGCCGTCGTCGATTCCGTCGCTCGCCGTCTTTAGAAGCTTTGGTGATCTTCTATCTCTCTTTCTCGCTCGCTCGCTCACTTCTTTTTTCCTCCGGTTCGAAATCGAATCGCGTTTTCGTCTCGTGGATTTTTTTTTCACGTGTTTTGGACCGAGGTTTGAATCTGGTAAGCCTCGACCGATTTTGTTTTAATGCTCTTGTCGTTTTGCTCATCAATGGAGTTTTCGATCATGATGAACGCGAGACGCTTGGAAATCAGTGGAGATTGAACTGAAAACGCTGTTGAAAAAAAAAAACCATCGCCAGTGGGCGAGTACGAGTAGTACAAAGTTAAAGCTCGGTCGAGCAGCGGTTCGATCTTCCTGTGTTTCGGCATCCTTCTAGTCACTTCTTGATTCGGTCGTGGTGCGAGGGTGGCTCGCTAGGCATTCCTGATCGGTCGCTTCGGTTAACGCTTTTTTCTCTGCGTAGGTTTCCGAGCATCTCGGGGCTTTGAAGATGGGAGCGGCACCGAAGAGTTTTGACATGGAAGAGGGAACTCTGGAGATCGGCATGGGTACAGCTTTTGGCCCTCTCCGCTTTCTTACCATTTGAGCTACGGACGATAGAAATCTGCCGGTGATTAAGCTTTGTTTGTATCGTGGGGAGGAGTAGCTTTGTCTCCTTGTTTGTGGCTTATTGTGCCTTTAGCCATTTCAATTCCGCTGTGCTGGGAATCATGACTCTTATCATGGGATGTTGTTTTCGACGCTTTCCATGTGGCTTTCTTTTTTTTTTTGAAAAGCTTATGCTGCCCCTGTCATGACAGCGGTTAAAGCACGTAATGCTTAGATCTATACAATCTCTGTCGTTTCACATGTATTGGTGACGAGGTGAGGAATTATATGGCTATCGTCCAAGTCAAATTTCTAGCATGCCTTGGTCGCTGGGCCATAATTATCGGTTGTTCAGACAATTGCTTCGCAAATTGCAGAGTATAGGACTGTCTCTGGTGTTGCTGGGCCGTTGGTTATACTCGACAAAGTCAAGGTAGATTTCACTGGCTATAATTTTACGGATTTGAGTGAACTCCTGCACAGACATGTTCGATGATTTTTATGTTATATCAGGGACCAAAGTATCAAGAGATAGTAAATATCCGCTTGGGAGATGGAACGACTAGACGTGGGCAAGTCCTTGAAGTTGATGGAGAGAAAGCTGTTGTGCAGGTTCAGTCTAAGTTGCCAGCCTCTTCTTTTTTCCTTTAGCTCTCTCGATACTGCATCTTTGCTGGTTGGACTGTATTACTTGTGTCGCTTTTGTGTGCAATACTTTTCAGCTAATGACCTAGTGAAATCTCAGTCGTGCATTGCAAGCATCAGAAAAAGCAGAACATGAAGAATATTTTCTTGGGTATATCATATGTGATGAAACGTGAGAACATCATATGGGATCAAAAAATTGTGATCGAGTTTCTTGAGGAGAACAATGTTAAGAGTCTAATTAGCATTCCGTGTAGGCAATTATAGACCTTATTCGCTCTCGAGTGATGGAAGTCCAGTCGTGGTTTGGGTTATTTTGGCTCTGAAAAAGGCTAATAATCTTTCCTACATGTCTATAATTTTTTGCAAACCTTTGTAGGTTCTGTGATTCACTAGTTTCTCTGTCAATAAAATTTGGATATGGGTTTCTACTCATGCTCGTGTGACCAGTGGTCGTTCATCTTAGACTTCCAGTATGTAAAGCTTTCTGGTCATCCATGTTCACTCTCTTGTTGCTAGGTTTTTGAAGGGACTTCTGGGATCGACAACAAATACACCACTGTGCAATTCACTGGCGAGGTAATTATGCATTGTTTTAGTTTTCTGAGTAAAATGATGTTTCAGCTTCCTGTAGAAATAAAGAGTTAGATTTCTCTGTTCTATACTTGGGAACAAAATACTCCTACGTGTTGGCAACAAGATTTCACTTGTAGCATGAGACATAATTTGGTATATGTCAAAGCCTTGGCCTCTTGAAAGAGCTGTCAAAAGTGCATTGTTTTCTGCCTTCACAAATCTCTTCAGCTATGCCAGCATCTACTCTCTTTAATCTTAGATAAATAGAAGAACCTTTAGAAAACTTTCATGGAGTTCCGACATTTTTCTTCTATTGCAGGTTCTGAAAACACCTGTATCCCAGGATATGCTGGGGCGCATATTTAATGGTTCTGGGAAGCCCATTGATAATGGCCCTCCAATTCTGCCGGAGGCTTACCTAGATATTTCTGGTGAGTTGTGTCATTGTGACAGTATTTTTGATTGGCCATGAAGCCATTTATATTCCAAGGCACCTGTGGCAATCCCAAGAACTTTCTTGTAGTCTCATATGAACTTTCTCTTTCTTAGGAAGTTCTATAAATCCCAGTGAAAGAACCTACCCGGAAGAGATGATACAAACAGGAATTTCCACCATTGATGTAATGAATTCCATAGCTCGTGGACAGAAGATCCCACTTTTCTCTGCTGCTGGTCTTCCTCATAACGAAATAGCTGCTCAGATTTGCCGCCAGGCTGGTCTCGTGAAGCGATTGGAGAAGGCTGACAGTATTACCGAGGTATATGTAGCATTTTTGCCGTATACCGATGTTATGATACCCTGCTCTAAGAGTTCTATTGCCTTGATAATTTAATGAAATACAGTTAATTTCACGGAATTTTCGTACGGTTATGGAATGAAGGTTCAGAATTCACCTAAAATGTATTTTATCGTTCGACTGACTAGCACCACTATTATATGCTGGACTTCTCAATTGCTAAATGCATTCTTTAATGAAGATTTCTGATCTTATTTTAGTTGTTGCTTTCTTTGAGAATCGATGCTGTAAGTCTTCGTTTTGCTCTACTATTCCAAACACTCTCTTTCAATATTATTTCTGAAGGATGTGCTACAAATTTATGTAGGATGGCGAAGAGGACAATTTTGCCATAGTATTTGCAGCTATGGGAGTGAACATGGAAACTGCACAATTTTTCAAACGCGACTTTGAGGAAAATGGATCAATGGAGAGAGTGACCCTTTTCCTTAATCTGGTAATTTCTAATGAGCTGATAGTTGGTTGTCTCACAGATTTTTTCTTTCTGGCAATTTTTGCAAGTTTGTAGATTGAGTTTGTGATATAGATATCCTTGCTGATTAAAGGGTTGTATGGGTGCCTGTATTTCATTTTACAAAGTTTGCTCTTTTGTTTAGGCCAATGATCCAACTATTGAACGCATCATCACTCCACGAATTGCTCTTACAACTGCTGAGTATCTGGCTTATGATTGTGGGAAGCATGTCTTAGTCATTCTCACAGACATGAGTTCGTATGCAGATGCCCTTCGTGAGGTAAGGATAGTCTGAAAAAGAGTCGCCATAATGACCATATTATGAGAGTTAGTCTTGCTGTTAATTGTTCATTAATGAGGCAAGCTCTTGGTTCTTCGTTTCTCCTTGAGCACTGGAAAACTGCAGCTGGACTTGCAATCAGTTTGGGGCCAAAAAATTCTTAGTCCTTTACAAATTCTGACTGATAATTTTGAGCTCTCATCTGCCTGTAGGTATCAGCTGCACGAGAGGAAGTACCTGGAAGGCGTGGGTATCCTGGGTACATGTACACTGATCTGGCAACGATTTACGAGCGTGCTGGGCGTATTGAAGGGCGAAAGGGCTCCATCACTCAAATTCCTATTTTGACTATGCCTAATGATGGTGGGTTTAATGCTTACACAAGGTCTGCATTCCAGTCATTTCTCCACACCTAATATAGTTTATTCTTGTTATGCTGATGGGATGTCAATAATTCACTGTTTATTCATTAGATATTACGCACCCGACTCCAGATCTTACTGGTTATATAACTGAGGGGCAGATATATATCGACAGACAACTTCACAATCGACAGGTTAGTTGGGTTCAAACGTTATGATGCGGAGAACTTGCCCCGACTTCTTGTACCGCGTTTTGTTCTAAATTGCTGTCTCAAATGCATTTTATTGTCCCATAGAGTGGTATAATCGTTTTACAACTTTTGTACGCCTAAAGAGATAAGTACTTTGGTGCATGGAAGCAATCATTTTATGAGGTGGTTTATATGCTTCTCTTATAGGAGAAATTAATGAGCTAGTTCAGTGGCAAACATAATTAAATTATATTATGTTCGATGGCATTTACTGCTTATGTGATTGATCACTTAATTTATTACTTTGCTAAATACTCTGGTTGTATGGCTGGAAATGTAATCTTTCTGACTATACCAAAGGGTGCTTAGCTTTATCTTGAAGGCTTGACTACTTATAAGATCATTGTTTATACATTATTTCTTTTCTGAAACAGATATATCCTCCCATCAATGTGCTTCCCTCACTTTCTCGACTGATGAAAGTAAGACATTTTTTACTGCATTTGAATTTCCTAGTTCCCTTTGGATTAACTTCAGGTGTTTAATCTGTACCCTTTACCTTGCAGAGTGCAATAGGCGAGGGAATGACTCGTAGAGACCATGCTGATGTCTCCAACCAGGTATTTCTTTGTGAAATAGATAGTTTAATCTTTATCGAAATGCTGGTACTTGGTATTGAGCTTTTACTGGTTTTCCTGCAGCTATATGCAAACTATGCAATTGGGAAAGATGTTCAAGCTATGAAAGCCGTGGTTGGAGAAGAAGCTCTGTCTTCTGAGGATCTGGTTTCTCTCTCGTTCAAACCATTTGGATTCTCCTGCTTCGATATTCTTCTCCTCTTCCTATTGTTCGTCTTCCCCTTGATATTCTAAGTAATAATACGTGATTTCTTTTCGTCGTATTTCAGCTTTATCTGGAGTTCCTTGAAAAGTTCGAGAGGAAATTTGTGATGCAGGGGGCCTATGACACCCGCAATATTTATCAGTCTCTTGACTTGGCATGGACTTTGCTTCGCATATTCCCTCGCGAGCTGCTCCACCGTATACCAGCAAAGACACTGGACCAGTACTACAACCGTGACTCCACGAACTGATCTAAAGAAGTTGCGTGCTTGTCACCAATAATCAGTTCATTGCAAAACAGGACTAGTCTTGGTGCTGTTCACCGGTGCTCTGTCATCTCTTGTTGGCTTGTCTGAATCAACCCCAGTTTTGAGGAGCAACTTATGATGGCTCACTAGCTTCTCCAGCCAAATAAACGGAATTCATCGTCATATGCTCCTCCCTTATACTTTGTCGCATAAAAGTATAATTCCTCCCTTATATTTTCAGGGCTGTATTTATTGAATGAACTGTTTCAGAAACACACAATGTTGGGAGAAAGATATACTTATAATCCTTCTGGTCTGAATCGCTGACGGTAGATACAGAAAATTTGTTTGCATCTGTTTGATGTGAACTGCAGCTATAATTTCTTAGTTTTCGTATTTTAAGTGGACACGTCACGAACGCTCAATTCACCTGTCAATATAGTGTTCCCAGTGAAACTAATTCAGGAACCATAGAAGCTGCATTCAGCAGCTGATAATTGTGAGATGGTGGCTTGTCGCGGCGTGATAGGCAAAACATGGCTGTCGTGGTTCGGTATACTCGGATATGTGTCAAAATATTTTGGTTTGTTCCAAAAGGATAAGAGGGAATGCACATATGACATGTCGTCGGTTGCTAGAGCAAAGTCCATGAATATCTTTGACAAGTCTGGACATATTAGCTTGTCCTAACAACGGGTACATATAAAGGGAGCTGTGTCTAAGTACAATTGATGACCCTTCTGTTTGGATTGTTTACAGGTGTTGCATTTTGAATGCAAAAGCTCTCTTATAAGCATATTGACCAGAGTTTGGCAATGTTACAATAGACCAAGAATCAATGAAAGAATGGGCGACCTGTTCAAACTACTTGAACGAAAGAATGCATAACCAGATTAATTCACTCGAACTATGGGACTTCTACATAAAGGGCAAGACCTCTGCTTGGAAATCCACTTATCGATGCAACGCAGATGAAACAAGTGGCGACAGCTAGGCAGTCTTTTCGCCACGTCTTTGCATTCGAAGTCCTGGATCAGTAAACAAGAATGAGGATTAAGCAAAGGAATGGAGTTTTAATACTAGGTAAAAGCGAGTCATGGGTCGAATTATCCAAGTCTAGTCTAAAAATACAAACCTGAAGGCATATCGAGCAGGAGTTTCTGTTTCCTGAAGAATCCATCAAGTGGTCCTCTGTTATTCTGATCCTGCCAATCCTGTCGAATGAATGTTTCGATACTTTGGTGCGGTCTACTGTGATTTCGCTGATCATGTTGTCGGCATGTGCTAGAGTTTGCTCTATTCTCGACAGGGCGAGATTATAAAGGAACCGTTGAACTAATTCTCCGGCATCAAGTTCTGTCGTCGAATCAGTCTGCCAGGAGCAAAAGGGGGATTAGGAAGTAAATATCTGAAAAGTTATAATCGACCCAAGCTCTGAGCCCTGAGAAGCCGAGAACTTACCCATTGAAGAACGTCGTGGAACGAACCATCATCAGAGAGCCAGATGGAAACGGATGTTTTGAAGGTGTTAATCGACAGCACGCTGCCTGCAACAGCTCCTACCACCATCCTAGAGAAGAGGCTGCCCTGGCTTTTCATGCCGAGCAGAACTCCCGTGAACGCTCCCAATGTACTTCCGACTGCAAAAGAGTGATATGTCCCCGCGGCGTCATCGCAGTTTTCAAGATGATGGGCTATTACGGGTGGTCAATGAAACTAAACGGCGGAATCAAAATCGACGTCCTACTACATAGATCATGGATAACTTAGTGAACAGAATCATTCGGTATTCAGATATCCGTCTCCCTGGCTCGGAACAGCGAGGAAAGACACCGGAAAGCATGCCATGAAATGCTATCAAGAAGCAAAATGATCCGGAGCAGGATAAAAATGCAAAAGGTGACCAACAGCACAACATGGGACGTACCAATAGCTAAGAACAAGACGGAGACAGCATAAGAGACGCTGAAGATGATCGCAGACACTCCATAGCAGCACCAAACCCACACCTTCTCCATCGACGAAAACCGAAGACCCCCCCGCAGAACGAAGCTCTTTGAAACTAAGCCTCGGCGTTCAAAGTTGGATCCCTTAATACGAAGCCGCCGGTGGAAACATCGTGGAAACAGAGGCGATGACGTTCGAACGTTCTCCCCCTCGCGTGGTTTCGGTCAAAAGTCCATGAGCCCAAAAAACATGAAACATTCGAGAACAAAGACGGCCGAGTCAAGGCCGGAGGAGATGAACGTGGAATTGCAGGTGGTCAACTCAGATGGGTCTGTTTTCCTCCCCTCCCCCATGCAAATTCGTCCTCGAAAAGGAAATCAAAATCCGGTTGCGTCTTAAAGATGGGAGAGACGTGAACGGAACGGGAGTAGAAGTTTTCTTGTCCGCCTCCTCGCTTTTTAGGTGGAGTGTTGGACTTTCCGTATGTCCTGTGACAGTGAATTTGTTAATCTAGAGTCGCATAGTTCCAAAGAAAACAAAAGAATTTGAGAGATTCGCATCCCGATTTCGATGGATGTTTTGCCGTAGGATCGAGTCAACCTAGGAATATGAGTAGTTGACTTGGCTTCGTGTTCTATTCATCCAGCTTTTCTTAATAAGTCTTTGACTCGAAATTTCGCAATCCATTGAGTTTGAGGGCTCAAATGATTAGAATCTACTGAGCGAATTCGCGGGTTTCGATTAGCCCGTCGGAATCTACTGGGTCGATTTGGACCCCAAAATTAAAGTCCATTCGATGCGTGATCAGAGTTGGCAAAATGGGTCGAGAGCCCGTATTTTGGCTCGTATTTGATGAAACGGGCGAAATATCGGTCACTTCAAATTTTGAGGAGAGGTCGGGATGAGTTTGTCAATATAGAGCGCAAGTTATAGATGGGCTCTAATGAATCTGTCGTGTCGTGAACCCATTTTTATCTCGCTAAATAACTCGAGACCCATTGATCGAAAGCGTGCCGGCACCCTATGGGAATAATCATTGGGCTGGGCCTTAGCCTCTGAGCAGCTTGAATCTTGGGTTCGGGTGGGTGCACACGACCTTCGTTCTAATGGACCACATGCCCTGCTTTTTGGGCCGAACATGGGCTACTTCCGTAACGCCCGTATTGATCCTCCCATTTTCTTTTCTTTCAATACCATGAAGAAAAGGGAAATTAGTGAGTAAACCCAATTTGTTCAAATTGACATTGTACATGTAATAATTTTCGGAAATCTTCTCTTTGTGCATCCTTCGTTCATGCAGATATATACGCTAGGGAAAAATCATTTTGTTGGATATTTTCGTACTCACACATGTATTCTCTCGAATTCGATTGATAAGTCTGTACGGTTTTCAAGTGTATAATTAATTAATTCATCAATCACGAGGGATGTTATACTTACCATATTATGGACCAAATCAGAGCATCGTAGGTGTCGACGACTGAGAAATTAATTCCATGCCAATTTAGACTCATATTTTCAAATATTTGAGTATTTTCAGACCTTTTTAGTGCTTACGAGAGTAGAAGTTTATGTCATGTATATCTTCTTAGGTATGATCTCTTTTGCTAAATTAAATCAAATTTAGCACTAAAAGAAATAACAAGAGATGCGTTTTAATAACTTGATTTATCAAAAAAAATTTAGTAATTGCTTATTTGCTATTTTGTTTCATGTTTAATTTGTTTTTAATTGGTTAGTTTATGCTATTATTCATATTTAGGAGAAAAATTACTAAAAGAAATCGATGCTTGGGTCCGAGTCCGAGTCAGGTATGGATCACAAAATATGTATTACATAAAAATGAGTCAAAATGGGTCAGATCGTTTTCAATTTGAGCCAACTCATCATTTTGATGGGCCTATGCATTAAATTTATGAGTAGTCTTGTGATGAAGAAAGATTAGCCGATATTGGCATTATTTGCATTCTAACATTTAGTTCATTTTACTACTATAAGTCATTTCTAAAAACACAAAAACCATAATTATATGCAAGATTCTAAATTTTTTTTATATAGAATGTAATTGAGTTTTAGTCATTCTCTTCGAAAAGAAAAGTCTAATCATTTCGGTTTGTGATATGCAGACTTATAATGTGTTTGCTTCCTCGATAATTAATAACTTCGAAAATATTTTTTGAAAAATGATTAGTTATATCGTTTGAAAAATTAGTTAATGACAAATATTTTCAGGATCAACAATAGTTTATGCCGCGTTGGTTCATTTCGTTACTAAATACAAACAATCATTTTAAGAAAAACGTTTTTAAAATTGTTAATTTTTGGTGAAATAAATGCACTCTTTCAACTTTTGCAAAAGTCAGAATGAATTCCTCCGCATTATCACTTCTCCAACTTTGCTGAGGTGGCGACTATTTTGTGCTGCCATGCAGGTGATTAGAAGATTCTTGTGTGGAAATCAAGAAGGCATTGCTACGAACGACCATACTGCAAAACTATGCGCAAAACTTTTTGTTTTTCCCCTGCACCTATATGCAAATTATGCAACTGGGAAAGATGTTCAAGCTACGAGAACCGTGGTTGGAGAAGAAGCTCCATCTTCTGAAATTCTGGTCTCTCTCTCTGTCTCATACAAACCGATGGGATTGTCCTGCTTCGTTTTCCTCTTCCTCTTCCTATTGTTTGTTTTCCACTTGATGACTTTTTTTTTTTAAAGTAATGATTCGTGATTTCCATTCGTGATATTTCAGCTTTATCAGGAGTTTTCCTTGAACGGTTTGACAGGAAGTTCGTGGCGCGGGGGGTCCTACGACACCCGCAGTATCTATCAGTTTTGGGACTTTGCTTCGCGTATTCCCTCACGAGCTGCTCCACCGTATACCGGCAAAGGCACTGGACCGGTACTACAGCATTGACGCCACAAACTGATCTAAAGAAGTTGCGTGCTTGCCACCAAAACCAGTTCATTTGGAAACATGATTAATCTTGATGCTGTCACCCCTCATCGGTGCTCTCTCATCTCATTTGTTGGCTTGCCTGAACACACACCAGTTTTAAGGAGCAACTTATCATGGCTCCCTAGCTTCTCCAGCCAAAGCAATGGAATTTGTCCTCGTATACTCCTCCCTTATACATTCTCGGTTGAAAAAATAAATCCCTCATTTTATTTTCAGGACTGTAATTGTTCAATGAACTGTTTCTGTAATATGTAGAAGTTGGGAGAAAGATATACTTATAATCCTTCGTTTGAATCGCTGACAGTAGATACAGAAAATTTGTTTGCACCTCTTTGATGTGGACTGCACCTAGAATTTCTTAGTTCCCACCTTTAGAGAAGACACATTTGTGAACACTCAACTCACCTGTCAACGGAATGTTCACCGCGAAAGTAATTTAGGAAGCATAGAAGCTGCATTCACCAGCTGATAAGTGTGGGACGGTGGGTTGTCGCAGTGTGATAAGCAACACATTGCAGTCTTGGTTCGATATCCTCTGATATATGTTAAAATCTTTTGGTATGTTCCAAAAGGATCAGAGGGAATGCATTTATAACATGTCATCAGTTGCTAGAGCAAAGTTCATGAATTTCTTTGACAAATCTAGAAATCTTAGTCTATTCTGATAACAGTTACATACATACAAAGGTAGTATTGTCTAAGTGACCCTTCTGTTTGGATATGTTTACAGGTGTCGCATTTTGAATGCGAAAGCTCACTCATAGCATATTCACTAGAGTTTTGCAGTGCAACAATAGACCAAAAAAATGAAAGAATGGGTGACCTGTTTAAACTACTTGAATGAAAGAATGCATAACCTAATTAATTCACTTGAACTACGGGACTTCTACATAAAGGACAAGATCTTTGCTTGCAAATCCACTTATCGATGCAATGCAGATGAAACAAGTGGCGACAGTTAGGCAGTCTCCTCGCCTCATCTTTACATTCGAAGTCCTGGATCATGAACGAGAATGAGGATCAAGCAAAGGAATGGAGTTTTAAAACCAGGTAAAAACGAGTCATGGGTCAAATTCTCTCAGTCTAGTCTAGAATACAAACCTGAAGGCATATTGAGCAGGAGTTTCTGTTTCCCGAAGAATCCAACAAGCGGTCCTCTGTTATTTTAATCCTAGGAATCCTGTCGCACAAATTCTTCGACACTTTGGTGTGGTCTACCGTGATTTCGCTGATCATATTGTCGGCATGTGCCAGAGTCTGCTCTAATCTCGACAGGGTGAGACTATACAACAACTGTTGAACTAATTCTCCGGCATGGAGTTCTGTCGTCGAGTCAGTCTACAAAGAGCAGATGAGGGATTAGGAAGTAAATATCTGAGAAGTTACAATTGACCCAAGCTCGAGCCTTGAGAAGTCGAGAACTTACCGATTGAAGAATGTTGCTGAAAAAACAATCATCAGACAGCCAGAAAGAAATGGACATTCTGAAGGCATTAGTCAAGAACTTGCCGCCAGCAATTGCTCCTACCACCACGCTGTAAAAGAGGTTGTTCCGGCTTTTCACATTGATCAGAACTCCCACGAATGCTCCCAGTGTACTTCCGACTGCAAAATAGTGAGGTCGCACGGGGTCATCGCAGTTGTTGAGATAATTGAGTATTAGGGGGTCAATGGAAATTTAACACGGAATCAATATCAACGTCCTATTATGCAGAACATGGAAACTTAGTGATTAGAAATATTTGCTAGTCAGATGTTTTAAAGAAACTAGAAAGCATGTGATGAAATATTACTTCTGATATGGTGATTGACGATTGCCTTAACATGCTCAAATAGCCCAATTTAACATTTCAATTAGCAAAGTGTAACTAACCATACGAAAGAGTCTGCACGACCTCATACTTTCGCGAAAACTGCAAAAAATAACTACGAAAGCCACACCGATTTATATTTTCAACCGAAAATTCTCGAGCGCGATGCTCTTTCCTTTTTCCTCTTACCCGAGCTTTGTAACTTTCGTTCGATATTCAATGTTTAATTTATAACTTCTTTCGACTGGACTGAAGGAAACATCAAAAAGCAAAGAACCTGGACGTACCAATAGCTAAGAAGAAGAGGGAGACTGCATAAGAAACGGTGAAGACGATTGCAGAGACTCCATCGCAGCACCGAACCCATGCCTTCTCCATTGCAAAAGCCGAAACCCCGGAACGAAGCTTTAGAATCGAGCCTTCGCGTTCGAAGTCGGATCCACGGAGACGAGGAAGCGGAAGAGCTTTTTATACGAAGTCGTCGGCGACTGTGTGGAATTTGCATGGAAATGCCGCAAACGACACTGTAGCGTCCCCCAGTACGGGTCTGGTAAAAAAGGCATTATCCCAGATGTGAAACACGCGAGAAGAACGAGCTTTGACAAGTCGTCGATCAAGTCATATGATACTGAGACTGAGACTGAGAGAGAGCTAAAAGTTAAAACCAAAGCATATGGATCTCGATTTCCAGGTGGCTTCTTCTTTTGTTCAGATTGGTGAAGTTACGTAACAATCTGAGTAATTGACTTCTTCTTATTGAAATCTAGTAGTTGACTTCATGTGTCTACCGAACTCCCTTCCATTTTCACCATCGCCACGCGGTGATGTGCGCTTGTTCATCCAGCTTTTTTGACTAATTTTTTGACGCGATAATGACAGAAATAATCCATGAATTTTGGCCAAATGTATAATTTCATCTCTAAATTTTTAATTTGTTTAATGTGATCCTTAAACTTTACCCCGATATGCAATGTGGTTCTTAGACTTTTGGTACATATTCAATTTAATCCTCGAACTATATGAAAATGTTCAATATTGTCATTCAATTAATTCAAGTTCAGGGACAACATTGATCATTTTTATATAATCGATGGACTAGATTGAACATGTACCAAAGGTTCATGGACCACATTGAACAATTTAAAAATTCAAGGACCACGTTGCATTTTGGGCTATAGTTTAAGGATCGTATTGAACAAATTAAAAGTTAAAGGACCACATTGCACGTTGGGTTAAAGTTCAAGAAATTATTTCTGTCATTTTCCCTTCTTTGACTCAAAATTTCTAATCCATTAAGTTTGAGGTTATAATTAGAATGTATTAAGCAAATTCATGAATTTTGATTAGCCCATTAGACTCTACGTTCAGTCGACTCATACTCGAAAATAGAGTTCATTCGATGCATGATACGTATGAAGAGTCTTGTGATAAGAGTGAGATTAGCTGATATTGATATTATTTACACTCGGAATATTTAGTTCATTTACTATTAAGAGTCATTTTCCAAAATAAAATATCGAAAACAAAATTATATGGAAGGTTGTAAAACCTTTTTTATAAATAATGTAATCATTTTTGTTAAAAAGAAAAGTCCATTTAGTTTGGGGAATGTAAAGTTAGAGCTTGCTTGTTTCATGGATTATCAATGATTTTATGAAAAATGATCGTTTATATTATTTACAATAAATCAAAAACAATTTACACCAAAACATTTTTTGTTGTTGATGAAAATATTCTTCGATAATTCATTTCCATAAAACGATAGAGACGATCATCAAAAAAGAATATTTTTTCGAAATAATTGATTTTTTGTGAAAGAAAAAAGAAAAAAGAATAATAACAATAAAAAAGAAAAGAAAAGAACAAAAAATTATAAAAAAATTAAAATATTATTAAAAATGTTTACGTCAATGACGGCCATGCCACTTAGGATGGTCAATGTCCATGTTAGTGATTTTCAGCCTAATTGGTTAGATGGACTGAATTGGTACTAATGTGAAAAGGTTTAGGATTAAATTGGTCAATTGAAAAGTTTATGATCGAATTGATATCAATTCAATATGTTTAAGATTTTTTTGGTATTTTTCCCTTTTACAAAGAGTACATGTAGGGTTTTTATAACCCCTGTACAAATGGCGGTTACTAATTTTGAAAGAAAAAATAACTCACTTTTGGTGGTTACTAGAAATTACTTCACGAATGGATATGACATAACCAACCAACGGTTATCTTTGTTTCGATTGTTCGCCATCGATATCGTTGAGTTTGTCAAGAAACTTCAAGACTCTCGTCAATAACTTCATGTTGTGTTGTCGATGACTTCGCTGACAAGTTGTCGATTTCCTTTAAGTTATCGGTAATTCTGTTCATAAATGATCAAATTCTGCTCTCATTGACTAAGTCTATTACTTGTCGATAATAACCAAAAGTTGGTCATTTTTGCTGTAAACATATGCCCTCTTTTAAAAGAATCGAATGATTCATTGATCATGTAATTCTTTTATATTACATAATCATAAGTCATAACGTGCCCCTTTGTCGTTGGCAAATTCGATTTTTCTTTGCCGAATGTTATCTTGGTCAAATTCATCATTTGACACGTTTTTTCACCAAAGCCATGTTTTGTGTAAAATTTTCATGTGGCTCTCTATCTTTGTCCTTAAGTAGCTGTGCATACTTAGACACTTGCGTTGCCAATTGAAATAACGGCAAAGTTTTGGCCTTTGAATTTTTCTTTTAGGCTCCATTCGTTTGACGGAAAATATAACATATTTGGAAAATATTTTCCAGGAAGTCATGTTCCCGGAAAATGGCTTAATTTTTCGGTATTTGACTGAAATCTGAAAAAGTTTCGGAAAATATTTTCTGGTGTTTCACGACCGGCGACTGATGGCAGCGGCGAGCAACGGGCGAGCGGTGGCGGGGACCGGCGACCAGCAGCGACCGGCTGCGATGGCACCGACGGCCGGCGAGGCAAGAAGGAGTCCGGCGGAAAATGTTTTCCACTTTTCAAAAGAGTAAAACATTTTCCTTACTTTTCTTCATGTTTTCACTCATTGAGGGAAAATGTTTTCCGAGGTTAGTTTATTTTCTGCCCCCGAACATCGGAAAACTCGGAAAATGTTTTCCTGGAAAATATTTTTCGCAAAACGAATGGAGCCTTAGATTGAATTTCAATTCATCGAAAGCCAAATTTGTGAATTCTTTCTCTAAGAGTGAAGTAAGACACTATTTTCGGCCTTTTTGAATCGAGCAACAAAATGATAGGCCAACTCGTTATTGTATTGATAGAGCATGGCTAAATCAGTAATCAATACCTTAGGTATTGTTCTATAAAATTAAGGATGAAATTGTTTCTCCATCTATGCTCAATCACAAACCAAATTAGGTGGTAAATGAGTATATCGGGTAAAGGCAGTTTTTGACAAAGAAAAAGAAAATAACTGAAGTTCTAAAAATTCATTTGTCCCTACTTCTCTGCATTGGGCTATAAATCGACCACTGTGTTCAATTGTTGATTGTTCATTTTTGCCAGTAAAATTGGCAAATTCAAGGATTTCAAAGTCTCTTGAAAAAGGTTGGTTATCGACACATTCAAATGTGGTTTCCGCAAACAAGTGTGAAAACACCCCTGTCAAATAGCAATTATTGCCGAACTTCTTTGATACACTGAACTGGGTTTAATTGTGGATTTGGTTAGCCATTTTGCCTCTTAGGAGGTAACATCAGTCTTACCAGATTATCAATGATAATCGGCATGTTAGGCGTAATAGGAATATTCACATCGAATATAATTGGCCTTATATCTTCAACATTCGGCAATTGACCGGCCCGTTGACCAATTTGATTTGCCATATTATTGTCATCAATTTTGTTATTTTGACCAACATTAGCTTGATTATTCTCATTAATGTGACATTGATTAGAAAAATCAAGCCTTCGCATAATTTTTATAGAGGGTTGACTACTCTGACCAATATTATTAGCATCAATAGATGAAGAGGGACTAGGAATGTACCTTGTTACAACTGGAATGAATAATGGTGGTTGATTGGACGATTCCGACCCCGAGAAAACATCATTCATGGCATTGAGCACGATAGGCCTGATCACGTCTAACGTGTGACTCATAGTGTAATTGGCTATATTGTTTCGTCGCTCTTCGAACAATCTCTTCATAGTGGCCAAAATATGAGGATTTGGTGCAACTTCTCTTGATTGATCCTCATTAAGAGTCGGGAAAAGTTTGCCCCCTGGCATTCGGAGTGCATAGACCCATCATTGCCATTGACGGTGGAAGAATCGAACTGAAACCGGAACCAAACTGAAATTTCGTGCATTTTCGGTTTGGGTTTCGGTTTGGATAATGAAAAATATTTAATTTTTATTTCGGTTCGAATAGTTTCGATTCAAACTGAAAATTGCCCCTCTTCTTAATATTACAACTTACACAATCTCTCTCCTTTTTAACTAAACCCTTTCTTAATATTACAAAAAAGGAAACAGAAAAACCGAACCGAACTGAACCGGTCGAGTTGCGGTTTGGTTCAAAGCTAATGCACACCTAAACGGTTTGGTTCAGTTTTCCTGAAAACCCAAACTAAACCGAACCGAACCTTTGATAATCCTAGCTGCCATTGGGATCGTTACCGCAACATTGTTACGTTCTAGATGATTCCTTGTTCTTGACATTGTATTTCCTCAAATCGAAGCACAAGTTGTCACACCAGGCGTAACAAAACGACATTCGTCTAAAATAGTTCGTCGACAAAATACCTTTCAGTGAAATTGGTTCTTTGATTTTATTAAGAAGAGACGGGTTTTGTGGCGATTCTAAACATGAGTCTCAAAGAATCACAAGGAACAGATATGCTTCGTCGAAATTTAATCGACGAAGATATACAAAACACATTACTAGAATTTAATTGACATCAAAGTGCGATGATACAAGGTTGGAATTTAATCGACGACGATGATCTAAGTATAAGAAATTAAATTGCAAAAAAGTAAAGATAAAGATAAATTTACGAGAACGTTGAGTTGTTGGATTGATTGAAGGGCTTTACAAAGAGTACACTTGGGGTATTTATAACTCTTACAAACGTCGGTTACACATGGCGATTACTAAATTTGAAAGAAAATATAACTCCTTTCGGTGGTTACTAGAAGCTACTTCACGGACGGATGTGACATAACCAACCAACGGTTATCTTAGTGTTGATAGCCCACCGTCGATATCGACGACTTTGTCAAGAAACTTCAAGACTCTTGTTGATAACTTCATATTGTGTTATCAATGATTTCGCTGGCAAGTTGTCGATTTCCATCAAGTTATCGGTAATTTGTTCATTAATGATCGAACTCTGCTATCATCAACCCAGTCTATCACTTATCCATAATAACCAAAAGTTGGTCATTTTTGGGCATAAGCAGTAGGCTTGCCTGAACCCACACCAGTTTTGAGGAGCAACTTATGATGGCTCACTAGCTTCTCCAGCCAAAGAAACGGAATTCGTCCACGTATACTCCTCCCTTATACATACTCGGATGAAAAAATAAATCCTCCTTTTATTTTGAGGGCTGTATTTGTTGAATGAACTGTTTGGGGAATATGTAGAAGTTGGGGGAAAGATATACTTGTGATCCTTCGTTTGAATCGCTGACGGTAGACACAGAAAATTTGTTTGCACCTCTTTGATGTGGACTGCACCTAGAATTTCTTAGTTCTCGCCTTTAGAGTGGACACATTATGAACACTCAACTCGCCTGTCAACGGAATGTTCACCGCGAAAGTAATTAAGGAAGCATAGAAGCTGCATTCGCCAGCTGATAAGTGTGAGCTTGTGGCCGCGTGATAAGCAACACATTGCTGTCGTGGTTCGATATCCTCTGATATATGTTACAATCTTTTGGTATGTTCCAAAAGGATAAGAGGGAATGCATATATAACATATCATCCGTTGCTAGCAAAGTCCATGAATATCTTTGACCAGTCCAGACATCTTAGTCTATTATGATAACAGTTACATATGAAGGGAGTCGTCTGTCAAGTACAGTTTATGACCCTCCTGTTTGGATATGCTTACAGGTGTTGCGTTTTGAATGCGAAAGCTCCCTCATAGCATATTCACTAGAGTTTTGCAAGGTAACAATAGACCAAAAAAATGAAAGAATGGGTGACCTGTTTAAACTACTTGAATGAAAGAATGCATAACCTAATTAATATTGGAAATATGGGATAAATTGATGGGTGAATGAATGAGAAATTGATGCTCAAAAAACACCATTGAGTTGGAAGTGGGATGTGGAAAAACACTAACGTATTGATCTTATAACGGTAGAATTAGTCGGCCGTTATTCGTATTGACGAAACCTCGGACTTTGTTATTGCAATTTCGTTTATTTGCGATTCTGTATTGTTTGTGATTTTTATACTAATGCCAATTTGAATTTTCGCAACAATTAATTCACTTGAACTACGGGACTTCTACATAAAGGACAAGATCTTTGCTTGCAAATCCACTTATCGATGCAATGCAGATGAAACAAGTGGCGACAGTTAGGCAGTCTCCTCGCCTCATCTTTACATTCGAAGTCCTGGATCATGAACGAGAATGAGGATCAAGCAAAGGAATGGAGTTTTAAAATCAGGTAAAAACGAGTCATGGGTCAAATTCTCTCAGTCTAGTCTAGAATACAAACCTGAAGGCATATTGAGCAGGAGTTTCTGTTTCTTGAAGAATCCAACAAGCGGTCCTCTGTTATTTTAATCCTGGGAATCCTGTCGCACAAATTCTTCGACACTTTGGCGTGGTCTACCGTGATTTCGCTGATCATATTGTCGGCATGTGCCAGAGTCTGCTCTAATCTCGACAGGGTGAGACTATACAACAACGGTTGAACTAATTCTCCGGCATCGAGTTCTGTCGTCGAGTCAGTCTACAAAGAGCAGATGTGGGATTAGGCAGTAAATATCTGAGAAGTTACATTTGACCCAAAGCTTTGAGAAGTCGAGAACTTACCGATTGAAGAATGTTGCTGAAAAAACAATCATCAGACAGCCAAAAAGAAATGGACATTCTGAAGGCATTAGTCAAGAACTTGCCGCCAGCAATTGCTCCTACCACCACGGTGTAGAAGAGGTTGTTCCGGCTTTTTACACCGATCAGAATTCCCACGAATGCTCCCAATGTACTTCCGACTGAAAAATAGTGAGGTCCCACGGCGTCATCGCAGTGTTTAAGATAATTGAATATTAGGTGGTCAATGGAAATTTAACACTGAATCAAAATCAACGTCCTACTATACCAGAACAAGAAAACTTAGTGATTAGAAACATTTGCTAGTCAGATATTTTGCAGAAACTAGAAAGCATGTGATGAAATGTTATTTCTGATTTGGTGATTGGATGATTGCCTTAGCATGCTCAAATAGCCCGATTTAACATTTCAATTAGCAAAGTTTAATTAACCATACGAAAGAGTCTGCACGACCTCATACATTCGCGAAAATTGCAAAAAATAACTACGTAAGCCACACCGATTTATATTTTCAACCGAAAATTCTCTAGCGCGTTGCTCTTTCCTTTTTCCTCTTACCCGAGCTGTGTAACTTTCGTTCGATTTTCAATGTTTAATTTACAACTTCTTTCGACTGGACTGAAGGAAACATCAAAAGGCAAAGAACCTGGACGTACCAATAGCTAAGAAGAAGAGGGAGACTGCATAAGAAACGGTGAAGACGATTGCAGAGACTCCATCGCAGCACCGAACCCACGCCTTCTCCATTGCAAAAGCCGAAACCCCGGAACGAAGCTTTAGAATCGAGCCTTCCCGTTCGAAGTCGGATCCACGGAGACGAGGAAGCGGAAGAGAATTTAATACGAAGTCGTCGGCGACTGTGTGGAATTTGCAAGGAAATGCCGCAAACGTCACTGTAGCGTCCCCTGGTACGGGTCTGTTAAAAAAGGCAGTATCATTATCCCAGACGTGAAACACGCGAGAAGAACGAGCTTCCACAAGTCGTCGATCAAGTCATAATGATATTGAGACCGAGAGAGAGAGACAGAGAGAGAGAGAGAGAGAGAGAGCTTAAGTTAAAACCAAAGCAGATGGATCTCGATTTCCAGGTGGCTTCTTCTTTTGTTCAGATTGGTGAAGTTACGTAAGCATCCGAGTAATTGACTTCTTCTTATCGAAATCGAGTAGTTGACTTCATGTGTCTACCGAACTCTCCTCCATTTTCCCCACGCGGTGATGTGCGTTTATTCATCCAGCTTTTTTGACTTTTTTTTTTGCGGGACAACGACACAAATGATTTTGTGTACTTTGATCAAATGTATAATATGATCTTTAGACTTTTAATTTATTCAATATGATAATTGAACTTTACCCCAATATACAATGTGGGTCATGAACTTTTAATTAATTTAATGTGATACTTGAACTTCTGGTACATGTTCAATTTAGTCTTTGGACTATATGAAAATGTTGAATGTTGTCCTTTTATTTATTCAAATTCAGGGACAATATTGAACTAGTCAAGGGGCTAAATTGAATATGTACCAAAAGTCCATGGACTATATTGAACAATTTAAAAGTTCAGGGATCACGTTGCACATTGGGCTAAAATTCAGTGATCGCATTGAATAAATTAAAAATTCAGAGATCACATTACACATCGAGCCAAAGTTTAGAAAATCATTTGTGCCATTTTACCTTCTTTGACTCGAAATTTTCAATCCATTAAGTTTGAGGTTTTTTTTTTTGGTCATGATTAAGTTTGAGGTTTAGATGATTAGAATGTATTGAGCAAATTAATGAAATTTGATTAGCCCATTAGAATCTGTATAGGGTTTTTTTGGATTCAGAAAATAGAGTTCATTCGTTGCATGATTCGTATGAGTAGTCTTATGATAAGATTGAGATCAGCCGATACTAATATTATTTACACATATAATATTTAGTACATTTACTATTAAGAGTCATTTTCCAAAAAAATTATCTAAAATATAATTACATGGAAGGTTGTAAAACTTTTTTTATACATAATTTTTGTGAAAAAGAAAAGTCTAATCATTTTAGTTATGGAATGTAAATTAGAGTGTGTTTGTTTTACAAATAATATATTTCGATAATTTATTTTCACAAGTAATATAGACAATCATCAAAAAAGAATTTTTTTTCAAAATAATTGATTTTTCGTGAAAGAAACCAACTCTTAAATGTTTTTTGAATCTCATCACTTCTCCGACTTTAATTAGGAGGAAATCAAGAAGGCAATTTACGCAAAAGATTATATTGCAACTCTTTTGTTGCAAAAAAGAAGAAGAGAGTTTAAGTACAATGAATAAATAATTTAAGAGAAAATGTCAAATAAGGACCCAAAGTGGACAATGCTTCAATTAAGGGCCCAAAGTGCCCAAACTAGTTTCAAATAAGGACCCAGCTCACCGGCCGGCCAAATGTTTGCCGGCCGGCGACTGTGAGACATTTTCCGGCGCCGGAATAGGGGCAATTTTGTCTTTTTCTTCTTTTTTTTTCTTTTTCCTTTTTTTCTTTTCTCTCTTCCCTCTTGTGGCCATCGCTGGCGACGTCTGCCGGCCTCAGGCGAGGGCGGCCTTCGCCGGCGTTGGGCGACGGTCGCCCTCGGTTGGATTGACGGACGTCGCCGGCGATGGCCACAAGAGGGAAGAGAGAAAAGAAAAAAGGAAAAAGAAAAAGACAAAATTGCCCCTATTCCGATGCCGAAAAATGTCTCACGGTTGCCGACCGGCGAATATTTGGCCAGCTGGTGAGCTGGGTCCTTATCCTCGCCGGATCTAGCGAGGGTGAGGGCGGGTCTCGCTCGCCCAGGCGAGGGCCACCCTCGCCCTCGCCTGAGGCCGGCGATAGCCACAAGAGGGAAGAGAGAAAAGAAAAAAGGAAAAAAAGAAGAGAAAAAGACAAAATTGCCCCTATTTCGGTGCCGAAAAATGTCTCACAGTCGCCGGCTGGCGAACATTTGGCCGGCCGGCGAGTTGGGTCCTTATTTGAGACTAGTTTGGGCACTTTGGATCCTTAATTGAAACATTGTCCACTTTGGGTCCTTATTTGAGAAAAGAAAATCACTTTGGGTCCTTATTTGATATTTTCCCATAATTTAATGGCATTCGCTTAGCGAAAAAAGAAAAAAAACATAGAAGTGGATGGCATTCTTTATCGGAGGCTCTATTTGTTTCGTAAAAAACATTTTCCGCATTTTCCAACGTTTGGTTTGCTTAAGAAAATGAGTCAATTAGAAAATATTTTCCTGATCAACAGAAAATCTATGCTTAAATTCTAGAAAATGATTTCCTCTTAGAAAAAATCGGAAAACACTCTCCAAAATATGACTAGGTGTCGGCACTTAGACCCAAAACTCTACTTTTGGATATGAAAACCCTAATGCTCAAGTCTTTGGCACCTGGGCTCAAGTTTGGATCCATCGAGGCTCGAATCGGGCCCCTAGTGCCCACGTCCAAGTCCATCTAGGCCCCGAAGCCTTGGTGCTCATGCTCAATGACTCGGTACTTGAGCCTGGGTGCATAAAAGTTGTGCTCGGGCCTTTGATGCTCGAGCTCTGGTCCCCAGCACTTGAGCTCGCGTCCACAAAGGCTATGCTCGGGTCCTCGGTGCTCGAGGTCGAGTTTTTAGTTAATGAAATATTTGTTCTAATAAAAATATATTTAAAAAAATCATATTTTTATTTTAATTTTAATTTTCTTTTCTTTCTTTTTCTTTTTGCTTGGGTCCTAGGTAGGAGTGAGCAAGATGGACCGACCAAACCGGGACCAGACTGGACCCAACCAACCGGTTTGGTCCAGTTCTCGGGAATATCGGTCCGGTTCCTAAAAGTGGAACTGATTTTCGGGCGGTTCGGTTCCTGGTTCTAGAGTGGGAACCGGACCGGATCGGACCGATAATTATATATTTTTCTAATTTTTTTCATATATATATTTTTAAAATTTTTGAAAAAAATAAAAAGCCTAATCTAATTTCCCCAATTTCCTTTTGCCTTTACCAATAAGTGATTGGTCCCATTGGAACCGGACAAGACCAATGGTCCGAACTGGTCCATAGTCCCAAGACTAGCCGATCCAGTCCCTAGTCCTGGAAACTGGAAATCGGCAATTTCGGTCCGGTTCTCAATTCTTGGATTGGATCGGGTCGGACCGTGAACCGTTCACCCCTAGTCCCAAGCGAGGGACGAGCTCTCCCTAAGCCAGCAAGGCTTCACCTTCTCGACGTCTGGTTACCTTAGGCGGGCTCAGCCTTGTCGAATCAAGTGAGATGGAGCTTCGCCCAAGGCCGCGAGGTTGGCTAGGTTGAGCCTCGCTAGTCTAGGGCGAGCTCATCTGTGACATTCTGAATTTCGGGCTATTTTTGGGATTTATAAAACGTGTAATTCGTCGGTGTGCTTATAGTAAAATCTCGCTCGGGAACTGATCACTCCCGGTTATTGATTTTAAAATTGAGATTTCGCTAGAATCGCACTTGATCGAATTTGGCCAGTTATTTAGAGCCCAAACTTTGGTGTTGAATTTCTCGGAGTTACGGGACGAATTTAATTGGACGGTGTCGATATTATTGTGGCCAGCCTCGATATTACCCGGGATATGCGAAAAGTGAAATTTTGACCGGGTGCAGATTTGGACTAGTAGACTTCCCTCGTAGTATATTTTTATTAATATCTTTTGGCCCTTTTCCTATATTATTAATAGGAATTTTCGTGGACCGTTGGATCGTTTTTGAATTTGATCAAGGACCGTCGGATCGCACTTGAGTGCGATGTTGACTTTTCTCTCTCTCTCTCTCCCTTCCCTTTTCCACGCCGGTCCCCCCCCCCCCCCTTTGCGTCTGACACCCACCAGCCCCCACCAACTCTCTCTCTCTCCTCTCCTTCTTTTTCTTTTTCTTCTTTTCTTTTCTTCTCTTCTTCTTCTTCTTCGCTGGTTCCACTTCTGGTTCGTGCTTCTGCTCCTTCGTGCTGCTCACCGACCAGACCGCCCTCCCTTGCCGGAACCAGCCGCTCGCCGCGCGCCGCCTTCCTGCCGCGAGCCACCGCCACCCTAGCTCCCCTCTGGCCGAGCCGCACCACCGGCCACGCCCCGTAGTCGCCTGTCGCTGGCCTGTTCCAGCCAGGCGCGAGCCGCGCCTCCCGCCGGCCCAGCCACCGTCCGTCCACCGTCGCTCACCGCCGTTGTCCCCGCCGCCGGGACACCACCATCAGCCGCCGTTCAGCCCTTGAACCAGCCCCGCCCAGCCACCACAGCAGCTGTCTCCCCTCGCCACGCCCGTTCACCGCTCACCGGAGCATTCCGAGGACACCGCGGACCGTCCTCGTCACCGCCGTCGTCCTCGCGTCGTCGCCGGCGTTAGCCGAGTAAGTTAACCCCTAATCCCGTGTTTAGGGCGTTAAACTTGCTTAGGGTAGTTTAATTTATGTTTAGTTTGTGTTAATTATGGGTTAGTGGTTAATTAATTGTGTTTAGGGTATAAGTTATTGATTAATTTATTGTTATTGATTATTATATGAAATGTTATTATTTTCGGAATTTAAATATTATTTTATTAGTTAATAAATTAATTTCGAATTAAATATTATTATTTTATTATTAAATAATTAATTTCCGAAAATTAAATAGTATTATTTTCGGAAAATTTTCTAACGTTAATTGTGATACCAATGTTGGTTTTCGCGGTATAAGTTGGCGTATTTAGAAAATGATTTGAATGATTTCAATTCGAGGAAATATTTTGACATTTTGGAAAATTAAATTATTTTCGGATATTATTAATTAATTAATTCCGAATTTAATTTATTGTTATTTCGGAAAATTTATAATTTCAAATTATGATTTCTAGCTTGAATGTTGGCGATTTTGCCGCGAATTGTCGTATTAAATTGATTTTATGGCAAATTGTTTGATCGAAAGTTTCTGTGGAAAAATTTATGAGACTTTTGGAATTAAATTATTTTATTCTGTTATGCCAAGTAATGTTAGTGATATTTTGTGGTTGATATTCGTGTTTGATATCGAAGATTGCAAGAATTGATTGACCGTTTGCATGTGTGGCCACTTGGTATTATTGTATGACATCGAGGAAAGCACGATTCATGTATGCATGGGCTAATTGAGAAGATAATAATTGGCCGGAATGCTTGTGTGCTCGTGTGGTCACACGTTGGAACCGTCTTGCCGTGTATCGCTTGACGATGCCCGATTTATCGGATGCTTGGGGATTATCCGAGTGCCGATCCCGGATGCCTTGTCGCGGCCGAGGCGGACTCGATGCTCCTTACGGGATATCATCTTACTCGTAGATCGTTTGATGTTGCCGTATTGGAATGCCGTCTACGTAGATCGTTTGACGTAGCCGTGCGAACGGGCGGGACGGGCCTTTTTGGAAGGCGCCATCTTCTTTGCGTATCGCTTGATGTGTAGTGGCCGAGGGCGTAGTACCGGAATACGTGTGATACATAGTGCCACGATTATGTGGTAGAAAAGCTAGGCATGGTATGGGACGTGCCCAAGTGGATTCTATCTTATAATCGGGACACGCACGCTTGTGATGCATTGATGCATGAGTAAATGATTTAGATGCTTCGAGTTTGCGACATATGCATTTCATCAACGAATGTCTCAAGGCGAGGTAAGGATGCCTGTGATTGTTTAATGATGTGCTGATGATGCTGTATTGCCTGGTTAGGGACCCCCGTGCGAGTTGGCCTCCTAAGCGGGGCTTAGGCTATTAACTTATTGAGACTTTCGTCTCATTTGTTGTTGTTAACCACTTTTCAGGCCGTTAGCACGTTGATGCACCCAATTGGTTCAGGGTGTTCGGAAGCTGGTTTTTGGAGTTCGACTTGTTGGTGGAGTAGATTAACCCGAACCTTTGTCTTTTGCTGGCTTTTTGTGAAAACGCCTGGAGTGGGCTTGTAAGTATGTTCCCAGGCGTTAATCAAGTAAATATTAAAAATGGCTTTTGTTATGTCTGGTTTTCGTCTGCTATCCCTGATTTGATTATTGTCTGGGGATTGTTGTGTTGGTTATCGTTTCCGCTTGCGTAATTCAAAGATAAAAAGAAAAGGGTCGGCGACGAGTCCTGGGTCGTCGCATCATAACGACCATAGCGGGATGTTGCGTGTCCGTAGGGTTCGGGGCGTGACATCATCCCTCATATGTCGTTGGTCGCCAACCACTAGCCGAGAAAGAAAGAAAAGGAAAAAAAATTAAAAATTCAAATTTTTCGGTAATTTTCCTCGAGGAAAATATATCAGATACCAAACGACGGCAATTATATTTTAGTTCATTTTCACGTTTTAGTCAAACATAAAAAAAAAAATATTGTTATTTTTCTGAAAATGACTTTTTAAAAAATATTTTTCAGAACTATCACATTTTGCGTGCAACAAACCCTGCCAAAATTTAAAGATTTTTACACCGCAAGATTCTTTAATTTAAATTGAATAAAAAAGGAAAAGAAAAGGAGAAATTGGAAGCAGTATGAATATCCGACGAACGAGCAATGCGGTTTTGCCAAAACAACAAAATGTTGCTCGGCAATTTAGCCTCCTCTTCCTCAGCGACTCACTCCACCATCTTCTTCTCCTCCTCCTTCCATCGATGCCCTAGCCTTCGAGCTCGCCCCAGCTTCCTCACTGCTCTCCGAGCTCGTTCAGCTCCGGCGGAGCACGACCGCGGCCCTCTCGAAAGCCGCCAGCCGGTCCCCGCGCCGGCGAGCAGCTACGCCGGCGTCAAGCTGCAGGAGACAGTCGACGCCGCGAGGTCCGGCAAGCTCAGGCTCGACGCCTGGATCTCCTCCCGGATGCAGGGCGTCAGCAGAGCTCGCGTCCAGTCGAGCATCCGATCGGGCTTGGTCTCTGTCAACGGCCGCGTCGTCGATAAGGTAAAAGAGGGCACCGACCTCGAGCAGATTTTTTTTTTTTTGTCGTGCCGAGAGCATTCAGTGGTTGAAAGCCGTGGATTGCGCGGTTTCCTCCTTCTTCAGGTCTCGCATAATGTCAGAGCTGGAGATACGGTTGATTGCACGATCTCGGAGCTGCAACCTCTGAGGGCGGAGCCGGAGGATATACCTGTGGACATAGTGTACGAAGACGAGCATGTGCTTGTTGTCAACAAACCTGCGCACATGGTAATTTCTCTCAATTTCTCTGTCCATTTGGATGTCCAATTATTATTACCATAACTTCGTACTTATAAAAGTCTGGTGTCATACTCTCCATACTGTCCTTAAAGATACGCACGCGACAAGATTTTTTGGATCATTTGTTTCTCCGTGTGTATCTTGTCGCTGAAAGAGCATGGTGTAATTCTATCCCCCAAAATTTTCAGTTTGCAGCTTATTATAGTGCATCAGCTATTTAGGCTCGATAGCATCTCAAACCGACGTCATTAAGGTTCAATTCTGTCATTGGGAATAGTTTAAGCAGCCTATCGTTTAAATTTCAGTGATTTGTAAGCTTGAAACTGAGCATAGTGAGGTAAAAACCTGAGAGTTGAATTGGCATTGTTGTTTACCATCCAGGTTGTTCATCCAGCACCCGGAAATGCTTCAGGAACTCTTGTGAATGCCATTCTTCATCATTGCAGTCTTCCAACAGTTGCTTTTTCAGAAACAGAACTTTCTGAGGGCGAGGAGGTGTCTGATGATGAGTCCAGTAGCTCTACAGCTTGTGAAACTTCTACTAAAGGATTTAACTCCTCTGAATTTGGAGGTTCTGTGCGTCCAGGCATTGTTCATAGGTTGGACAAAGGAACTAGCGGATTGCTAGTTGTTGCAAAGGTAACGGTTCTTTCAGATATTTCCACTTCACTTTCATTAGTAGAATTCCTGCTCAGTATCTTCCGCAATGATATAGAATGAGCATTCACATGCCCATTTGTCGGAGCAATTTAAGATGCATACCATTCAGAGAGTATATGTCAGTCTCACATCCGGGGTTCCTTCTGCAACATCTGGCCGCATTGAGGTTCCAATTGGTCGTGATACAAACAACCGTATTCGCATGGCTGCTATTCCAGGACCGAGCAACGGGGGTCAGGCGCGTTATGCTGCTAGTAGGTGATTCATGGACGCTCTAATTTGGTAGTTGTGTGAATTGTGATAATTACACTCTAATTGCTCGATGATTATGTCATATTTCAGGAGAATGTTGGGTTTTAATCGGTTAATAAGATCCTCGTAAATGATCCTTTCAACTTTTAAGAGGCCTATTGCTTATTGTAATTCTTGAATTATGAGCTTTTAAGAAAGCAATAGGTATATAAATTTGGTCAGGCAGGTTGAAGTTTGTGATAATTGTCATTTGAAATCACCTTTTGTGTTCCTTCAGTTCAGAGTCTGTTGGCTTGGTTGGAAGCGGTGAAAATCTGTTTTTGAGACATGCTTTCTGCGTAGTTCTTCAAATATCATAGCTGTAGAGAGCATGGTCACCATGCGGAGTTCCTGGTAGGGCTTTCTAACTAATGAAATAGGTCTTATATCTATTAAGTTTTACAGGTACAAAGTAATTGAAGTGCTTGCCTGTGGAAGCTCCGCTTTGGTTGAATGGAGATTAGAAACTGGGCGTACTCATCAGGTATCGCACCAATAAACCCGCTTTAAGTGGCATGTTATTCAACAATTTGGTATTCCTTGATCAGTGAGTTTTTGCTATGCATTTTCAATTTTTATGCATATCACAAAGTTCTCATCTGCCTTCTCTTTTTTTTTTTTTTTTTTGTGGCAACTAGGTTTTATTGCTTTATATCACAGTTCTTTGTCAAAAAATGCAATCTTTTCTTCAATTGTTCTTCAACTAATATGTAATTTTGTAGATAACCCTCTTATTTTTTGCATTTTTCTTTCGAAAGGGTGGTGCACTCAGATCCAGAGATTAGAGATCAACATCACAACAGCTGCTGCTTTAGTTGTATTTCTTCATGCTTTACATAGACAATCTCCTACTGGGACATGACAGTTTTCGACCTTCTATGTCTTCATGCATAGTTACTTTTTATCTAGCTTTATAGCAACCTCTATAGCTGCACAGCAAATTCCTGCTTATAGCAACTTCTCTCTCGTTCTTGCCCTGCTGCATACTATTTTGACTCTACTGATTGCATATGTCAGCTTTTGCATTGCTCTATCCTTACGTCAATGAAATGTATTTATTTGGGTTTCTCGTTATCTTGACCCTCAAGTGCTTTTTGGAAACAGATCCGTGCCCACGCAAAGTATGTGGGAATTCCTTTATTGGGTGATGAGGTGTACGGAGGGACAAAAAACATGATATTGTCACTGCTGCAAGCCAAATTACCACCTGGTCACCAAAGCCACCTTTCAGAGTTGGTTTCTAAACTAGAAAGGCCTTGCCTCCATGCTTTTTCTCTTGGGTGAGAAACTAAACCATTGTCATATTATGTTTTGCCTCTGATGATGGTGACTTGTCATAGTTGGGTTCACTGTAGCATGTTGCTTTTATAGGTTTATACATCCTCATACAGGGAAAAATGTGCAGTTCTCATGTGAACCACCTGAAGATTTCTCTCTAATGTTGGGTCAACTTTACAAACTTGGCATGAAGAAGGTAATTGGTCACCTGTTAGGGATGGCTCAACCATATTATCGCACTTCTTGTTTCTGTTTTCTTGATTAATGAGCTATATCATTTTACTTGTGGCATGAAGAGAGTGTGATTTGCATGCATACTTCGCCCATTCCCTGAGGCTGTATGTGCGAGTGTTGATCTGATGGTAATGGGGCCAGATGTTGGGATGGGAGTAATTGTAATAAATTTAATATATACATGCATGAATCAGTTAGGAGGAATCTAACTGAATGGTGCGATATTTTCTTTGTGTATTGCCTTATTCCTCTGTTAGTAACGGTCAAGATGCTCCAGGCCATGCTTAAACTCTGGCCCAAGTTTGCACTTTTGGGTTGTTGAGCTGTCGAAGGAGCAAAGCAAGGTCTACAGTTCCTTTGTGGGATCATTTTAATAAGCTTTTGTCCTAATTGATTGCGCCTAGCAACTTACCTGGAAAATACAATTTGCTCCAAGGATGAGAATTCTCTGGACATCCAGGCGTCTTTATTCTCTTTTTGTGAGCCCCGGGGTGCTAGAATTGGGTGCTGTCATGTAGGTGAATGCACTACTTCCAAATGTTGTTTGAATTGATCAAGCACCTTGTATGTTCATTATTCTGCTTGCCTGAGATGGAGGCATAGCAGATTGCAGTTATCAAAATGGGTGCAATTTAAAATATTTTCAATTATCCTCATAATGTTTGAAGCATGGATCGATGGATATTGAAGCGCCCTTAATTATATGTGGACTGGTTACAGTATTGCTGTGATTTAGCTGGTTGAATAGACAATAAATTCCTGTTCTTCTTTAAAACCAAATTATTCCTTACTCTATCTCTCTCTCTCTCTGATTGCAGCCTACCTTGAAGACATGATTAATCCCAGCAAAAATTTGAGTTGAGTGAGTGCTCGTATTATTTTGGAGCGAGCAGGCATGAGGTTAGCGAGATTTTTGTTGAAGTTGGTTATTTCTGCCGAATCTTTTGATGAATATGCCATACCTACTTAAATATGTCTGTCTTGTTATGCTAAGTAGCTGTCCTCCAGGAGATGTATGGAGATGTATGCTGTCCTCCTGTATGAATTGAATTGTGACTTGTCGACCATTATGATTTTGTATTCTGTGCTATAAGATTAAAGATTATTCACTGCGCGCTGCGATCTGGATTCAGTGGCTCTGAATGAACTGTAAGAAAAAGCTTCTATCCAGATCATGGAATGAAAATCTATGCATCAATATTTTTTTTTTCTGCCGTATATTGGAGAATCGATTTAGCCTGTTAAGTTATGTAATAGATATGGGCAATTTACACTCTGAATGTCAAAACAAATTGCCTGAAATACATGTACAGGAAAGGTAAATTGTAGACGTTTAGGAGATGCTTGAGTTGAGTCTGCAAAGGCAAAATAAGAATCGTCAGGCTACATCCAAATTCAATTTACTTGCAAGAGTTAAATGGTTATTCTGCCTTAGTTTGTCAGAAGCAAACTGCTAAGAAGGTTGCATAATGGATTCTGGACGTCAGGGAAAGGGAAAAGATAGAGCCTACGGCTTATGGATCTTTCGGCTGTACCCTGTAGCCATAAGTCCAATGTAACTGAGGATTCTCATAATACTCCCCATGATCGAACAGAAGTACTTGCTATTATATAGGAATTATTTGCAGCATTCACTACTAGAGAACGAGTGAATGCTCGTTTGCTTGTTTATAAGTAGAAGAAGGGACCAGTTTTTCTGTCAACTTTTAAAGTGACGAGTCTGGTCCACTTGTTTGTGAGAGTTTTTAGCCTGACCTAAGTGGGAGCATCAGATTGAACTTTTGGATCAGCTGCATATTTTACAGAAAAAGAAGTAATTTAACTTTCTTCAATATTTAGGACGAAATATTATGGTAAAAGGACCATATAGCGCCTCCAATATTTAGAGTGAATGCATGTACTTTTAAATTGATGATACTGACCTTTGTTGCATATTTGTCAAATTAGCTGTCCATCTAACTTTTGCTAGGTTTCCTATGGAGCTAGGCAGTGCGAAAACCTCCTAGGCTGTCTTGAAGGATGGTTGCATCAGAAATCCTAATCAAAGTTGTTTTTTTTGGTCTGAATCCTATTCAATATCACCCACTTGAAAGTACATGGGAAGATCAAGTAAAACACTGTTAAATACATGGGAGTACATGAGAACCGAATACGATCATAACAGCAGTATTTTTGGAATTAGCTTGAAAATTGAAGAGTACCTGTAATAAACGATGGCTTAGACCTTGTACTCCTGGACGTGCATCCACTTAGGAGCTGACCACTTTGTCCCTTTGATCACGGAGCATGCACCTGACATAGGCAGTAGAGCACATCGAATGAGAATATGCTATTTTGGCATTTTTTTTAGGGAAATTAGTTAATCAAATGCTGATTTCAGTACAGGTTGTTAACTCTCCCATGCGACACAGGGCTGGTGCTAAATTGGGAACTAAATCGCCAGAGCAAGGAACTACTAACCATGCAAACTTGCCGGGTCAAGCGAACCGTCAGGCTTCATGCTCCAGAAAAGTACTGCATTCCCCATTTTCGGTTTTACAGACAGTCCCTGTTTGCCACATTCTGATAATTCGTTCCACCAAGGCACGGCGCTGAAGTTTGCCTTGGCAGCTGGAAACACTGTCTCTCCCCCTTCCTCGACGTCACTCCTGGATTATCATCAAAAGGAACTCAGTGAAGAACATAAAAAAAGGAAGACGAACTATTTATGTGAAAGGTGTTGAATTTCGTGTTTATCATCATATGCATTTTGGAAAAAAAGAAAACGATCCTTACAGATACATAAGCATTGTTGCCATTCTTTGGCCTCCATTCCTAGTGTTGAAAGGGTCGGAAAAGTAGTCATGATGTGCATCGTATTTTTGCCCGTGCCCATATTGCAGAATTTGAAGTCCTTCTCCATGCTCTGCAAATGCATAAGGTTTCTCATCATCAGTTGAACTATCTCAACAAAAAGCGACTGATAAAAAGATCATGGAAATTGGCATAGAATGGCCGAAGATGGACCAGAAATTTCAATTTCGGAGATGGATTGCAAGGGCCATGTGACGCTGGCAAATGATGCTTCAAACCAGCTTTTCATTCTGAACATTTTGCACGCATGGCTCGGCTTACCTACGGGAATGTGAGTGAAGTCAGCTATTCTTTTCTCTATTGCCCTCACGATTTTGTCTTGCCCTCGGTTGAGAAACATTCCGAAGCTTGTGCGCACCCTGCAATTTCCATTTTTGTATAAGCAAAGAAGCTAAGAGCTTGCTCGTTCTTGAGCGAAAACTGGACGTGGACAAGGCTTTAGAGCTGGGAGACATCTAACCCGCTATCCATGCTCTTCCCGGTCGAGCCATCGACGACGGTCGACTTGCTGATGCTAGGTTTAGCAAGACTTACCAGGTACTCACACTCTTCCCTGGACTGTAAATCAAAGGATCTCGACTCAGCTTAGCATTTGACAAAGATTCATCGCATGCTGGGACACATGGAATCGTAATCCCAACCTAGACTTTGTAAAAAATGGTAATGCTCAGTTGTGGAAATCGAATAGTACTACTGACCAGGAAATTGTGGTAAAGAAAAGCTCGGGGCTCCCACGAGAGCACCTGAGTCCACTGCTTCCCTCTCTCTCCCAACCCTCCAAATGCAGCTCTGCACATCATCAAACGACACAAAACTTTTGTCAGCATACATTACCGTGCCGCGCGATTCATTAAAATGGCGTGCAAAACACCTTCGCATGCGCGCGCAATCTCGTTTACCTCTCGACAGTGTGGGCATGAACGGGGGTCGATCCTTCCCGCGGTGAAATCTCTCTTCTCACGGGAAGGGACACGAGCCCGAGAGCGAGCAAGATCAGAAGGACCACCGTGAACGACAGCAGCAAAGTCAGAGCAAGCGAGCGGTTCCATGCCCTTTGCGTTTGCACCCGCGCCACCTTGCCTTTTGCCATCTTCGGACCGCGGTATGGCCAAAAGAAGGCCTTCTTGACGAGATCCCACAGGAACCGAACGTACAAACCGATCATATGAGGCCTCATGGAGGTATGGAGATGCACGATACTGAAGCAAAAGGAAAAAGGAAACGAAATGAAGCGATGCTCTTTAGTCTCGTTATTACTGAGATTAATATAGAGGCCTCGGTTTGTGATGAAACCGTTGGGGTCAGAGGAGTTGAAGTGTCGATTATGGCCTTGGAGCGTCTTAGGTGGTTGGTCGTGTTGTTTTTGCTAAAAGCGCGTGGAAAGGGGCGCAAGTCAAAGCGAGGGTATATTTGTCAAAGTGGTGTCGCTCATGGTTTTTCTGGTTAGTTTGTGGGCAGCTCCAAGGTTTGTCTGGAGATCAGCAGGCTGTCTAAAATATTCTCAGTTCGAAAAGTCTTCTTCTTCCCGCTGGTTTTCTCAAAAGTAAACGTGGGCCGGGCCGGGCCGGGCTGGAAGAGGCCCAAGCCCGTGCAGCATGTTCATGGAAAAAGGAATTTTAGTCAAATTGATTAAATTTATTTTCTCCGCTTCAATGCCATAGGAACGGGTATATGTAATAGACCCGTCAAACGGGTGAAATTGAGTCGGATCGAAAATGACCGACCCAAATTGACCTATTTTCATACAATGCAAATTTAATGACGTATACTTGACCTAACCATTACTCTATTCCATATTCGATCCATATTGTTAAAATACTTTCATATATGTCTAAATATGTTATGAACCCATTTAACATCATATTATTCTACGATTTACCATTTTAAATTCATATGTGATCCATTTAGTGAATATAATTAACTCATGTAATAACTCAATCCATTAAACATGGGTTCATAAATGAGTCTATAATCTATTTTTACATATTTCATATTTAATCAAATCTAAAAAAACTTATACCTTTTCAAGAGGACACAGTGAACAGTATCAGTAAGGACCCAGTCTTACAGCTAATCGAATAGACCTGAGCTCGTTGGGCGGCCAAATAAGCCGCCGTAGGCTTATTCCATTTATCGGAATAGGAGCAATTTGTCTAAATATTTTTTTTTTTTTTAACTAGCTTAGAGTGAGTGAGTGCGAGATTGAACGAGAGAGAGAGAGAGTGAAGAAAGAGTCTTAGAGTGGGTTATGTCTAAATATGTTATGAACCCATTTAACATCGTATTATTCTACGATTTACCATTTAAAATCCATATGTGATCCATTTAGTGAATATAATTAACTCATGTAATAACTCAATCCATTAAACATGGGCTCATAAATGAGTCTATAATCTATTTTTACATATCTAATCCGTAATAAAGTGATGCCCAATAATCATTTATCTGGTCAAGTCAATAAATCTTTATTTCGATGGGAAAACATAGTATTGAGTAGTAGTAGCAGAAGTAGGACAGTGGGTCTAGTTTTGGGCACTCAAGGGCCAAGGCCAAAGAAGAGAAATTGCAGAAGTACAGCTGGAAATCCACTATTTTGTACTTTCTGCTCCCTTTTTTGTATTCCATGGAGTGGAGATGAGATGCGTCACCCATCATGAGTGGGAAATGGTCCATTTAAGTTGGGACAAAAAGGGGTCACTTGAAAAAACGGTGGGGAAATGAATGTCGTATCTAAAAAATGTGCCATTTGAAATTTTGTCCTACCGTGATTCTCAGACATGCTAAATGTGCGTACATTGTGCATAACACGATGGGAAAGATACAATTAGCCTAAGCAAAATCAAGCTTTCTTAATCGCTATAAAGAGTGTCGCGTTCAACACAAAAATGTTCAGAACTAAATGGGATATCCCTAGCGTAGACGAATCACTGCAATCTTATCGATATGCTAGCAAAATAAAAACCCTCAGCTTCATTGGCGCACTGTGAATTATCTCTCTTCTAAACTCTTGACCTGATATTCAGGGATTTGCGCCTTAACTGTTCGCCCATTTCCGTCGTAGGGGAGATGATTCTAACTTAATTATTGTTGATTACACGAGAGTTACAAAAGCCGAAACTATGGACCAAATGTTCTTATTAGCGCGAATGAATCGAGCGAGACCTAGGCACGTTGACACTGAGTTTAAATACCGATAGCTGATTTCAAGACCAATCGACATAAACCGAAAAAACAGCCGTTCCCACGTGATTAAGTATACCATTTCTAGGTGTATTTGTAAAGATTATCCAATGGCGAGTACAACGAATAAAGCCTTTGCTAGGAGGGTGCTAATCCATACGAAATTTCGTCATTGACAGCAAAAGAAATATAAAGAAAGACCCGGAGCCTGGGGCTAGTTGCGCAAATACGAGGAAATTCTGACCTCATCTGGGCAAATTATTCCCGAAAAACCAGCCAGCTCACCCAGCCCCTCTCTCTCTCTCTCTCTCTCTGCTGGTTCAGACTTCGAGTCCACGACCGTCTCTCTCGCTCTCTCCCTCCCTCCTCGCCTCCTCTCCGCCGAACGGCCTCCCGGTCACCATCTCGACCGTCGATTCCCGCCTCCCTCCCTCCGTCGCGTCTCCCGTCGGCGTCGATCGCGACCAGTCGGGCGCCCTCATTTCCGGCCTTGGCGGCGGCGGCGGCGAGGACACCGGCTGGACATGGCGGCGCAACCCGCGTGGCAACCCCAGGAGGAAGGGCTCCGGGAGATTTGCGCCCTGCTCGAGCAGCACATCTCCCCGACACCCGACAAGTCCCGCATCTGGCAGCAGCTCCAGCACTACAGCCAGTTCCCCGATTTCAATAACTACCTCGCCTTCATCTTCGCTCGCGCCGAGGTAGCCTTTTCCGTCCCCGGAGAATTCCGCGGCGGCTTTTTAGTGGCGTGGGCGGGGGGACGGGAGTCGATGAGTTTTCCGATTGCGCTGTTTGGGTTCTGGTAGGGTTTAGTGGGGCCGATAGATGGTTTTAAGTCTTTGTTTTTGGCTTTGATTGTTGAATGCGGTTTTTTGATTGTTTTCCGACTAAGTGAGCTCTTTCGTTGGGGGCTGCTGGTTTGCGGAATCTATCTCGTCGTCTTTTGAAACGAGACAAGCTAATCAATATGGGCTTGAACCCGTAGCACGGCTCGTTCTGCTTCTGTAACGCTTCCTTGCTTTTTTGGTCGAGGTTTCCCTCGATTATGGATTTCTTCTTTGTCCTACCTGATACGTGCAAAGTGTTGGCTATGTAGTTTTTTTGGCTTCATCTTTGGAGGAGGATGATTCTAGTAGATAAGGGCCTTTTACAAACTCCCCTAATACGGTTCATCTTTTGCTGGATGTTGATGGTCCCACTGTCTTATTGGGAAATATTCATTCGTTCCCTTCACTGTGACAGTCTTGCCCACAATAAGCTGATCATGCCTGAAATGGCTGGTGGGCAAGATGTCTATGTGAAATTTGGAGCTGTCGATTGTTAAGGGTGTTTAATATTTGTGTTAGTGTCGGTGCATGGTGTCAAATTCCAGCACAGTTTTCATATGAATACATTAAGTTGTGTGTATTTGCTGTTGCCTTCTGGTTATCGTGTTTATAGTAATTTGAATTCAACTTCTTGGTTCTGACTGCTGCCTTCGACGTTGCTCATCTGTGTATTTCCAAAGCATTTGTGTACAACTAGCCATCAAAATCTTACTTGGTGGCTAGTTGCCAAGTAGGATTTTAGTGGCTAGTTTAACACGAGGTGCTCTTTTATTGTCTAACAAGGAGAAATATCTTCTTGGCACCATGAGGAGTTTGAAAGCTTGAATTTACTTTTTTTCATTAGAGGGTTCAGTAGCTTGTTTATTGACACCAATCTCCTAAACAGAGTAAATCAGTTGAAATTCGGCAAGCAGCTGGTCTACTTCTAAAGAATAACTTGAGATCTGCTTTCAAATCATTGGATCCTACCTATCAGCAATATATAAAGACAGAGCTACTGCCTTGTCTGGGAGCAGCCGATAGACACATAAGATCGACAGTTGGAACAATCATTAGTGTTGTAGTTCAGCAAGGGAGGATTTCTGGGTGGCCGGAGTTATTGCAGGGCCTCGTACAATGCTTGGACAGTAATGATCCGAATCATATGGAAGGTGCCATGGATGCTCTGTCAAAGGTATTTCTGAAGATGCTTCTTGCTTTCTCTTAACACAAGCAGACATCACTTAGGGTGATTAGCATACATAAAGCAGTGGGGTTGTGAAGAGTATGTGATTAATTTTTTGAGCGGATTATGTTCTTAATCCGGATTCCTGAAACTTTTCTCACCTATGTATCTAAATCACATGTTACAAACCGAGTACATTTAAGGGTTGAGTTTTAATACCATTTTCATGAGTCCGTAGAGCGCATATTAGTCGGTGATTTTGAGCCTTTCACATGCATTGCCCCTCTTGCGCATTCACCTTATCAATTAGGGAGACTTTTACCTGCGGAGGCCTCTTAGATTCAGAGTGTCAGGCGATAATATTTACTTGTAGTAAGCAAAATTGTTGATATAAGCATCAACTGAATATGAAATCTCTATATTCTTGTCTTTTCTAGATATGTGAAGACATTCCCCAGGAGCTCGATGCGGACATTCCTGGATTAGGAGAACGCCCTATTGATATATTTCTACCAAGATTTTTCCAGGTGACGTGTCATACTCCTCTTTTGTCGTTTTGGCAGGAGATATTTTCTCCTGCTTTATCATCTGTGAGGTCATTATATTGATGTTTTATCATGCTTTCCACATTTACTTTTTTCCTTCACCAGTTTTTCCAATCGCCACATGCCTCCTTGAGGAAGCTTTCTTTAGGATCGATAAATCAGTTCATTATGCTGATGCCCGCTGTGAGTATTGGTCGTGCTTGCGATATATACTCTCTCTCTCTCTCTCTCTCTCTCTCTTGCGTGGCATTTACTCACTCATTTTGCCTGTGGTCAGGCATTATATAGGTCCATGGATAAATTTTTGCAAGGCCTGTTTGTCCTTAGTCACGATTCTGTTGCAGAAGTCAGAAAGTTGGTAAGTAGTTTCTACATTCTTGATCCCCGTATTCCTATATCAGTCAATTGTAGTCTCTGTCCTGGGATATGACTGGTTGTAGTATGGTTTGTAATGCATTTTTGCAGTTGGAAGAATTGCTATTGGGCTGTGCTTTACTGCTTTTTCGCTTTTGTCTTTGGATATATCAGGAAGTGTTTCAAGTGGTGTTCACACATTTTGATGGATGAAAATGATGCATATGGATGTTTTAGTCTGTTCATATTTTGTTAAAAAAAAATTATGCCTTTATTGGATCTGCCTTACTATAACGTGCTCTTAATCTGGAGTATACGCAGTTGAGAGCTTTTGTTCTCTATATCAGTTGGCGATGTAGGAGAATCAGAATATGATAGGATAGGAGTCAAGGCAGGAGGTACTCTTCCTGGGCTGTGAACATTATCTGTTTGGGCAATTATAGCCAAAAGGAGGGTCGAAGATCTTAGGCACTAAACTCAAAACTTTCTGAGCATCAATCATTATACCTTGGGTCCTGTGGCATTACTTTTAAGCAAAGAATTGCATCACACAATCTAATATCAAGCAAATGCTAGAGTCCACACTTCATTATTTTAGTGAATCATCTATTGCGAAAACATCATCTTCATAGACTAATATCCTAGTCTCATGGAAGTAGTAAATATTAAAATCGTTAATTTGACTGGACAAAGGAGAAACAATTTCCAAATGAACTTCAAGCCTATGTAGAAAGATTCCTGGTGGACCTTAACTAAATTTGGACTCCTGAGATATCAAGGAGAAGAATGATAATCCTATTAGGACTCTTATTTGACTTGTGCATCAATTCGTTGATTGCTATATACTTGTTCAAATTTGTGGGCTGCATAAGTTAGATAAGTTATTCATCTGGTATTTACTTTAGTTTGTTGTGCCAACAGGTTTGTGCAGCTTTTGTCCAGCTCACTGAAATTCAACCATCTGTCTTGGAGGTAAATAATCATGCTCGTTTATCTTCTTCTCTATGATTTTATTTGTTGTACATCTTCGGATCTCTCTGAGAGTCTTTAGAACATGAATGTTATATGATGACACTACTGTTTAGATAAGCAGCCAGAATAACTATTTTTAACTGGAAAATCTCAATTTTCTGTTTATTCAATTTTTTGGTTCATTGAATCATAGAACTGCTGCAATATCCATCATTATCTTCATTTCTCATATTCTCGATCACTTTAAGGCCCTTTTTGATGCAATTTCCATCATTACATGACAGCCGCATCTAAGGAACATAACTGAGTTCATGTTGCAAGCTAACAAGGACCGTGATGATGAGGTGGCCCTTGAAGCTTGCGAATTTTGGTATTGCCTTCCTCTATGTTTAAATTTTTTAATGGCTTTAGTTTTTAGTCTCTATATCCCATCCTCTTGCTGAATGTGTCCTTTTGCTGGAAGTCTTCTTCCGGAAACACAAATGCACTATTAGCCATTGTTTAGGATAAGTTCACATGCTTTCCCATGCATCGGGGTGAACTTGTAGTATTCAATGTAGTTCTACCCTATCAATCTTATGGGCGACAATTAGTTGGTTTGATAAGATTTTCTGAGGCTTTGCTCTAAAAAGTGAAGAAAAAGGATCAGAAATATGAATATTTTACTAACTTCATGTTGCAGTTAATCTTCTATTGCCACGTATTTCTCATCCCTTTAATGAACCAGCTGGTGGCTCCTAAGCTTACCCAATGATTCAGATGGAACAATTTGAATTAAGGCCTATCAAATTGTACCATAATGTGACTCCATTCTGCTGTACCTTGTATTGTACTTTAATCTTGTTAAGTATCCTTTCGATAAGATAATGCATGGTTTCTCTATTCTGTGTTTGTAATCTCCATAACCAGCTATTTTTCCTCACATCATGCCATTTAGTTTGGGGGGAAAGCTTTCCTGTTGTACTTTTGCTACACTAAAGAAATTTAGCTTTTTCAGAGCTAAAGAAGTTACAAGCTTAAGGCAGCTCTTTTTGGTGTTAGGTCCACATACTGTGAAGCTCAGGTGAACCTTGAACTACTAAGGGAGTTTTTGGAACATCTACTACCGGTATAGTTCATCCTTGAGTTTTGCCATTCTTTGAGTGATTTATGCAACTGTATTATATTTGATACTGTGAATGGCCATTCTTTTGATGTTCTTCAGATCTTATTGACAAATATGGCCTATGCAGATGATGATGAGTCACTTATTGAGGCGGAGGTGAATTCATCTTCATCATGTCTATTGTTTCCGTGTGTTCATGCTTGCCAATTTTGACTAAATTTTTGTTTGTCATTAATTTGCATAACATTACTTTTAAGTTCTCTGTTTGCAGGAGGATGACTCTCTTCCAGATAGGGAACAGGTTTTGTTTCGTCTCATATGCTTTAGTGTCATTTGACAAATGTCATTTGAGGCTTCTTAATTATTAAACTATTAGGTCTACTTCTCTCTTATGTCAATTCCATGCAGGATTTGAAACCCCGTTTTCACACATCAAGGTTTCATGGATCGGATGAAGTGACAGATGATGTAATTGCATTATTCTTGTAATCCATACGTTTCCTGCTTTATTCGCAGCCGATATTTTTGTCTGTTTGATGATTAATTGCATGCCGACCTCGGGAAAAAATGTTGATATTCATCATTAGCTGCTGATAATTTTTTTTTTTGGGCATTTCTATGTAGGATGATGATAGTTTCAATGTTTGGAATTTGAGGAAATGTAGTGCTGCTAGCCTTGATGTAATCTCAAATGTCTATGGGGATGATATCCTTCCAGCATTGATGCCGTTGATTCAGGTAAATGTAATTATTGTGATTTTGTATTTGCTGTTCATATGCCAATACAACTACCTGTTTTACATAGCATTGTTTTGATTTGAGTGGGGTGCATATGCATCATTGTTGTACTTATTTCTTCTTAGATTACTTTGGGCTTGTAAAGGAAGCTATTGTTTCACAGTAAAAGAAATCACTTAGATGATACCACTTCTCGTTTGTTCTTTTGGCTAATTTGCAAGACAAGGAAGAGAAGTGCTTTTCTAGGATTTTATATTTGGTCTCTCACCCTTCACTCTGTATAGTGGGAGAGTATAGTTTTTTTTGTACAATCTCTTACAGATGCTAGAGACCATTTTTTTATCTTAATCTCTCGCACATGGATGGCTTCCTCTTTGAAGTTGTTCTCCATAGAGTTATACCCTCCTTGGTACCTTCATAGTGGAGCTTTATTTTAAATATAAGGGCAAATACCACAGAAAACCCACCCACTATGACAAAAATACCCAAAATTTTTTTTGTGTCACCAAAAACCCTAAACTTGCTCACTATGACAAAAATACCCTCGAAAAAACCCAAACTTATACATGTGTGACATACATACCCTCTATTTCAGTTTTATCTGGGTGTATTTGTCACATTGGTATAGGTTCGGGGTTTTTTATGACAAAAAGTTTTGAGGTATTTGTGTCACAATGGGCAAGTTTAGGGTTTTTTGTCACACAAAAACAAGTTTGGAGTATTTGTGTCACATGGGCATACTTTGGGGTTTTTTGTGGTATTAACCCAAAATATAGAAAAGCACTTATCTACCTACTCTCTCAAGCTGCCCTACTCTTTTGCTAGTCTTCAACTGATCTGTTTAACTTAAAGGTTATGATGCTGGATAATTTGGCTCAATGAACTTCACAATTCAACTTTGCTTTTTGTGTGTCCTAGAACCATCCTGAAGTTTTTTCAAGGAATGTAGACTAATCATACTGTGCTTTGACCTGGTCTGAAGTCTGTGTTTTGTATCAAATTCCTTTATGTTCGCCATCAATATTAGGTTGAGCTTATTTATATGCCTTTCCAATGGCAATGTAAAATCGGAAAACATGTCTTATATTTTCTCCTTAAGAAGAGGCTGTGAGATTTTGGTGGACCACTGCCAACTATTCTAAAAGCTTAAGCTGTTAGATGAAGGCGTGGTTTAATATTTAATTACCCTTACACTCCCCCCACGCTTAGTCTAGTCTTTTTACTTAGTACTAAGCGTGAACATATTTAATTGGGGAGGCAAATGGGTCAGGAAGATTTGAATTCAAGACCTCCTGCTCTGATACTATGTGAGATTTTGGTGGAACCACTGTTAATTATTCTAAAAGCTTAAGCTATCAGATGAAGGCGTGGTTTAATATTTAATTACTCTAACAGAGGCCATGTGTATTTTGTACTACCTTATTCCAATTAAACCCTTTTTGACAAGAAAAGGCTGTGGGAATCCACTCATTGATCGAAAATTAATCCCAGAACTTATCGGTGACTTTTTCATGTAGACATTATTTTGTGATTGTGCATTCTTTACTTGCTAATTTTACGATTCCTTTCTTGATCCAGGCTAAGCTGTCCTCATCTGGTGATGCAAACTGGAAAGATCGGGAAGCTGCAGTTTTGGCTCTTGGTGCCATAGCAGAAGGTTGCATCAGAGGTCTTTACCCTCATCTGACTGAGGTACCATTCCTTCTATACAGCAAATTGTTGGAATGTTCTTTATCTTACTGAAGGAATTAACTAGAGTGATGTTTCTTTGCATTTGAACACAAACATGTTTACTGGTTTGATCCAATCAGGTGCTTATTTCACATTTTTGCATTTTAAGTCAAACATGTTTACTCATACTTTTTATGAAACCCATGCATGTAATTCATTCAGCATATGTTAGGACAGCAAACTGGTTCTGTCTTGTCTGTTAAAATCGTTGTTCTTTTTTACCCCCATAGCAGGGAGATTATGGTTTGCTTTTTCATTATTGCAGATTGTGGAATTCCTTGTTCCTTTGTTGGATGATAAGTTTCCTCTGATTCGGAGTATAACTTGTTGGACACTTTCTCGTTTCAGCAAATTTATTGTTGAGGTATTCGATAGGTTCCTTTTGATTTGCTTGGGTGATTATGATATTGTATGAAGAAACAATTTTCCCCCCTTTTGTTTTTTTGATCAGTCTGCTTTTCCCTCGTTTTTTAAAGCTTAAAAACAGTTTGGAAAGGAAAGAACATTGTATGTCTATTTTTCAAAAAAAAGAAAAAAGAAAAAATAGATTGTACTGGAAATGAAATATCTTTCTCTCTAAAGAAAGCATATTATTGTTTCAAATTTTTTAAGAAATAGTTAATTGGTGATAAAGAAAAAAACAGATAGATGGATCACGTAAACTTGAAGGATTGAACTTTTTGGGAATGAGGAACATGTGTTCTCTTCTCTTGGAAACGTTTGTTCAATGTATCTAGCTAAGAATTGGGAGGGATAAGGTCTGCTTCAAGTTGATACGATAAATGGCCCATTGATTGTTTTACAATCTGCTGAGACCATAAGTTTTGCTGTACCCTTAATACGTGTCTTTCAGGGTATCGGGAATCAAAAGGGCCTTGAACAGTTCACTAAAGTACTTAAGGGCCTTCTGCAAAGGATATTAGATACTAACAAGCGTGTCCAGGAAGCTGCTTGTTCAGCTTTTGCCACACTTGAGGAGGTACTTGAACTGATGTTGCTTAGTCTTTCAGGTTATAAGTGCACATCTTTTACGACTTACTATTTGCTATCTGCTATTAGGAAGCTTCAGATGTGTTAATTCCACATTTGGAAACTATCCTCCAGCACCTCATGTGTGCTTTCGGAAGATACCAGGTTTAATATACATGTCTCTGTTTGATTGAAGCTACTTGATTTCTGTTCCAGTTTTTTCAAGAGACATGTAAGCTTTTGGTCTCATCTTACTGCGTACATACGTTCTATTTTTTCTTTTGTTATCATAGAGACGAAATCTGCGAATCGTCTACGATGCAATTGGTACTTTAGCTGATGCAGTTGGAGAAGAACTGAATAGGGTATAAGCTCATTTTGCATGGTTTCATGTTCTTTCTCTTTTCACATACCTGTTGCAAGTCTTGGTAGTTTCTATCTATTTTCATTCTTATTTGCCATAGTCGACAGAAAGTTAATTCATAATCTTTCTTCCTGGTTGTATACAGCCTGGGTATCTTGATATTTTGATGCCTCCACTAATATCCAAGTGGCAGCAGCTCTCTAACTCAGACAGAGATCTTTTTCCATTGCTCGAATGCTTTACATCTATTGCACAGGTACGTTAGCCTTGTTTGGTATTGCACGTGATCTTTCACTGGTTGCATATACATTGTTGATGAGCTATCTAATCTCGCTGTTGTCTGGATGTTGTGGTAAAAGGCTGGTGTAATTAAGGCCCAGAAAACTGGAAGTTTGTGAGACCCAGTGTTGTTGGAAACACAAGTTTGTTTTTCTAGTTTGTTTAACTTGTCTGATGAGTAGCTACCTTGCATGAATCTGCCCTTTCGTAGGAATGAATGCACTAGTTTCCCAGAAAAATCCCAATGCCTCTTAGCTATGAAACTTAAGCTCTCTCTCAATCACTTAAATGTCTTTGCTGGGTTTGGATTTATATATGACGTGACTATGATGAAATGACCTTGTAGGGATGCTTATATTAATTTCTATGGTTAAAATCTTTTTCAGGCGCTTGGCACTGGATTTTCACAATTTGCTGAGCCAGTTTTCCAGAGGTGCATGATCATAATCCAATCACAACAACTGGCAAAGGTTATCAGTTACCTCTGTAATCATATCATTTCAGTATGAAAATTTTTTGGTTTATGGTAGTTTGGAAGTTCATTTGTGTAACGTGCCAACATCGGGGTTGTCGATTGAGTTTTCACTTGGGTTTACCAAAGATAAATACTCGAGTTTTCACATAAGGTGCTTGAGTTTGCGTTTACATTGTCAGAATCAATGTGTGTCTTTGAGAAGTGTTATGCCTATTTTTTTATGTTATTGGGTGGGAGACTACGATGGCAGCTTCAAGGAAGGCCTTGTCTATTTCGACGTTACAGAACTATGTCATTAATTTTCTTTGGTATTAGTTAGCCTTACCTTAAAAGTTTGTGTAGCTTCTAAGTCTCTCAATAATTGAAATAAGATGGAGGCCAAAAGATGTGGGGAGAGAGTTGTTAGGGTGGGGAAGGGGGACTAATTTTTACATCTGCAATTGCATTTCACATAATCTTATCCATTTTCCCTCTCTGTTTTAATCTAGAGATCTGTGATTTATGTGTAGGTTGATCCTGTGTCAGCAGGAGCTCAATATGATAAAGAGTTCATCGTCTGTTCGTTGGACTTGCTATCAGGGCTCACAGAGGGTCTTGGTAGCATGATTGAGAACATGGTATAGACCTGTTTATTATCTGTAATTTAATACATTATTATCATTTGATGATTTTGTTTCCCTCTGCAGAAGCTTCTTTCTTCCGCACATTTCTTTGTTTGATATCATTTAGATAATCTGGCTGTGTTCTAGTTTGATTTTCTTGACTCTCACGCGCGCGCATAGAGTCAACTAGTGAGGATGGGGGGGGGGGGAGAGGAATTTCAAGCAAAAGACCTATGGGTCTTGATGAGGACAGTCATTGGTGTTATTTTGGTGAATTCGAATGGGTTAGCACCTTTTTTACATTCATCTTGAGTTTTATATTTGACTATGGTAAAAGTTGCAAAGCATTGAGTAATCAAACAAATTTCCAGATGATTTTTAAGTTGGTAATCTAAATAGCCCTCATAGGAAACTGCCAGTCAATCGAAAAGAGATGTACCTGATTAATGTGCATTTTGAAGAACTAGCATTTGGTTGAGAATTCTGGATATATTAGGTGAAAAACCACTGGGTAGCATTGACATCCTTTTGCAATGGTATTATGGGACGCTTCACTTTGTCAAGTAAAGTATGATATTTAACTGTCCTCTTTCAAGATTTTGATGCCAGAGAAGGAACGTTGAGGATAAACCATGTAGGCAATCAATCTTTTCTTTCTTACTGTAAATTGTTAGACAACTAATTACATGACAGATTACTGTACCTCCCCATTGGGGTATTATGTAGTTTGTGCCTTTTATGAATATGGTGTTAACAATTTTGTCTATTCTAGGTTGCACAAAGCAATTTGAGAGACCTGCTTCTGCAATGTTGCATGGATGATACTCCTGATATCAGGCAAAGTGCTTTTGCTCTCCTTGGGGACCTTGCAAAAGTTAGTCTAAATTTACTATCCAAAAGTTCATTGTTATGTATTGAGATTTCTATCTTCATCTGTAAGGCATTTTCATCACCTATTCTGGTGTTTGTGGCCAGGTGTGTCCAGCATATCTGCATCCACGCTTGTCTGAGCTTGTTACGATAGCTGCCAAACAATTGGTTAGAGGATCTTCTTTGTAATGTGACGCATGGATGCATTCTTGTATATTTTAGTTGTGTAACAAGCTAAAGGAACTTTTTACGCAGGAGACTAGCCAGCTGATAGAATCCATATCTGTTGCCAACAATGCATGTTGGGCCATTGGCGAATTAGCTGTTAAGGTGGGTTTTTCTTCCCGCACTTTTCTGCTGTTGCCAATTCAAGATCATTCATTCTCAGCATGTACAATGACGCATAGACGCTTTCTTGTTTTCAACAAAAGTGGGGAACCACTATTGAGGATAAGTTGAAAGAAGCTTGTATTTATGTTTTGATTTGGAGATGTGAGTTGAAGGCCTGCGTAAGGGTGTAGAAGATGTGACTCTACAGTGGCGATGAAATTTGAAAAGGGAATACCTAAAAGACATGGATGGAGATTTAAGGCAATATTTTGATTTCTCGGATTTTATTGGAGAATTTATGAAAAATTGACAGCAATAGGGTTAAAAAATCATCCTACTAAGTAAGAAAAAACTATATTGGTGTTATATATCCGTTTAGCATTTGTTTGGAGTGATTTTTACTCTAAAAGTTTTTCGTTTTAGCATTTTAGATATGACTTTGCTTAATATTGAATGCCCGGAATCTTTAAAAACTCTACATGTAGGCATTTAAGGTCATTTTCGTTCCTATATAATTTTTTTTATAGTTTCTTTTACAACTAAAATAATATTTCTGGTTTTTGTGGGAGGTGAAATTGATGCTTTTTCTTAAAGAAGATGGAACAAAATGGTTAATAAAACAATGTTGTTCTTCCTAATTTATGTGAGTTGGGTGCTGTTCGTATACTGTCATCGTCCTGGTGCATGCACATGCATTGCCTGCCTTGGCCCCATCCACATCCCAAACCCCCATTAGGCTTTCCTGCCCTGCTCCAGTCTAGCTGGATCACGTAGGTTTCCATCAGTAACTCATCTACTGATAGATGTGGCTCTCATAAGTGTAAGTAGAGTATTGGTCTAGTTGAATGGAAGGAAAGGTCGAAATATCAAGTGGTTTGGCGGATTGGACTTCAAATTGATTCCTTTTTCATGCTTTCCTTTTGGGTGGTTATTTTCTGTCTTTGTTTGAGATTCCTGAATTGATCTTGCTGCTAATCTCTTCTTAAAGATGCTTCAACGAAATAATGTGGCTATGACCTTATTAGAGTGGGCACTAGGCACATTGTTTCAGTATTTTATTATTTGATGCATTGTACTGTCTCTCTGAGTGTTAAAATTGCTTGCATTGAGTAAGAATTGTTTTATTTTTGGCTATAGCATTTGTTGCACATGTCAGCTATTCTTGTGGTCTTAGTGTGATTATTCTTTTTGCTTTTGGTTTTGGTTGATTCTGCATATTGGAAGTAAACAAAAACATTTTGTATGTAATTATTTTGATTTTTGGTAATAGCTTTGTGCATCCGCTTGTCAGGTTCGTCAAGAAATTTCTCCAATTGTGATGACTGTCATCTCATGTATTGTGCCAATCCTTCAACGTGCGGAGGTATTATTCTATATTTATCGGAGTCTATTTGGAATTCACTTCTTTGTCATCTAACTTTATTTTTTGGGCACTCTTCATCCTAACTTGCATTGATGTTTGGCAGAGCCTTAATAGGTCACTCATTGAGAATGGTGCAATTACTCTTGGGAGGCTTGCTTGGGTCTGTCCAGAGATAGTATCGCCGCACATGGAGCATTTCATTCAACAGTGGTGTATTGCTCTCTCCATGTACGTTTATCTTCCGCTCGAAAAAATTGTGGCCCGCTAGGCATGTGACCTCAACAATTAGCTATGGCACAAAAGCCTCCTTTTTTTAGTGAAAGTAGATATGCTGTATACAGTGTACAGTATTTCATGAATGTCATCTCCTTTGAATCAGAAGTGTATGGATGTCACAAAGCTTAGTCATGTGAATACTAACCTGAAAAGCAGCATTTCTGGAGCAATGTAATTAAGATAATTTTGACAAGGTAATATGTGCTCAAGTTGTTGGTCAATACATTTTGATTGACCTTATAGCTGTCGTCATCATGCCTAGTCTGGAAATTGAGAGTCTTGATGAATGCAACAGGAAAGGGAAATGAGGGTATCTAATTATATATTGAAGTTATGCTTTTGAGCGACCTGTGATTTGAAATTCTTTAGCCCCTGAGATAGTTCATTTGATCTCGATAAGTTCAGGCAATTAGCACAAGCTTCCAGTATTCTACCAGCTTGTGATTGCATATCATTAAAAGCATTAGTGAATCTTCACTCTTAAGTTATTGCAGAAGCTTACAAATTTCCAGTTGATTTTAAGAAATATGGTTTGATCCTCCTATCTCCATTCAATAACCAAAATCTATGTGGCAATATTGATCAGGATTCGTGATGACATTGAGAAAGAAGATGCTTTCCGTGGTCTCTGTGCTATTGTAAGTATAATCCCTCGATATTTCTCTGTAATGCTTCTGTAATCTCATATATTTCTCTATATTACTTCTCCATAGCCATCATAAGCTTTTCTCATGCAAAATGGATGTTTTCGCAGGTTCGGGCCAATCCATCTGGGGCCTTGAGTTCACTTGTCTATGTGTGCAAATCTATTGCAAGTTGGAATGTAAGATTTTCTAGACCAACACAAATTCAAGAGTGTAGATGATGTCTAATTTTCTTAGCCCTAAGTCCTCATCTGATTTTAGGTCATAAGGAGTCAGGATCTACATGATGAAGTTTGCCAGGTGTTGCATGGTTATAAACAGGTTCTCTTCTCTCTTCCCCTTTCTCCGAGTCTCATACAAAGCTCATGCAAGAGTTTGAGATATGAGTTTTCTGCCTACTTGTTCAAGATTCTTTTATGCTTCCTCCTGATCAGCTGCAATTTTTTTTTACAATTGGATCTACATTTTCTTTTTGCACCTATGATCACTATTGCTGAACATAATATTTACTAGGTATATTATGACATATATATGCCTACAGATGCTAAGAGATGGATCGTGGGAGCAATTCTTATCCGCACTGGAGCCCTCTGAGAAGGAAAAATTAGCCAAATACCAGATATAGCATCTATTGGGTTACCTGTTACCACATCTGTGATGCTGTCTGCTTTGTCATGTTGGCACTTTCAGTTCTTGCAGTATGAAGCTGATAATTGTTCTGAGGTTGGAGCAGATCCATGTCATTGTATTGGGGTGTTGGTCAAATGTGCTGCCTTTCGTTAGATTTTTTATTGAGATTAAGGCAGATCGATTGAAGTTTTGAGGGGGAGATGAGTCTAAAAAGTGCAATTTTTGTAGCACTTTGTCATTGCATTGAAGTGATGTGTTTGTCCTCCCCCGGACTTCAGGTTCATTTGTTTAGAGTAGGGACGTCTGTATTACATCCCAAATGGTTTTGTTATCTTGGGTTTGGGTAGAGTCATAGGGCTTTCAGTTTTGAAGTTTTTCGAGTCATTTCGTCGCAGTTTCCTTCTTATTACTTGAAATTAATTTTTGAAGAAAGATGAGGTCGTCCTTTTACTTGTGTTTCTTCTTTCTCTTTTGATTTCCTTTTTCTATTTCTTGGGATGGGAGAGGTTTGAGTTGGGACTGGGGAGGAGATTGGTTGTTTCTTGGCTATCGCATGTTGCCCATTATTCAGGTATCCAAAGGATTCATGTATTGAAGCTGCAACCAACAAGTTACTTGTATAATACATTGTTTGCACCATACTTTGTTGGTATTGTATTATAGCTGGTGTTTGGTTTTGTTGTAACGAAATGAACAGATCTCACATATCATAATGGCTGAGCACAATAAATTTCCTTTTTTAACGTATCAAAAAACTTCTTTCTGGAGCTATTGATATCAATTCGAGAATTGCACGACGGCACAATGGCGCAATCGTTTCTGTGTTCTTATTATTTTGAATCAAATAGCTTCTCATTTTTGTTCTTGATGAACGGATTTATCAAGCATGAAGTAAAGATGTTCTATAAATTAAAATGGGGTGGCGATCAACAACGGATTGAAAGCCATGGAATGGCATTGTTGCCACACTTGGTTCGAGATACGGAAATGCTTTTGAACTTATTGAATGATTGTTGCAGTCTGCGAACGGTTCGAAGGGCTCAGATCAGGTATTCTAATTGTGAGCATGGTATGAGATGCAGGTTCTGGAAATTAGTAACAAGCTACCCAGTTCGCCAACGAGTGAAATTCAACCGAGCAACCCAGTACAGTCCTTTGTAGGGTCTATTTGAAGTACAGATTTTCCTTGGTTGGCCACCTTTTAGACTTGTCCGAGCGTTGCGCCATTTCGTGTTGGCTTTCGTTCAAAGATGGTGGAGTTATGGTAAAAGTTGCTGGAAAAGTTACTGGAGTTGCGTAAATTTTAAAGATAGACATTTATGATGAAAAAGTTACTATGACAACTTGCGCATGAATTTGTACGTCTCTCGATTTTTCACCTTTTCATGAAAGGATTAATCAGCCGCACGCTTAAGAGCAAATGGATACAAATCTCCCATCTCTATCAGAAGTTACCCAATGAGTGGAGAAATTACTAGATTGAAATGTTCAAGTTTACTCTTTTATGTGGAAAGATACTATCAGTTACTGACTATAGATTGCGTGAAAATGGCCTCTCTTAAATGCAAGTTATTAATCTAATAGTGAAACCATCAGTTACTGATATGTACGAGCAATAAGTAACGGCTAATAGATTGAAAATCACGTTCTAAGATAAGAGTGAACTATAATGAGTGACTTTTTCAATGCAATAAGTAACTATCAGACTTGAATAAACAAGTATTTACTTATCAGTAATTAGCAGTTTTTACCTATATTTCTTTCGTTATCAAAAGATAAGTTTTCGACATCATAACGTCAGCAATTTTTTCACAATAAGCCAATGACCAGCATGGCAAATTTCATGACAATCAGCTTAATCAGTTATTGATTCTATGTAAACAATTTCATTGATGTATGATCGCACAACGCGAGAACGCTCTTTCATTTTGAAAGCCCAGCAGCACGGAACCACAGTACCTTTTTCTCATGAAAGGAGGCCGAAGCTGCCTAATCTGGGATTCTGAGTGCGTTAACTTGATGGAAGGTGGAGACTCAATCCAAGAGCCCACGAACAAATATGCGATTCCTAAAGTAAAACTTCTAGTACTTTAAAAGCAATCACAACCATCATTCTGAGAAAAAAAAACTTTACTTCGAAAGTATCTAAAATTTTTCTCGAGCTCGGGTTTAGAAATCGTGCAAAGCTAAACAGACCATGCATACTTGCTAGCATAAACGATAAATATAATCGGGATAATTCTTATATAACCATGAGGCAAAAAATTTTCCACACAAAAGATACAGTATCCCCAGTGAGTCAGGTCTGATCATAATGCTTCACCTTTTTGATATATTAGGATATCTGGGTCACTCTTATGTAAGAATGTATCATCAGCATAGTATAAAGTCCATACCTCAGATCAATAACAAGCTGTATAGTAACACATTCCAGTCGAATAAAGAGAAGCAAATCTAGTTCGAGGACCCTTTCTTCCCCGACCAATTGCTACCTTAGCATCTGCTGCAGTTGCTACCTCAAGTAAGTAGCATAAAGAACTGATTTGAAAGCCAAGTTTCACATAATGGATCCTGACTCATTGGAGAGGCATTTCAATAGTCAAAAGTCTACAGTATACCCAGATGAGTTGGGTGTTGTTGGCTAGGATCTACCTCGACTTTCCTTGGGCTAACAACATGCCTAATCTGATGATCCATAATCTGCAATGTATAAGCATTTCAGAAGACGAGAAACTTTCCACATTTTGGCCAATACTTCTCCCTCAGAAAAATTGAATTGCTGGTACAGGCAAGACCACTATTCAATCCACTATCAGTGACCTTGCATATCAAGCATCTCATCGAGATCTTTCACTCTCTCCAATCCCTCGCTGAGCAAGAATCGGATTCTTTGCTTGTCATCGCAGTACCTGTTCTTTTCAATTTCTTGTCTAATTGTCTGCCTCAGTTCAGCTGTAAGAAGGGCACATCATAGAGATCATAATCATACCATGGCATATGACACTGCTTGAAATCAGCACAAGGGAAGCTACTGCTAGTTCATGGTGGTCATGAGCTTTTCATAAACTGATAGGCCAATTAAGCAGCAAGAGTTTCTTAGAGCAAGATGCTAGCTAATATCACTGTCATGGCCACACATGCATTCACTTACAACTTAGACAGGCCAAAGCGGATGGGCATTTTTACGAGACAAGACCATGGGACTAGCAAGTCTAGCAAATTCACCTCATAACAAAGAAAATGCACAAGGAACTTCTTAAAATGTCGGAGTAGCAGAAGCACATTTTCAAAACCAGACTGCCGAAAACTTGTACCAGCAATGTTATGTTGGTCCAAAAATTGCCAAAATGTCCTCGTATATTTAACAAACAAATTTTCAATACAAAAGAAAACCCTCTGCATAGGATGCACCGGTTCATACCTATACGGAAATCACAGAAATTTGACAGAAAGACGGATGCTATTAAATCTATAAGATCCATTCTTCTTTTTCTCCCCGCTATGGTCAATAAGATCAAGTCGAAAAACATATTTTCATGAAGAAGGAATTACAGAACGTCCTAGAGCCGACCAATTTCTGTAGAGTACATATTAAAACTCGGTTATTGCTAGCTAACCCTTTTCGGTCTGTCATTCTGTAGTTAAACGAAAGCTCATCAAAGCAGATAAGCTACTAAGCAGAAATAATATTCAGTCAATTAGTGTGCCATGCAATGAAGCCCAAAACAAGTTAAACCCGTTCGGATCCAGATACTTCACCTTGAGCATGATCAGGTGCTCTTCGAGCAATCCTTAGAGCTTGCCTGTACAGCTTCAGAACTCTAGCGCGGAGGAGAAAATCCTGCAGGCTGAAGGAATGAACCATAACAGATTCCTCCTGGCACAATAAATTCCACATGAGTGTCTCCTTCAAAAAAGGGAAAAAAGAACGAGCTTCGTCACAAACGCGGCTCGCCTTCAAAACACGAGCATTTGCAAATTTCAAGAATTCCACACATGGATCGAGTTGGAGGAAAGAAATATATGTTCTTGACAAGGAAGCTATTGGCCCAAACAGATTCTTTTTCTTCTAATAAAAAAAACAAGCATGGATGATTCACTGTTCTGGCAAATGGAACAGCACGAGACACTTCAACTCCACAAAACCTGCTCAGATTTCATCGCATCGGCTTCCCCAGAGGGACTCGATCTTCAAGATCGATAACCCACATTTCGCAATGGATTCAGGACGACGGACTCCACGAGCAATACCGCGTTTGAACCGGCAAAGCCGGACAAATTTCAAGAACTCAAATTTTACCAAGGTTCCGGCGAATCTAGGATGGGAAAGTCGGCAATTTGAACGATGGGCAATGCAAGAAATCGACCCGCGAGTTCGAAAATGCACGAATTAGAGAACAAGATTCGAATTACCGAGGAAGCAGAAGCATACCTGGAGGTTGGAAAGAGATTTGATGTGTTGAGCGGGCAACGAGCATAGAAGTGATTTCAGTTTGTAGAGACTTCTCTAGAGGCAATACGGAGCAAGCGGAGTGGCGGTAGTCTTTTTTTTTTTAAATTATTTTTTTCTGTTTCCTTTGTCGAATCTTATTTAGGCGTAAAACACAAATTTTTTTTTTTTTTGTATATGATAGGTAGCTAGTTTGTCAAGGGTGAAAGCATATTAGGCATGTGTAATACCGTTTGCATGGGAAAAAAAAAATTCGATTTTCAATAGAAAGATTACATTCTGATAATAACAGAAGAGTAATTTTTCTCATCGAATGAGTTATAAGTTCTCCCTTACCTATTAAGATGTTCTTCTTTTTTATTTCGTTTTACAATGTATAATATATCGATAAGTCTTGCAACGTTTTCGGTTGTGCAATCAAATTTCTATCACCACGTGTCATTTTAGGGTCCGTTTGTTTGAATGAAAATTATTTTCGAACCTTTCCATGTTTGGCCGATGGAAAATTAATTACTCTACGGAAAACAATAAGCTTAGATTGGAGAAAAATAATTTCCCCTTCTACTAAAAAGAAATCACTCTCCTTAAATTATCAAAAAAATAAAAAAAATTAATTATTTTCATTGAAAATGATTCATGGAAATATATTTTCCTTTATGATGAAGTTTTCAATTACACATACGAACTCTTAGCATGACTTTAATGATAAGGCAAAAAAACTGGCTATGTGTTTCCAATGGGGCGACATCTACAAAATGCAAAAGTTTTAAAAAAAGAGTACTCAACAGGTTTGAGAGTTAATAGCATAATCGCCATTGCTTGCTGGAGGGCAATGCAAAATAGTCCTACCTTGAAAGCACGGGAACATTGCCCGAGTGGACCTAAGTGAGGGTTTGGGTTAACTCGAGCGAGGGCGAGGGCGACCTCCGCTGGCACGACCCAAGTGAGGTTCGCCCTCTCCTCAATTCTCCGGCAGGGCACTCTTGCCCTAGTTCATGTGCACGCAGGCAAGGGTGGCCAACTTTATCGCGGATTGGGCCGCTAATTCACTACCTTCAAATTGGGTTGTTTCACCTCCTCAAACTCTTTTGGACCTTTTGTATACCGAAGCCCATTTACAGGGCCCGTTTGGATTTCCTAGTTGAATGAAACGATGCTATGAACAAAAATTTGAATGAAATTCCCAACAATGAAAAGCGGAGTGAAAAAAGGGGGCCTTCCTTTGTTGGATAAATGGAGTAAAAACGGATAATTATTGGGTCCGCACCTGTGGATTAGGCAAACCTAATCCCTTCCCTCCTCGGAGTTTGCCAAAAAACTCATAAAAAGAAAACTGCATCCGAGGAATTAATCCTCAGTAAATGTCTGCCTAGGATCGAGTCAATCCTTTTTGAACGCAAGCCTCATTAAATTCGCACGAGGAGACGCCCGTCCCTCCATCCTACAACAGGTCAGCGTCATTCAAGTCCCCCCCCCCCCCCCCCTAGGGCAAATCAAGAAGGTTTCACGTTCTCACCTGTTTTGACCCAAAGAAACAGCTTAGACCCACCAAAGATTAATAATTAATGGCGCAATGACATTGCAAAACCCGCATAAGATCAAACACCAATCTCCATCTCTCTCCCTCTCTCTCTCTCTCTTTGATCTTGAAAGAGTCAGAACACTCCACCGAGACGGAACTCGCCATCTTCCTTCTCCCACCATATTAAAAAGAGAAGAAAAGAGAGATCAGAAACTCTTCCAAAAGGACAAGTTTTGATCCTTTCTCGGGCGTAATTCCAATGGAGAAACCGCCCAAGATGAAGGGCAGCATCAAGAAGAGCCTTTTCAAGTTCGTCACTTTCCAGAACCCTCCTTTCAGCCCCACCAGAGACAGCAACGCGCGATCGTCCACGTCGGAACTGTTCGGGAAGATCAGCGGCACCGCCAAGGCTCACGCCAAGAGGGGCTCCTTCTCGGGCCCGATCGTGCCCCTGATCCCCAAGGAGGCCAGGCTCGGGAGGAGATTCAAGAACGGCGGCGGCGCCGATCAGGACACCCCGCAGGAACCCACTTCCCCGAAGGTCTCGTGCATGGGCCAGATCAAGCACAAGAACAAGAACAAGAACAAGAAGAAGAAGAAGAGCGAGGAGAGAGCGCGAGTCGACAAGCCTTCTTCTGGGTCGTCCCGCGGTGAGGAGAAGAAGCCGAAGTGGAGAAATTTCGGGAGGATCTTCAGCCGGGCGAGAGCCGAGAGGAAATCTGGTTCTTCCGGCGGTACCACAGAGAGCCGCGGGGAGGGAGAGGCCGACAGCGTCTCCGACGAGAGGGCGCCGTCGCTGGGTCAGATGAGGAGGTTCGCGAGCAGCCGGAACACGCTGGCGAACTTCGACTGGGCGGCGCAGGTGGCGCCGGTGGACGCGGCGGAGCGGAGCAACTGCTACGCCGACGACGACGACGACGACGACGACGAAGAAGACAGAGGCAGAGAACATGGAGACGGCGGCGAAGCGAGGATTCCATTCTCGGCCCCCATTTTGGTAGGTGGAGGAGTGGAGTTGAAGGCGAAGCAGGAAGTGAACCTGTGGAAGAGAAGGACGATGGCTCCCCCTCAACCACTCCGCCTGCAACACCCCTACTAGCTCTGCAAATGCGTGATCGTGTGTTCTCGAATGGTCCTGCGTTCATGGGATTCCAAATTTCTCATCTCCTTCCTTCCTTTTTTCTCTGTTTTTTCCAGTTTGTTGTCGGCCCTCGCCTCTTCAATCCGCACTAGGAATTTTTTCGATTTTTCTTGTACAAAGTTTCGATTTTTGAAGGATGAGGCGTAATAAGTTGCATGCAACATTTTGCTCTGTGCAGAGCACACACATGTAATTATTCTCTCTCTCTACCCAATTCCTTCTTCATGTTATTGATTTCAATCTTAGTGCAATGTCGTGCAAAAATTGGAAGTTCAGCAAAGATCGAATGAATGGTGCGCTCCCAAGTCTTTGGTCTGAATATCGAACTAATTAAGTAATTATGTTTACTGTATTATCAGTGTTTAAATGTTTAATGTCCCGTGTCAATGTTCGACTCACCAGCGAGCAAAACCTCGATGACACCGGAGCTAAACTCCAAAAACTTAAGCTTTTTAGATCTCTTGTGGGGACTGGTTTTCGTTTCACTTGGTCTAGTTTGATTGCATGTGGACTCTTATTGATTCTTCATTCCTTTTCGTCTTTGTAATTTTTTTGTTGTTGAGAACAATGGGTATTCGAGGCTATTGGGTCCCTCTAATCCGGTCCGTCGCCGTCTTTGTTGATTTGTGCCGAGAGAGTCGAGTCGCCATCTTTCTTGATTTGTACCGAGAGAGTTGAAGCGGTATCTTCTTTTTTTTATAGTGAGCGAAATCAAAACGACAACGACAACCTTACACATTATCAGTTACGGATTCATCATTTATGTATTGATCAAGCAAGCATGTCCAAACGCATGATGAGTTGTTTGCTCACGTTTCACCCATTTCGTTCATGCATTCGATAATTGCCGATCCCGATGTATGTTTCTTTCTTTTGGGAACTTGATGCCTCCTCATTTGTGCTCCCAAGAATTTACAATGCAACACTCCGCATCGGCGCAATGACATTCCCTTTTGACCTAGGAGATTCAGCCCTCCGGTGTATGTCATCGAGAAGAACCGATATAGTATCATTCGATATACATTAAGTTAAAAAAAGTATCTAATTGATCAGTGATATCGAACAAACACGACGCACTAAGCGCGAAATCGAATCGGGCCGTACACTTGTAAGCTGCACATCCTCGATGTGCGAGCAAATACTTTTCCCCTCAAGATATATAAATGAGGAACGAGTCATAAACCGGTGGCTTTTGTCTCAATTGGAAGTGGGAAATCAAATCAAATTGGAGGTATCTTAATGCTGTTTTCATGGACCAGCTACCGGATCTGACTAATTTGTTCGTGGCAATGTCTTCAAATATTTTGTTAGGTTGGTTTTTTCGTTTTTTTTGGGCACGTGATGGTGGAAAATCTCAACTGTCAAACCGATGAAAGCCATGGTTCAACTTAGAATCTTCCACGACATATATACGGATTCAAATTTAAGGAGGCATATTTGTATTGAGTTTTATATGCATATATGTGTTCTTGGCATCTTCTTTTTAGCAAGTCATAAAGTGAGAGGCATTGGTTAGGGATAGGCCGAGCATACTTTGATTCAAGCCGCCAAACCGAACTGACATTGTCAATTCAACTTGATTTGGTGACGTGATTTTAAAAATCCAATTCATAAATTGAATCGAACTTAAATTTGGCAATTTGGATCGATTAGATTTTTTGTTTTTCAAACCGAATTATAAAGTGAGAGGCATTGGTTAGGGATAGGCCGAGCATACTTTGATTCAAGCCGCCAAACCGAACTGACATTGTCAATTCAACTTGATTTGGTGACGTGATTTTAAAATCCAATTCATAAATTGAATCGAACTTAAATTTGGCAATTTGGATAGATTAGATTTTTCTATTTTTCAAACCGAATTATAATCGAAAATTCGACTGTTTTTTTATGAGTTATTGTTCGCGTACTTTTCAAATTGGAGATCTAGTTGTAAGTTGGAGTTGCGGCAATTAATTTTGCACTGAAACTTCACTCTACCGTGCAGCTTGATCATTAACCAATTCAAGGTTGAGAAAGTACAATACCATATGAAATCCAAGAATATTAGATAAGAGAAGGGGAAAAAAATGATGAACCTAATTCAATTCTATTCTAAATTGACTGAAAGTTCCGATTATGTTCAGTTTAGTTTCAAACTCTTATTTAATTCAGTCCGGTTTCGAAATTGAATTGGTACATAGACGACGAGTTCAAGCTCACCCATGACATATAATATACTAAAATTTCTTTGCACGATGATTGGGTCTCGACGGGTTCAAAGGGACCCGTGTGAGCGGATCGGGTCCAAGAAGGAATTTGCTTAGGCATTGTTCGCTCGGGTGGGATCACTAGCCGCCCGATGCTTTCGAGTTCGCAGGCTGTGTTATAAATCAATTCATTTCCCTTGATTTTTTTTTGGTATTCTTGAGAAGTCAAATCTGCGTACGCCACTCGTGCTCTCAAAGATATTTTTCCCCTCACGCATTAACCATACGGGAAAGGGACTCGAAATCATTTTCAAAACTTGACCATCTTCTTAGATATCAGAAGAGCATGAACATATCTTGCAACGAACAAAAGTTCACCAACAAGAACACGTAATGCAAGAAGAGTTAAAATCGTTTTGAGTATACGAGGTCATGGTCTCTTGTCGACAAGTAGTAATTTGGGGGGGAAGCATCCTGCTCCGAGTAGCATAACCACCGACCTTCGGATCAAAATTCAATCAGTAATCTCACGTTCGAATTAACCCCCGGAATCAGTAGGTGACGCGAACCCCTTGGTATCTGAGGATCTCTCCGATGAGCTCGCCCTTGCCGGAGCCGACGTACCTCCCCCGGATCTCGCCCTCTCTGATGAACAGGAACGTGGGCACCTCGATGACGTCCATGTCCTTCAGGAACTGCATGCAGCTGGCGTTCTCGTCGCCGTTCATCCTGGCGAAGACCACCGTGTCGGACATCTGCCGCGACAGCTTGAGCACCGTCGGGTACACCTTCACGCACGGCCCGCAGTGCTTGAGGCCGACGTCGAGGACGATCAGCTTGTGGTCGGCCTTGTGCCCTTCGATCAGCTTCTCCACATCTTCCCTGCAAAAATTTAGGAATCAAAATCTGTGCGAGGAGTGTATGGTGTTGTGGACTCCAATCCGCTTTCATGTCCTAATCTTACTTCATCGACCCGAAACGAACCAAGCTTAAATTTACTCTTGAAATTTCATCTAAAACGCCTTTAATCCGCCGGTCTTTTTCTTATCGGGTGATTCCTGATGTAAGTTTCTGGGTGCTGTTACCTGGAATGGAGCTGCTCGACGGCGGAGTGGCTGTCGCCGTAGTAGAGGACGTCGCCGACGAGCTGGTCGGGGCCGATGCCCTCCTCGTCGTGGACGCGCTCCATGGACTTGTAGAAGGAGAAGTGGGGCGCCTTCTCCACCTTCTCGCGGCGGCACAGATCCCGCGTCGCCTCCGACTCGTCCCCCATCACCAGCAGGAACACCACGTCGCTGCACTGCCGGCTCAGCTCCACCATGAAGGGGTACATGCTGCTGCTGCTCGCGCTGCGGCTGGCCGCGTACTCCACCACCACCAGCCTGTCCTTCGCCGCCCGCAGCGCCTCGTCGAACTCCTCCGCGCTGTGCACCTGCTGGACTCGCTCGTCGCTCGCCGGCGGCGACGACGACTTCGACTTCTGGGTGGCGGCCGTGGCCCGCAAGGTGAATCCGCGAGGGCGATCGGGCCTCGCGGCGAGCGGCCGGTTGGGCTTCGCGAGGCTTGGGGAGGAGTGGGTGGTGGAGCGGAAGAAGAGAGGGTTTGGTTGTTTGGGGAGAGACGGTGATGAAGGTGGTTTGGAGAGGAGGAAGTTGGTGATTGTAGCCATTGTTGGAGAAGTGGGGTGTTTGAACAGAACAGAGGAAGAACAGAGCAGATTGTTCACTTCAGATGGAAACGAGGGGATTGTCAGGGGAGATACTGAGCTGGGCAGAGGAATCACATCCACTCATTTTCAAGGGGATCATGTTATCCACATGTTTGGTGCACTTCGTGCTAGATTTTTTTTTTGCCCTGGTAATGTTCCCACACATTTGGATGTTGATATAGAGAGAAAAATTGGGTGGTGTCGTTGAGAAGCATGCGGTCTTTTCCTTGGCGATATTTTTATAGGGTGCAATTAAAATTTCCGAACCACAAAATATCTTGAAAAAGAAAAGTTCAAACAAAGTGTGAACCGAAAAACCCGAACCGAACTGAATCGATTAATTCGGATGATCAGTTTAGCATAGACAGTTCATGCTTAAGCTTTTCGTCTCGGATTGGGTTTCTTGGAAAAAGCCCGTTGACACCCGTTGAGGTCCAGTCCAGGACTACCGCAACACAAATAATAATTGTTTTGAAGCAATGCGACTCCCATTAGAAATCGCATCGATCAGTAGTAGGTCGAGCTGAAAATTCGTCGTCGAAAAACAAATCATCTCGAGTACCAGACAATTTTGAGTTCCCATCCACACATATTTCATCTAAACAATGAATTCCATCGTGCATGAACTTCTCTATAGGGAAGAGCTATCGCATGAACGGAGGTACATCTATACCGTAGCAGCAGTTCGTCGGATTTATCATTGGACCAACAAAATTGAACGATAGAGAAGAACACAAAAGACACGCACTAGTTTCGAACAATAGTTTTGGTAGATATTTTTACCCGTGTCAAGCTAGATCTTCTTCTTCTTAAGGAAACCCTGCCCTAGATTTTCATTTTGGGTCGAGTTAGATTTTCTTTTTGCTTGCCATAGAAAGGTTTCCGTATACATATAACAGGGAGAGTCAAAGTACCAACTCAGGGAGGACGTTCCCCCACATCAGAAACTAGCAACAACTTCAGAGGCGACGGGAGTTCGAGATGCCAATTCACTGGCTCCATCTTCCTTTTCTAGTGTTGAAGCTACCCAATGGGCACGCATGTTAAGCTTTCTAGGGAAAAACAGAGAAAAGGACTTCATGAAAATGCTTTCATTCCATAGAAATGGCAGCTAGGACAGGATCCAGCTTCCAAGACTTTTTACCCTGCTGTCGTTTTAGCTCATTGCACATAACATTAACATGTGAGTCCATCTCAAAGCAGATGTAGCCCCAGGATTACTCCTTAGCCAGTTGAATGGAGTTCCACGCAACAAGAGCTTCTGCTATGTCAACTGAGTCTGCATCAACTACTAAGCCTCTGCCACCAACAAGCTCTCCATCAGAATTCTTAGCCATCACAATTTATGAAAATAAGCATCCCCCATGGGCTTCTTCCATTTCTGTAGAAGATCTTAATATAGCTTTAGGAGCACTATTCCTAATCTTGCTTGTCTCTTCCACAAACATAACAACCTTCTTCAAGGCAGCACTAATCAGGGAGACCACAACTTGGGGAGGTTGTTCAACCTGGTTAAAAACCAGCTCATTTCTACTCTTCCAAATCTACCAGCAACAAGAGGCTACTTTTGTCAATTTTCTAGGCTTAAAGGACAGGTGATCCCTAATTCATCTCCTTTAGCCACACATCAAAAGTGGTAATTTGCTCTTGAATAATCCTGATGCCAGCGCTCCCAAACCAAATAGTTCTACATCTAACACATGTTCACAACAAATGCTCTACAGTCTCCGTTTTCTCTGTAGATAGCACAACAAGAATCCTGCTTAATCTTCCTTAGGGATACTTTCTTGTTGGCAGGAATGGCTCCAGAACACACTTTTTATAAATGATGCTGCATTTTGGTGGGCATTGGGCTTTCCAAATTACTTTCCACACCTGCTCCTCAGTTACACGAGAACTGGAGGCTTTTAGTCTAACCATACCTCTTTTTTCAAGTTGTCTTGCACAATGATAATCAGTTTTGACCGAAAGATTTCCATCTCTCTCCCAGGGCCATCTTAGTCTGTGCTCACCTTTGCTACAGTTAGCTTTGATTATTGAATTCTATCCCGTCCCTCATTTTCCACTTGCTGTCTAATTGGTTCCATATTCTGACTTTTGGATTCCTAATCAATGATCGGTTCCACCTCTAGAACAGGGATAATGTCTGTGTCAGGTTTGGGGTGCAGCATAGGTCATGACTTTGAGGTATTACTCATCTCCCCATACCTATACAGATTGTGCATTGTCGACCTGCCACTTTTCTTCACCAGCTCCTTCCCTTCAGGTATACTTTGCCAACCCCAAGAGTCTCTGCACCCATTTTTAGCTTCCAGGAAATTTCTATTTGGAAAGTAAAAGCCTTTCAGAACTGGAACTTGGAACTCATTTGGTTTACAGAGCATTCTCCAAGCTCATTTAGCAAATGACGCACTAATAAGAGAAACAAGTTGTTGACACCTAAATTTCGGCGCATCATTTAGTGATTAATTGCATAGAAAATTAGGGATTAAATTTTAATCCCTGAACAAAAATATTACAAATCGCATAGCATAAAGTTTAGGTTCATATAGATTAACTGCATTTAGCATCGGATCGGCGGTGGTAAGCGAGCTTAAAATTCATCACGTAAATCGAGCTCGGGCACCGAACGAGACTCGGCTCACTCGGAAAGCATGGGCCGAAAATCACACACAAAAGGGCTTGGTTGTCTTAATTTGAGCTTAAATTAGCCCATTATGCTTAATTAAAGAAAAGCCCAAATTAATTCAGCCCACTTAGAATTAAATTAAAGCCTAAACCTAAGCCCATTAGGACTAGAAAGCCCGGCTAATTGACCTGGGTTTACATTATAAATATATGTTTATGTCTCATAATCGAGGGGGCTCTCATAATTTTTCAGATCGGATTTTTAGAGAGACATACGAGAGAATTTTGAGAAGAGTGAGAGAGAGAGAAGGAGACCGCCCGCCGCGCCGCACGCACGCCCGCGCGCCACCGCTCGCCGTACTACGCGGAGCCGCTCCGCCTCGGCCCATTGCGTGCCATCGCCGCGCGCCCTTGCCTCCGCCTGGGCTGCCGTCTCTCGCCGTGTGCCACTGCCGTTGCACGCCTGCCTGCCGCTGCCTCGTCGCACACCACCGCCTCGCCGGTGCCACCGCCGCCTCGGGACGTCCCTCGCTCCGCCCGCCTCGTGTCGCGAGTTGCTCTTGCCGCACGGCCGCGGAGAGCCGCCTTGCGCGCCGTCGCGCCTGGGATCCGCCTCGCACCGCGCCGCCAACGTTTGCCCTCGCACCGCCGCCGCTGCCCGAGCCGCCTCGCACCGCCGTTAGCCCACCGCCTGTGCTGCCGCTGTTCGTTGCACAGCCTCCGGATAGTCACCCGTCCCCGCCTGTTGGCCGCTGCCCGGAGACGCCCGCCGCGCCGCCGTTCCCGTCGTGTCACCGTCGCTAGCCGCCACTGTTCCCGACGTCACGCTGCCGCTCCCGACGCACCGCCGATCCGCAATCCCGATCCGCTACAGATTCAAATTAGGAAATAAATCTGCAAATCAGGTAATTATCATATCCCGATTTGATTCGAATATTTGGTTGCCTAATTTGTGCTTATTGATATCTAATTTTGCATATTTGGATAATAAGCATTATTTCAATTAGATTTTATTTCCTTTTTTGAAATCTTGGATATCTATTACTTTTCAAATTTGGATAGAATTTAGAATTTTCAAAATCTTTTAAATATATCCAAGATATTTAAGATATCTAATTTTTTTCAAGATGTGATCGATTAGGAAAATTTCCTAATCCGCAATCAAGACACGTGGAAATAAATCTATCTATCGGGCTTTAGATAGAGTTATTTCCATAGCGGGTATTTCGAATTTTAGGATCGATCTGTCAGGCTTCATATCGAAACTTAAGTCGAAAGATTTAGCGGTTATATTTTTTACTTGATTTTAATTTCGAATTTTGATAAAAAATGCCAAAAAGATTACTCTAGAATAGGTTAATTTCTTTAGTTTAAAATTGCATGTTTAGATAATTAGCATTTTTAATTCCGAATTTCATTAAAGAAAAAATACAAAAAAAAATAATATGCCCGTCATTAGAAATAGATCACGTCGTCGCATGACATATAGTTTGCATGTTAGGTTGCATTAATCACATGTCAATTTTTGCACGTCATTACATATAGGTTAGCTTTCATTTAAATAACTAAAAAATCAAAAAAGAAAATCTCTGCACCTTTGAACTCTAAGTCAGGATTTATCAAAATTGTCCAATTGAGTATTTCTCTTGAAATTCGTACCGAAAGGGCGTTAGGGAATCTAGCGTAACCAAGTCCCCGAATTTATAATTTCTGGTTCGCAGAAATAAAATAGTACTCCCGCTATTTTATTTAGGTTTCTAATCAACCTACCTTAAATGATTAGTGGCGACTCCCATTGAAAATATTTGCATGCTCACAATTGGACCTAAGTTGCGATTTGGTAGAGTTTGGGAGAACTCGAGCTATGTTAGTTAATTTAATTGATCTAGTAATCCATTAGCCTAAGATCGAAAACCCGATTTTTTTTTAGGTCGCGACACAAGTCTCTAAAACCCAAACTCCCTTCGATTTTGGCTCACTGAGGCTCTCCCAGCTCTGCTAATTATCTTTCTTTCATCCTTTCTCTTGAAATGGTGGCATCAACCTCCACACACCATTTTCTTGGAAACTTAAAACAGCCTATGGAAGAAGAAGGCGATGGACGCTGAGATGACATACGTCATAGTTAGATGTAAGAAATTCGAGAGAAGAGAGGGAAAGCTCTCACTAGAGGAGAGGGTTGAAACGTTAAAAAAAAGAGGTCGACCAAGATTGAGGAGCCATAATCTAAGAAGATCACATTATGGCAAATGGGCTGGGCCGTGATGGATCTATGACATGCATCATGTTCACGTTGCATGTGATTGAGGGTAAATCCCATACTGGCTGTGTTCGTTTGCGGAAAAATATTTTTC